AACAACAACAACAACAACAACAACCCTTTTCAGAACATCGCTCCCCTTGCTACAAACCCAGAATCACGAATCGTAGAACCTCACCACGATTAGTCTGCGTGGCAGCTTCTGGGAAAGATGGACTCCGGGATCATAGACACAGTGGGCTACTCAGACCTCCGTCGCCAACTCATCGGTAAGTTCCAGGTACCAGCGCAACACTAACATGGTCTAACCAGCAACGCAGCCAACACGTTGTACACCCATCCAGAGTACAGTGCAATCGACCTCGTCACGTACCTGAAGCAACTCTCGGGCAGCCCGGTTCCTCGCAAATACAGTGCCGCGCTCATCGGCCGCAAGGTTACCTCTGACTGGACAGTCATCGTGGCTGCAGAGAGCGAAAGCAGCACCATCAACGCCCTCAAGTACTTGTTGTTGCAGTCTGAAAGTTGGGTGGAGGGGAGGTTGAACTTGGTTGATCCCGCGGTGATTTATCAGAGTAGATGAGCATCACAGCCTGGCGTAAACGCCGGTACAGTGAGTGCAGTCAGAGAATTGTGGGAGTAGACTGGGAATCGGGCTTGGTGAAGGATGGAGCATCTTGATGATGGTATTGTGGAGATCGCTGCTTGATTGATTCAGAGCGAAGGTAAAGGGTTTTTCTTTGACAACGTTGTTGTAGCTGTAGAGATCTGGAGACCCGTTGAAAACGAAGCTGTAAGCCTTCCTTCCTCTGCCACGGCATCAGCCAGCAACTCTTCAACCCTCCGCTGGTAGCTACGCACGTCAAAGTCCCCAGAGTAGTTTCAAAAGGAAGTAATAAAGGGAAAGCTGAACAGGAGTCCTTCAAAATCACCGTTCTCACATTGCACTTTCAACGCTTGAATACTGCAAGAATTCTTCGACGAGATGAACCGGCTAGTCAATCCCCGTCTCCCAGAGCATATCATTCGCCAGCGGATCCTTTGTAAGTGCTCGGTTCCCGTGGACAGCCAACACATCCTAACACCAATGTAGCCAATGCCGCTTTTGTGTATTGGCAATACGCTACATTCGACCTCGTCACGTACCGATCTAGTCTACGCGGTAGCCTCGGTGCCGCTGTCGTCGCTCGTAATGAGGTGAACGGTGAATGGACACCCATTCATGTGGCTGAAAGCTGGATAAACAGCCTGAATGCACATGAGAGTCTGTTGGTGGAGCTCGAGAGGGAGGTCGATCGGAAGCTGGAAATTGTTCATCGCGGTGCGATTTTGGGAGATGAGGTGATGGAGGTGGGTTTGTAGGTTATTGGATCGAATGACGAATAGCTCCTGACTTAGGTTTATCCCGTCTTTGCCAAAGCATTGTTCCTGGAACCGATATTGCATATCCTTTGGCCTTGGCACAGTCTAGCAGAGTATTTGTAATGCGAGCGGAGAAGTCTAGCACGAACACGAGTCCAACATTTACACTTGTAGATCTAGGTAGAATGCTTGGATTGCACTTCCACTCGGCCCACGCATCTGTCCGCTTCCTCTACACGTATTCATATTGGTGAGACTATCCCTGAACTTGCCCCTGTTTTCGGTCTATCTACATCCATGGTTCAAGCTCCATCGCTGTTCGCTTCTTTTTGTCAGTCCTCATGTTCCAGGGGTCCATCAATTGTGCTGGACCGCGCTGCGGTGATAGTAAGTGCAGTACTCACAGCCGCTTTACCTGATTTGACAGCGTTGCCATCAGTAGACATATCTGGCACCGGCGCGGAGGAATGGCCATCTCTAATTGGGTGGACTTTTGGAAGAGGTGTGTTCTTCTGAGGATGATTCGTATCACAGGGTATTGAAGGATTTAGCAAAGTAAGAGTGGTAAGAGGCGAGGCATCTGTAGGGAAAGGAGATACAAGGCTGGAAGCTCAGTGTGGGATCTACGCATCGCTCACAACACACGCACGTGACACAGATTCAATCTAAGAAACGTTACCAGCGCCCGCGAACGGACCTGCATCACATTTTCGCTATCGAATCAGGCTATCTAACCTCTCGAAGCCACCGTACCGATCGGACTCAGCGGACTCGGCCCCACCGTCTTCTGCGGCGGACTCATCGCATCCCTCTGGCTGGCGTTCGAGCTCGTACTGCCACTGCCGCTCTCCACGCTGCCGTTCCTGCCCGCGCCATTACCGTTCCAGTTGGCGTGATTGACCGGTTGGGCACCGTTGGTATTCGCGTAGACGGACGCCGCGGGCGGGCTGATGGGGAGCTGGGGCTGAGCCGGCAATTCATCGAGCTGGTCCGTATACCCGGAGGCATTCGAGAACATGGACGAAGAGCGGCCGCGGCCTTCACGGAGGTGAGACGACGACGCAGCAGGTTGACCCGCGTACTGAGCTGGCACCGTAGCCGGGAACTGGAAGCCGACGCCAAATGCGCGATTGCTGGTCGTGCCTGGCAGCGGACCTTCAGGCGTTGTCGGCACGGAGTGCGCCATCTGCGACTGGCTGTAGATGGCTCCAAGATACTGGATCTGCTGCTCGATCTGTCCCCTGTGCTCGTAGATGCGGGTGATCTCGACGCGCATGCTTTCGATGGTGTGCACCATGTTTTTCTCCTCGGCTGCGTGGACGGCGCGCTTCTGGGCGCGGCTGGTGGCTCTGAGTTCCTTGGCCTTGAGGTCCTGGGCGTTTAGCTCGCAGAGGCGGTCGTGCTGCTCTGTTAGCTTCTCCTGCCGGGCCTGGAGCCGGTCGCGCTTCTGCAGGGCGGCGTTGATTTCGGACTGGATAGCTGAGCTCTGCCGGTCTGAATCTGCTTTGACACGATCCAGGTCCTCGGCAGCGGAGTCGCGGGCTTCGGTAGCTTGCTGCCAGCTGCGGCGCTTGGCGGCGGAGTCGTTGACTTCGTCTGCAGGGATTTCTCCAAGGTCATCGATTTGTGCGGTAAGAGAGGATGCAGTTTCTTCGGCTTGGCGGATGCTCTGATTAAATTGCATAGCACGTTGGCGTTGGCGTTCATCGTTGCCTCCGGAGCTAGACAGGCGGTTGTTGAGGTTATCGACTTCTTTCTTGACAGAAGCGAGGCCGGTCTTGTGGTCCTTGCGGTTGCGTTTCAACCGATTGCGCGCATCTTGGACCTTCTGCTCTGTGGCTGCGATGGACATTTTGACGGTTGTCGTGGGAGAGGACGGACGCAGCGACTGTCGTGGTGGCGGTGCGGCGGCCGAAGCTATTGTATGTGATGAGTTCAATGATCCCGAATATGTTGGAGGGATGCTTACCTTGATCTGCGTGCGGCGCCGGCTGAGTGATGAGATGTGTAGAGAAGATGACCTCGCTGCCGGCAAACCGAACGAATTCGACAAGATAGCTTGTCAGAGGCGTGAGGCCAAAAATCTCACCACTCCAGACGTCTACGTTTTCCTCACCGGGATAATCGCTTTGCCCCGCATGCTGAATGTTGGTTGAACCCCAGCCTGCTCCGTTTAAGCGCACGTAGAATGGCTTCGACTTGTCGATGCCCGCGACATTGACGCACACCTCTTCGCCCTCCTGCACCTCCGTCTGCCTGCTCAAACTTAACCCGAATGAGACCGTCGAAGCTTCCACCTCTGAAATCCAAACACGATCCTCCCCTAGCCTGAAATTCGCGTTTCCAATGTGTTGCATGCCCGTCGCGTTCGCCTCGTTGGCGTCCGTTGCGGACTGGCTCTGCTCCATTTCTTTGCATACAGTGACTTTTGTACTTGCAACAGCAGCCCAAAACGGTTGCTGGCTGCGCACCTGATTCGCCTGCCTTCTCTTTTTTCCCTTGCTGATTGGCTTGTCTTTTGCATCTCTTGCAGAAGGAGGCGGCCCAGGTGGACGTCCGTCTGTGCTCGAACTGTTCGATGCATCTGTATTGGCATCAATGACTGCAGGTTGTCCGCGTGGAGCCGGTAAAGCCGCGGCGGCCTCTGGATCCAACTTCTTGCCGGATGACGAAGGATGAGAGGGTTCCCTTCGGGATAAAGACCGTCTTATCATCCGCACGATCGCCTGCGTGGCGATATGTACGCCCAAAAATCCCCTGACCAGGTTGTGAGTAGCGTAAAGTGAGTCATGGTGTCTGGAAATGAGCGTCGGTTCGTTGAAAATATGAAAACCTCCCTTCGAAAACGCTGTCCACACAGCATGGAGGATGTGCTGGCGGACAGACCGGGAACGGAAGAAATGTGAGAAGAGAATGATCACAGTACAAAGAACGATACTGTTCGTCATTCCGCCCTTCCCAGCGGCGGCACCACCCAGCGATATCGCGATTGCTGCCTGTGCGAAGTCGAGCGCGACGTTCTCCGCAGGCAGCGGTATACACATCCACAGTCCGAACACGATGACATCAATCAGGAGAACTGTCGTGACCGATGGTGTGCCAGGAGATCCGACAGACAGGTCGCTCAAAGCGGGAAGGGAGGCGATGCTCGCGCCGGAGGACGGCGGCACGAAGGTGAGTATGGTGAAGAGTAAGTGTATGATGGTAAGGACGGTTGGCGGAAGCTGAAGGAGTAGAATGAGGATAGCAATGACGTCGCGCAGAGGACAGGACGACAGGATAGTGGTGGCTAAGGTGAAGACGCTGCCTCTGTAGGCGGTCGAGGACTTGGCTCCATAGCCGTCTGCCATCCTGCGTTGCGGACCTTGAGGCATGGGATCAGTGGTTCCGTTGATGTCCGTAGCACGGGAGCCGTCTGGTCCGTCGACAGAGGCTTCTGAGGAGTTTCTTGCCCTCGCATCAGGATGCGGTCGTACCGGTGATGCCTCAACCACGGGCATCTTGTTGTGTGCGACTGTCGCGTGTGCTGTGTCATCGGAAGCGACGGCCGGGCTGGCAGTGTGCAGGTGTTGGTTTACATCGGCGGGCGGAAGCGGCGGCGTGGGCGACTGGGCTTTCCCATTTGAAGCGCTGTCGATGCTTGGGTTCGATCGCTGTTTCTGTATTCGCTTGCCTGGATTGGCGAGTCCGCCTTCATGACGCTTGTCGTGGGAGCTCGGCGCGTTCCTCCTCGAGCTTTTCTGTGGCATCAGCTGGCCGCTGCAAGGCCTCACAATCCCAGGACTGGCTCCTCCAACACCAGGGAGAGGGAGCCAGACACGGAGAAGCGGTTTAAATGCCAGGGGAAGCAGTTTGGCGACTGTATGTGCTCGTTGTGGTGGTTGTAGGCAGGTGGGTTTTCGCGAGTGGAAGATCACGACCTCTGCCAAGCCTCTACCGCCAAAAGACACTGGAACCCGTCGCAGCCGCCTTACCACTCTTTCTACTCTGGTACGGTGCCAGCGGCCGTTTGACACATGCCATCATCGCTGTAAAACTCCTCATCTGGACTTGTGTGTCCGTCATCGCAAGAACATGGTTCTTCCCCGGACACACATGCTGCCTGCCATGACCACCGCCTGCTTCGAATATATCGGCTTCGATATTGTACCTGTTATGTATATGTACCATGAGTAACTCGCCCTGAGCGGGCGAGCACATGCCCAAATGCTGATCACAGAAAGCTTGCATCCGGGAGAAGAGAGCCAGTCCGCCGTGGCACGCACGACGTTAGAAAGGATCGTCAGCTGTTCATAAAGTCCCTCGGCCCGTTGTTGCATAAGCATGTCATCAAATCGTGACCTTCTCTATCGTCTTCATTCTCGGGAACTCACGAGTAGGTCTCTCACGGCGTCGATGTGGATGCACCCTCCCGGCGCCGTTGCCATGAGGTAAGAAACCCCGAAGGATCCTGCCGAAGCCTCCCATGCTCCACACCACTAGTTAAGTTAGCCTAGCCTGCGAGCACAATTCGCATCCAAGGATCGAAATCTGTTTGCTCGCTCACGAGACGAAGCCCCGCTCTTAGCACAGCGTTCTCGCCGCCAGGCCGCCCTGTTCGAAATCCGCAGATGGAACTGCCTGCAGCGGGGCAGGTCAGCACATCAGCAAATCAAGACTTCGTCATGATGCGGCTGGTAAACGGCAGCAAGACATCCCACCACCAGATCGGGTAATGCGCCAGAGCTTCGCAGACGGCAGCCGTTGAGATCCCTATAGGAGGCTATCACTCTTTAAGCAATACATGCTGTCGATCGCAACTCATGCGATTCTTACAGTCACGCGCTTATGTAGATCGCCGAACGAAGGGCGAAGAGCCGCAGCGTTGGAAAGGCCGCAGGTGAAACAGTTGGACGAGCTCGACCGACACCGCTGAAGCTTTGCAGCAGCCCTGGACGACCATGCATGTGCTACGGACCGAGTACTCTAAATGCTTGTGCAGCTCATGACACTGCGCTGCCAAAGTCTTCCTGCGCATCAGGTCTATCCCACGACGCCTGTTCTATCTCCCTTACCCTGTCTAGCAGATACTTTACTCTATCACCGTTCTTCTTCTTCGCCTCCTCTTGCAAGCGGAACGTCTCTTTGAACTGCTCGACTATGAATGGCCTCAATGGTGTCTTTTTCCCTTTCTTGTAGTCGTACACGACGATGTCCTCTACACACCGTGCGGCAGGCCGTCGGTGTAGCTCCGATAGTATTATCACGTCCATGATGAAGCTGTCCGTGTCTAGCTCAGGCTCTGAACGCAGTTTGTGAAGGACCGTCACGCGGTCCGGCCACTTCATCGGCTAAGCAGTACTTCCGTCAGCGGGCCGAGCGCCGAGCAGAAGCGGATGGAGCACTCACAAACTTGTAGTCCGTTTTGATGCTCTTCAAAATCAGTCCATCTCCTCGCGGCGTCAACAGCTCGCTCCACTCGCGCTTATGGGTCGGATCGAGGTAGTTTGCGAAATTGTTTGTCCAGTTGACCCGAGAAGACTCGGCGTAGCGGTTGTACATGACGTTGTTTACGTGACCTATACAGAACCTCTCAGCCGTATTCTGAAACAGTCATGCTGCCAAACCGCACGTAGACGTACCCTTTGACCATCTTAGCTCCTGCACCAGCAATCTCTCAAGCCAGACCTGGAGGGTCATAGATCAATCTCACCATGCTATCCTGCGCAACCCCCAACGCATCCCAAAGTCAGCCATGCTCCGTCCCCAGCATCTATAGCAACCGCAGTCGGGTATATACCATGTCCCCCCACACGACCTCCTGCCTAAACAATCCCCTTCTATCCTCCGCAGTCAAAAATCCCTCACTGCCTGCCAGCAATTCCCGCCAGTCTCTCGACAGCTCGAGCAGTATCTTGCCCGCCTCTTGCGTCTGCTGAGGCTGCAGGCCGAACATGATGCACTTCCCGAGCCGCGTCTTGAGGTCGGATAGCCATCGCGGGTTGAGATTTGCGGTCGCTGGCTCGTCGGCCGCGGGTTTGGCGGAGCTGGCGACACGGGCGGAGGTGGTGAAGGGCGCTCGGGACGTGAGAGAGCAGACCGGTAGGGCAGAGCTCAGGATGCCTCTCCCACTGGAGGGGTAGAGGGGACGCATTGGCGGTGCGGTGGGTTGTGAGGCATTCGTGTGTGCAGGAGATATGGATATCTGTAGGGCTGAGAGCTTGCCTCGGCAGTCCGGAAATCGGAGGGCAGGGGTCCGGACTGGGATGACGCCATGAGCCAAGCGGAGTGACTGCTGGCGCGGGCGGATTGATATTGGACACACGACCACAGTAAACTGTCCTCTCAGTCGTTTCCAGCAGTCCTCCGAGTAATTGCAGCTGTACATAAGATCAGGATAGCACAATGAGCCCGTCGAGTCCGTCTCTACGACATCAGGTCATCCGCATTTACAAGGGTAAAGAACTCATTCCGAAGACGCATGTCAACATGGCCTAGTCACAGGCTCAAATGTTTCAATCATCAGTGGAACAACCGGCATCAGACTTCAACACGACACATGATCATAAGCTAATGGTACATAGAGCTACTCTATCTAGGACGAGAGTATCCCTTGGGTTATGACTACTTCCAGCCCCGCTTGCACAAGGCCTTTTCCAGTCAGGCTGGCCTGAAAGACGACGAGAAGATTAAGCAGGGCATCGAAAGGGCTGAGTACGTCAAGAAAGGTATCTCTCCAACCTCTCGAACTGCGAGGCTAGTGAACTGATCTAGACCTGTACAGAAATCGAAGCCTTGTAGGTCTCGCAACCGGCTATCTGCTTGCCGGCAGGAGTCTCGCTGACCGACGTTCGACAGGTATTACCTGAAACGATATCGCGCTTTACGGCAGCGATATAACGCGCCGCAGTGAATCAACTACCCGGCTCCTTCAAGGCCGCAAGCCGGGGACGTACCTGCGGAGCGTCCTTTAGTGTCGGCGGGAGTCCTTTGAACTACCTGGCCGGACATCCAAGCAAAGCAAAGACGGCAAATCGTAGCCTTGGAGGACTCTTCGTTCTCTCGGGCACGTGCGCCAAGCCTCTGAGCGCAGTGCCTGTTGCAAGTCTCGTTCCTGCAGGTAGCCGACGTCCAGTACTGGACTCTGCTATGCCTCAGCATTCGGCTTCGGGCGGTGAACTATATCCGTGGGGCCGGCGACAAGTAAGCTGCTGCTTCTACCGTCCGGTAGGGTTGCTACACCTTACGCGCCCACCACGCACCAACTTCAAGGCACTCCCCACTTGATGCGCCTTTCTTCTCCAGCAGGTCTTCCATCATCCAGCCCCACCAGCGCTGCCACTCTTCCTGGTTCCGTCCACTAACCTCCTTCAACACGGGCTCGAGGCTCTCGATCATCTGGATGACCGTCAACAGCGCCGTGTGTCGAAGAGCCCCTTGCTCCTCGTTTAGTTCTTCCGCCTTCGCTTTGGCCTTCTGATGGTAGCTTTTCCTGCGGGTACCTGGCAGCCTGTCTAGACGACCATCGCGGTCCCACTGAGGGTCGCCCAAGGGGATGGCCACTCGACGGTAGCCGACGTCTGTGAGCGTATCAGGCTCTTGTAGCAGAATCTGGGCTACACGGGCGCACGGTGTGGGCGTCAGTTTCCGTCGATCGAGAGCTTCCTGTATCCACCCGTTGGCATCCTGAATGTATTGGTTCTGCGCAGTCGCGAAAGGCGTTATCGGCGAGATCAGAAAAGTGCCAGTCAGAACAGCGCGCTCATCATCCGGATCGAGAGACCGCTGTCCAGGAGGCAGCGGCGGATGCGGCAGCAACGACCGGATGATGTAGTCCGTCTCCCAGACTTCGAGGACGCCATCCGTCTGCAGCACCCGCGTGCACTCGTCCAGTAGGTGTTCCGACGGCGGCCCAAGCGGAACAACCAGGCTCAAGTCCTTCAGGACGATGAAGTCGAATTCCTCGTCCCCAAAGGGCAGCGTCCCCTTGCGAAGGTCGTGCTGTACGAATCGCCAATTGACGCCCTGCATGCGCAGATCGGGCGCCAGCTGAACGATATCCAGGCCGGTAAACGAAACATTGGAATGTCCTAACGCCTCGAGGTAGTCATTGCACATGGACGACCAGTATCCGCTCCCGCACGCAATCTCCAATACCTTCCGGGGCGGTCTCTGCGCTATTGACGGCGAGCACAGCGCTTTGCCGAAGACGGAGGTTGCGAGCAATGTACGAAGGTTTTGCCGGTTCAACTCGGGAAGGTCGCATGGAAGTGGATAGGTGGAGTCGCGCAGGTAACGACGGCCGTAACGCAGCACGAATGGATTCGACGGCTGGGTCGAGGCCTCGTTCGCGCTCTGGTTGGCGGTGCTCTGCGTCGAGGTGCTCGACATGGAGCCGCGAAGGAGGTCCATTTGCGCCGTCGAGGCATTGTGCTGAGGTACTCGGGCCAAGGTCGTTAGATAAAGGCCTTCCGTCCTGTCGACGTTTGGGAGCGCTAGGGCCCCTGATTCTAGGTGCCGGCGCGTTGGGACGGGCGGGTATCAAGACTAGTTTCTGCTTTAGTCAGGTCGGGTTGCTGGAAGCTCGGTCTACGAACTCACGGACGCCCAGGTGGTCTCGAACGACTTGTTACTAAGGGTCATTCTCAAACCGAACTGCCCTGAGCTAAGTCCCGCTTCCCGTCTTCGGCGTGACCACTAGTGACTGCCGGTGCGTGCCGCCAGCCCTGATAAGGTGAGGCATGCCGATCGTGTGTTCGCTGTCTCCTGTGGGCGACGGCACCGGCAAGACTGCCGGACGGCATCCTCTAATGCTCGCGAGAGCCGTGATAGTCGATACCTACATATTGATCGAAACCTACCACTGCACAACACGACTGCAAATGCTGCACCCTGGGTGAGGATGAAAGCTTTCGCCCTCAAGGGGTAGTCAGAGCCGAGGTCACCCGTGTTTCGGCCCATGACTAGACCTGTACGAGTATGCGGAGTGCTCCCGTTCATGCTTCGCAGCCAATCCTTCTACGAGCAGAGTACGAGCAGAGTACGATCTGGACGTGTAGCTCTGCAGAGCTGACTGGCTTGCGGTGGGCTCAATGGATCCCTCGTCGTGCCCGAAAGGCTTGGTAGAGATCATGGCGTGGTGCGATTCAGGGGCTTGCGTCGCAGATGAAAGACATACAGAGCTTCACCTCACCCCCTCCAAGGTGTCCATTGAAGGATGGATGACTCGCGGACCAGAATGCACAATCAGCGGTTGGGGGGTTTGCTCGATTCATTCGGCGTGGATTAACAATAGGCGTGTCGCTATGCGACTCCCAAGGTAAGAGCAAGATATTCTATTGGTCGTACGGAAGCGTTTGGCGTGACTCTGTGCGTTCTGTTGCATGGTGTGCGCTATTGTCAAGGGCAGAGAACGAGAGACAGCTGCACCTGCAGAATGACAGGAAAGGTTTGCTCGCACCGTCGAGCAGGGACACTGCCCAGGTGAGGTGCGCGGCGAAGGCACTAAGGCCTCCGATGCACGTGACCGCGAACTCTCGGCCTCAGGGCTCGAGCGGCTTCCACCGCAACCGCGAGAGACACCTCTGCTGGAGCATTAACCATTGCTTGCGCAGCCTGCTACTCTATTCGCCCAGTATAGGGAGCTGTCACAGATTCCACAAAGTACGTGGCATGATGCTAGGCGCAGTTGCTTTTTATCTCATCCGCTCAATTTCCCTGACTCTTCGTTCACTGCTCTCTCTCTCATCGCCTGCGTTACTGACAATACTGGAAGTCACGCAGCTGCATACCACGTACCCGCCTTATACGTACATCATACCGGACGCGAACACGCCCCGAAGCACGCGACGCTCCTCTAGAACAATCGACCTAACCGTCATCGATACACACTCCCCCCATAAACCCTCTGCTTGGTACTTCGACAACTATCTCGAGACCGGTGCTGAGCCAAACCACGCTACCGTCCCCATATGACCGTCAGCCGGTTGGTCGCCCATGTTAAGACGAAGAAAACAGTGGCCTCGACCTCTTCCACTCGCTCCCCTACACGAACTCGCATCTCAGTATACCCCATCCCCCGCAGCCTTCCGCGCATAGGCTATCAACAACTCCACAGGCCAAGGTCGGGCTTAAATGGCCGATGGTCCCTACCGGTTCCAGCAAGGAGCCGGTCAATATTACTATAACCATCAGCAACACCACCCAAGACACCTTCCCCAGCGCAACGGATCGCCGGTCAACAGCGCAAGGATAAACTTCAACACCAATACACCTTCGCCCTCTAGGTCCCCTGGGCCCCATTCGCCTGCACACAATCCTTACAGCATGTACAGCCAGAACCACCCGCAGCAAGGACAACATGCTTACGGGAACGGCGGCCCAAGAGGTTACGGGATGCAGATGAACCTGCCCAAGCAGTTTCAGCATCAGAACCACCAGCACCATCAGAATCACCAGCATGCGCAACACCAGGACCACGCTGGACACACTGGAAGCTATGGAAACCATCAGCACACAATGTCCAGTGGGGGACTGTCAAATGCTACGCCACACTTTACCCCAAATCACCTGCAGAACAACACACCGAGTAGTGTTCACAGTGGCCTTACAAAACCGCCAAATGAGCACTGGGCGTTGCAACTTCAAATGGCACAACACGCCCGGGAAATGACCGCACCGCACTCTTACGCACGGAGCTCCCCTGGCGTCAGCAAGAACGTTACAGCGGGGTCAATGGGTGGCCTGATCAAGGAGAGTGACAAGGAAGAGCGGAATCGTGCACCTGTCAGCGACGCATCGGAGAACGGTCGGGAGAAGCAGCCGTGGACAGCCGTAGACATGAGCGGACAGAACTTGAAAATCCTGAGTCCACCTCTGTTCTCCGCTGCGTTCACGTTTACGACGAAGCTTTATTTGAACAACAACAAACTCACGTATATCCCTCCGCTCATTGGCCGACTAAGAAGTCTTGTCAGCCTCGACCTGTCTCTGAATCAATTGACATTTCTTCCGCCGGAGATTGGCATGCTCGTCAATCTAAGGGAATTTCTGCTCTTTGACAACCATCTTGAGACCCTTCCGTTTGAGCTTGGATCGTTATACCAGTTGGATATTCTAGGCATTGAGGGCAACCCGTTGAAAGATGACCTTAAATCCCTGATTGTGGAGTACGGCACAAGCGAACTGATAAAGTATCTTCGCGAGCAAGCACAAGGTACGGCCACATTCAACCATCTGCGCCCGATTCCATATGGTACTGTGTAGAAGATATTTGCTAACACTTGTTAGTACCTGACCCACCTTCGGAACGCGACTGGATTGTGCTTGACGATACTCCTGTGCCACCGGAGGATAAACTAAGTGTACTCAGCTACAACATCCTTTGCGATAAGTACGCTACCCAGGCGCAGTATGGGTACACATCGGCCAGCGCTTTAGCGTGGGAGCACCGAAGGGACGTCATCCTCGAAGAGCTGCGCGCACGGGATGCGGATATTTTGTGCCTTCAGGAAATGGACAACGAGAGCTTCGACAACTTCTTCCGACCTTCACTCGCCCACAATGACTACAAGGGGGTCTTCTGGCCAAAGTCGAGAGCACGAACGATGGCGGAGAAAGATGCGAGGCTAGTCGACGGCTGCGCAACGTTCTTCAAAACCAGCAAGTAAGGCACTCCGCTATATGCCGTTCTGTGAGATACTCATCCGTGATGCAGGTACATCTTGCTGGACAAGCAGCTCGTCGATTTCGCCAACACTGCTATCAACCGCCCCGACATGAAGGGTGAGCACGACATCTTCAACCGAGTCATGCCTCGAGATCACATCGCGGTGGTGGTCTTCCTCGAGAACCGTATGACAGGTGTTCGAGTAATAGTGGTCAACACGCACATCTTTTGGGATCCTGCATACAACGACGTCAAAGTGGTCCAAGTCGCCATCCTAATGGAGCGCCTAACCAAGCTAGCCGAACACTACGCCAAGTGGCCACCCGCACAGGACAAAGACAAGGAGATCTTCCGCTTCACCAACGGCGACGGGGAAGACGGCAGCGAAGCCGAAGAGCCGATCGTGCAGAAGCCCGCGCCGTCGATGGAGTACTCCAGCGGGGCGTCAATACCACTCCTCATATGCGGCGACTTCAACTCGGCCCCCGGCTCCGGCGTCTACGATCTCATCGCCCACGGATCCCTCGCAAACTCTCATACCGATCTGGCGAAGTGGAGATACGGGAATTTCACCCGCGACGGCATGACGCATCCCTTCAGCCTCAAGTCGAGCTACGCGGCCATTGGAGAATTGAGCTTTACGAACTACACGCCGAGCTTTACGGGAGTCATCGAGTATATCTGGTACTCGACAAACGCGCTGCAGGTCTCGGGCCTGCTGGGCGACGTGGACAAGCAATACCTGGAACGTGTGCCGGGCTTCCCGAACTACCATTTCCCGAGTGATCATTTGGCGCTGCTGGCGGAGTTTGTGGTCAAGGGACGTAAAGAAAAGAAAATCGTGGAGGCGGATTTTGGACCGCAGCGGGATCGGCGGACGTGATTCTGCTGCTGCTGCTGCTGCTGCTGTGTTACTGTTTCGCGTTGTTTTTTCTGCTGCTCCTTCGTTTTGTTGTCTAGCACACATGGGGCTCGTCTCTGTTGGAAATCATGCACAGTAGGCGCCATGGCGGAGATTCGGGCGTTCGGGTTCGCATGTCTCGTGACGACGGAGGGATGGTCCGGCGGTGGATAGATGCCGGAGGGAGGGTCAAATGCCTTTGCTGCGCGTTACGTAGGTCTCCTTCTCTGTGTCTTGTGCCGCGTGTCGGGTGGTTTTTAGGATGAACGGCTGGCATGGCTGCCAGCGCCTGTACTAGGTAGTTTTCTGAAGCTGAAGCCAGCATCGAGCCTCCTCATCTAGGTGTCAGACTGTATTCATTCGTTAAGACAACACTTTACTCTGTCTATGTCCCCTGATATCCTTCTCAATGTCAGGTCTTTCTATTTAAGGGCAATCCCAGATCACCTCCCCTGTGTGGTGAAGTGGTGGTACACTATGCGCAATTTCCCGAAACGAAAAATAAGCAGGTCGTGTCAATCAGCAGTTCCCGCGCTAGTAGCTAAGTTCACTAGGACAGCATCGCTCATCCTCTTCTATTTTACGAGATCTCACTTCCTCTGTCTTCACGTTGCTCTCAAGACCTCTCTTCCGCTCGTCGAGTCATTAGCAAAAGCCTGGCTCGTACTTCAGTAACAAGAACCGTCTCTCGGTGCAAAACTGCATATCGCCACTTTCGTTTCCGCTTGAGGTGCCGTTAGGGAAGCAGACAGTACTGTCTCGAAACCGCTAAGCCAGCCGACGAAAGCTGACCAAGGGCACAGCTTCAACGCAGCCGCAGCCACCATCACACTCTTCCCACCTCCTACGATGGCCGACAGCATCGAGGCAAAGCTCAAGGAAATGCAGTTACTCAGATTGTACCGTCAGCAAAACCTGGGTAATCTTCCCTGCCCCTTCCCATCCCTGCTCAGCTATGAATCCAGTGCTCACCGGACGCTCCTACAGAAATCGCCAAGATACTTTTCAGTGGAGAATGCGTTGTTTTCACCTGCCCAAAACACAGAGGAAGTGGGCCGGAAGGTCCTCGTCGCGGCCGTTCACACACCTTCGGATGAAAAGCGTGCGGTCAAAAGGCTTTTCCTGCAGACGACTGACTGAGAGGGCGTCACGCCGCCGGCTTCGAGGGTCGAAGCTATGGAAGCGTTGTTGGAGTTGATGGAGGAGGCGATAAGAAAGGAACCGAACTAACGATGTCTGACGGGCAAGGGATAGCGAGATCACCATTGCTGAACCTGATCACCTGGGATCAGAGCGTTTCCCTGCTGCCCTTGAGCTTCAGATCTATGGGGATTTCGAGGTCATGTGTTTCTTGCTCTTTCGAATGTCCTCAGGCGTGGAACATCTGCTATCAAGCACCTGGGTTTCCTCCCTGAATATCCCAGCAACTCACGCGGTCGGAATCGAACAGCGTGGTATTTGACAATGCCTAGGGATGCGGCGAGGTACCCTAAGCATAACCATCTACGTTTGTTCCAAGCCACCTTCTGCGTATCATGAAACAGATTTGCCAACTCGCTTGTTTTTCTTTTGTGTGTCATTGCGGAGCTGAGCTCGCCGTTCAGCGGTCTACGCATCAGCAGATCATCTGGGTTTGTTCTTCCTTCTTCTCAAAGATTCGCACTTTCTTCTATCTATCAAGCTGTCAGGAAGGGCACGGCTGGTTACATAGGAAAAAGGGGAGCATCTTCCAGAATGTGCGTTACTCTATACTCCGAGATGTATATGACCACAGCCGTTCCAGCGCAATGCCGCACACGCAGAGTCACAGTTCGGCAATTTCTCCAATTCAGGCTATGACATTCGACAGAAGCAGCAGCAGCAGCAGCAACGCCGCCATGTCTACCGCTTCCTCGAGCAATCCTGCTGCGGAGTACGAGAGCCTCCAAGACAAGCACCGCGAAATGCAGCTCCTTAGTAGCTACCGCCACCAAATCCTAGGTAGCCCTCCCCTTCCACTATACCTGCCCATCCGTTACCCATGGACAAACCGCTGCCCTAACACTGCCTAGCCAACGCCTCGGCTCTCTTCGGCGGCATATGCGACGTCTGCACCATCCGCACGAGCGCGTCCGACGACCAGCCTGCGTTCTCCGCGGCCGTCTTTCGGCCTTCTACCGAGAAGGGGTCCGTGAAGGTCTTCTTGATGCGTAATGAGGACGAGGAGGAGAGGATTAGAGAGATGCGCGGGTGCGAAAGGGAGGACGAGGATGAGGAGACGAAGGTCGTCTTCAAGCATGCCTTCCTTGGGGGCGACGAGGAGGACGACGAGGGTAAAGAGAACAGGAAGAACGAGGACGAGGAAGACGAGGATATGGACATGGAGAACGAAGGAAACGAAGAGGCCGACGAGGCCGACGAGGACGAGGATGTTACCACGCCGCTAACATCGCGGCTCGCAGCGATGGAGAAGCTGCTCGACTTGACCGAAAGTGCGATCCAGGAGGCTCGATTCGTCGCTCTAACGGCGGAGGATTGGGAGTTGTTGGAGAAGGGGGCTAGGAAGCGTGAGCCTACGCCATGTAGGTTTAGCAGCGCGCATCTGTAGGTATCTGCAATGTAGGGAGAGGGAAGACGGTGGAGTGACGGCATGTGTCCTTGCGAACTGGCTTAAGGGGGATTCGATAGAAGTGACGAATGCAGTCATTTATTGCAGTTTTGACAAAGTGGTGACTCATAAAAGTCTTTTCATGCTCGGCTTTCTGCCTCCTATACCGGTCCTTCCGCCTTATTGCTCTTTTCACTGGATATCTCGCGTTGTTCCTCGTCCAAAAAACATGTTCCGCCACCTCAATACATTCCGCCGCACCATCCCGTTTTCTCCATCTGTACCCCATATACTCTGGCAAGTATCCTCTCCCACGCTCTCGACAGCATGGCGGCAACCCAAGAGCGCCAAGTTTCTCTCTCTCTTTCCAGCTTGCTGAATGAGCACAGTTGAGCTCCTCCCACGGCAAGATTTCTATCAGACACTTAAGCTTCTTCAGCCTAATGACGATACCAAGCAAGGCCCAACGCTTTCCAACGCATGCGATCGGCTAGCCGCGAATCCACGGATCCTGCAGGCCAAATGCCCCATCTAGCGACGCGGCCCAGCGAAGCTCATCCACCATAAGCTAATCCTCCCACCCGCACCCCAAACCTTCATTCTGGCTCCCAATGCGTCCTTCTCCAACCCCGGTACTCTTCACCACCATGGCCCCTCCGGCCTCCAGAAGCCCCTTTCCCGCCCTCCCGAAGCACCTCATATGGAACAGCGCCAGTATATTGCACATGGCGATCCCAGTCCTCGAGTCTCCTGAACGGACTCCTAAGCCACGCTTCCAGCTCATGCAAAAACAGCCGCGCGTTTTCTCTGCCGAGGAACTCCTGGAGTAGCTCTTCCGCGTGGCCGCCTTTCGGGGCCGAGGTTTTGAGGATGGCGACGATGTATTCGAGGAGGAACTCTGCATTGTTCGCGCGCCTTGTTGTCGTGGCAGTAGGTGTCATGGTGCGGCTGGGAGTATTTCCGCATGAAGGTGCAGCCGAGGATGTCGATGGTTCAGGCGTTGGCGCCGCCGCCAGCGGATCCAGAAACTCAAACACCCTCAGCTCGCGCCGGAGGAAGGCACGCGCCCGGCTCTGGAGATTCGCATCTGCGGCGAAGCTCGCGGCAGTGAAGTCCCGGTAGCGCGAGTGCCGGTTGCTGCCGACGTGCAGGGAGTAGAGCTTGTTCCTGTACACAGCGCGCCGGCGGAGGAGCGCAGCGTCGGGCGTGACGGGAGCTTCGTTGTTGCGGGACCGGCGAGGCCTGCGTGGCGTGCTGGTACCAGCTCCGTAGCCCGCACCACTGCCGCTGCGTGGATGCGGAGGTGCGGAAGCCGCTTTCTGCGTCAGCGCAGGTGTTTCGACAACGTAGGTCTTGTAGTCGTCCGGTCCACACCAATCATACTGCACGGCGGTGACCTGGGCATTGCAGAGAGGGCAGCGAGGGTGCGATTGTAGCCAGCTCGCTAGACAGAGGAAGTCGAAGGCCGTATGGTTGCAGGGGACTGTGATGGCGCGCTCGGAGACGGGGGAGAGGCAGATGACGCAGGCATCTTGGGCGCTGGTGCTGGTGGTTCGCTTGCGTTTGAGTGACACGGTTGAGGGGGTAGAAGATACTGTCGATTTTGGTGTCTCTAAGTGAGCGGCGGTGTCCATGCAATATGTAAAGAGTGGTGGAAAGGTGGGCCAGGTGATGAGAGACGGAGACGAGAGGGAGACGAGACGGAGGCTCTGCGGTATCAAGACGGGTGGCGTTTCGAGCAGGGGCTAGCCGTTCGCTCTAGACAGGGAAGGGTCTGGCAGCCGCAAGCTTACTCGTCCTGGACTAGGCAGTTCTAGGTACTCGGGCTGTTAGGGCTGAGTAGGCGGACGACGGACTTCAGTTTCACAACGGCAGTCACGGCCCGCTCAGCCGCTCTGTGTCTTTCCCTCCTCCCTCCCTCCCTCCTCACTCCCTCCTCACTCCCTCCTCCTTCTTGGTGGATGGGCCTCTTGCTTCCTCGGCACTTCTCCCCGATCTCACAGCATCTGAAGAAGATGGCAACGAACGGCCACAGAATCGCCAGCGCGAACGGCACCGGCATCAGTGGAAGTAGCCAAACGCCAATCCACACCGTGACTGCGCTGAAGCGATGGTCATGCGATCATGAGACGGAGCTGCCAGGTAAGCCATCCGAACCCATGGGAAGCCTGGAAGCTAACGTCCCCGGCAGCCGTCGACCAGATCAAGGCAATCCACGTCTACGACTTTGACAACACCCGTGCGTACACCTGAACCAATCCCCAAACACAGTAGCTGACACCTCTACAGTCTTCTGCAGTCCCCTTCCGAACCGACAGGTATGGACCGGCCCCACTATCGGCCAGCTACAGAACCAGGATGTCTTCGTCAACGGTGGCTGGTGGCATGATTCTGCCATCCTCGCTGCTACTGGTGAAGGCGAAGAGAAAGAGGAGCCGCGGGCGTGGAAAGGATGGTGGAATGAGCAGATTGTACGTGTCAATTGCTCCTAAGCGGCACCGTCCTGCTGACCGTCTCTCATAGGTCCAACTCGTCGAGCTCTCCATGCAGCAGAAAGACGCCCTATCCGTCCTCCTCACCGGCCGAGCCGAAGGCGCCTTCGCCGAGCTTGTCAAGAAGATCGTCAAGAGCAAAAATCTCCACTTCGACATGACCTGCCTCAAACCCACCGTCGGTCCCGCGAACCAGCGATTCTCAAGCACGATGGAATTCAAGCAAACACTCCTCCGCGACCTCGTCCACACCTACCGCGACGCCGACGAGATCCGCGTCTACGAAGACCGCCCAAAACACACCCAGGGCTTCCGCAACTTCTTCACCTCCTTCAACAGCGCCCTGCTCTCCCCCAACCCACCCATCCCCCGCAAACCCATCACCGCCGAAGTCATCCAAGTAGCCGAGAACGCCACGACCCTCGATCCCGTCTCCGAAGTCGCCGAGATCCAGCGCATGATCAACGCGCACAACCTTCTCGTCCGCGCCGGGACCGCCCCTCCGCGCGCCCTCCCCATGACCATCACCAAGCAGATCTTCTACACCGGCTACCTGATCCACCCGCGCGACACAGAGCGCCTGTGCAGCCTCGTCGCCATCCCACCCAACACCTCCGAAACAGACATCAAGTACATGGCCAACAGCATCATGATCAAGCCCGGCGTCGCCCCCCACAGCCTGCTGCGCAAAGTCGGCGGCATCGGCGCCAAGCGGCGCTGGCGCGTCACAGGCGTCGCGCTCTTCGAGAACAAGCTGTGGGCTGCGCGGGTCGCGCCTGTGCGGCCCTCACCCACCCAGGCGGCGCCGTACGTCTACACGGACCACGCGACGCCGAATGTCGTGCTCGCGATGCGCGGCAGGCACACGGATGCCAGAGACGCGGGACGGATCCAGAACTGGCAGCCCGTGCCCGAGGACAAGGCATTTGAGTTCGAGACGACGGTCGGAGAGAAGGTTTTGCTGAAGATTGAGCAGGAGAGGCGTGGGCCGCCGCGGGAGAGGGAGAGGAAGCGCGGAGCGGAGGAGATGCAGAACCAACAAGACTTCATCCGGCTAGATGCGGGCGATGAGGATCAATGGCCCGCGCTGGGGAGCACCCAGAACCAGCCACAACAGCCGCACCAGCAGGCAAGGAATACGCACCCCAGGCCTGCTCCGCCGGACGATCGGAGACCGCTTGCTATCTCGGCGAACCAGAGGGCTTTTAATCAGAATAGGGGACGGGGAGGTCAGCACTATGGGCAGGGCAGGGGTGGTAGGGATTTCCACCACGGAGCCAACAGGGGCGGCGCGAGAGGCGGATATGGCCGAGGCGGAGGCGGAGGTGGCGGAGGTGGCGGTGGTGGTGGTGGTGGTGGTGGCGGCGGCGGCGGCGGACGAGGTCGCGGTAGGGGTGGTGGGTACAAGAGCTTGGACGATGTGGGTAGTGCGGGGAAGGGGTATGGCCTTGATGGGGCTTACGAGGATGGGGGGATGGTATACTGATTCCTGCAGAGCGAAGAGAAGGTGTGAAGCGTCTGGACGTCGAACTGAGGAGGGTCTTCTGCCCTTAGAAAGCGGGGGGCGTACGGCAGAGCATATCGTCCAGGGTGTGTCTGGCTCGGACGGAGTTTATATATTTACGGGCATGTGGGGTAGGTTGGCATCAGAGCTTCTCGTTCAGGCCTCGGTTTGCGTTACGACGTGTTCGCAGGATGGGCGTCGGGGTTGCTCTGTTGCTGGGAGATTTCCGGTGCTGTGGAGCTGTCCCTGGGGATCTGTTTGCTAGGGCCTTCTCCCGCTTCGCTCTCGAGAAAAGGAAGATTCGCGTATGATCCCAGTTCCCGTCAGTCTTCGCGTGGGGTGCGCTATATGTACTCATAATCTGAGACCGCGAGAAAAGTCCCCCAATCTCGTTCTCGCGAGCTTAAAGCCGTCGGCCTATCGCATCTCTGCATGAGCGCCTATATGTTGGGAGATACGTGGGACGGTGTCAAACATTGTGGTCGAGATTTGTCTGGCTCGTCACTTGGTATCCGTATCCCCAGCCTTTGTGCCAGGTAAAGAGGCCACGAAGCAGAGCTCAAGACAACGCGGAAATCTGTCACGCTGCTTCCTCATTCGCGACCAATCCATTCCACTTGTCAAGTCCGCCTTCGCACAAACTCCACGCGCCTCCCGAGAACTCCTGCCCATTCTGTTGCGGAAAGTCACACCGGCGACACAACGACTGCCGTTCATCCTTGAATCACCAACGCACCCCCCGGAACCGTCGGATTCTCCAGCAAAGCCTCCGCCGTCGCCGCCAGCCTGTCCATAACCTGAAGCCTGGACAGATAAGGCCGTGCCGTCCACATGGCTGGTGCTTCGTAGCAGGATCTTGAGCGGACCTCCGCCATCCCGTAGGTCTGTAGATGCCCGCAGAGAAGGCCGTTCCCGCCCTGTGCGTGTAGCCCTTCGGGCGGATTGAAACTACGCAACTCCCGCCCCAGAGCGCTGCGGCGGTTGCTCAAAGTAGATGTCGGTGAGCTGCCTCGTTTCGTCGTGAGGGATACGTGGTAGATGGAAGGAGAGGATAAGGTGATGCTGAGATGTGGGGGTGTGGATGGGAACATACATTGGATCACGCAGGAACGAAACGCGTTGAAGTACGATGCTAGCGTACAAATGAGCGGGCGGTGAGAAGATATTCTCGTTCTTTACATACCCGTGTGGGCTCTGCCAACAGCTCCACAAACAGACAGCTTGACAAACAGAGAAGAGCGGGAGTGTAGCAAATGGAAGATAGCGACAGCTTAGGTCCGCTGGATCTACCTTACACCGACCTCAACCTCACCCCATCCTTCTCCAGCGCCTTCTCCGTTATTGTCAGTAGCCTCTCCGCGGCTTCGAGTCTCGAAGCCAACGGCGTGCCGTCTTCCCTACTCCGCGCCCGCAGCACGAAGTGCTTTAGCGAGTGCTTCTTGCTCGCGGCTGTGGCGACGCCCGCGAAGCATACCGACGCGCCCTGTGCATCTGTGCCACGGCTGGTGAAAACGATACATTCGCTGCCGGATAGCGCTGCCGCATTTGCTGTACGTGGAGCCGGTGAGCACACTGTGTTTAGAAATAGGCGTGGAAGGGGTTTAGGGGAGGCTGATGGGCTTACCTATAATTTGTTGGCGGTATAGGGCTAGAAGCTGCATTCCTTCGAGCCTTTCAATCGTATGAAGGGCTCCTACGGGGGCGTTATCGGGGTCAATGATAGCCATGGATAAACAAGGCGGTGGTATTCTTTCTTTTAAGGACTTTGACTAGTACGGGCGACGGGTGGAGGATTGGGAGAGCTATCTTCGCTTCTTTCTATGCCGCCTTACGCAAGAACGAAACATGGTGATATGGAAGCCTATGGCACGAGTGGGCGAGTACTAAAGTACGCTGCTGCTGCTACGTACGAGCGGAGCCTCTGCCAGGGGCTCGACAAACGGACGGCTCGAACAAACAGAAGAAGGGCGGGACTTTAGCACACAGGGAAAGAAGAAGTGCATTCATCTGAAGAGTAAGGAAAGAAACAACACTGCCACCAGCTCATGCCAGCGGGGGAACCGCTGAATGGATGTTTGGTTCCGCATGTAGCAGAGCTATGCTTGGAGGGCATAGTCAGTGCAGTTGCATCTAACTCTCCCGGCACGTAAGAGGTGACTTCAAGGGATGAAGACAGATGGTGAGAACGAAGGATACCGTGGTTCGTGACATCGTCAGCATAGCGCACCGACCCGCTCAATCGCTGCCATCCCAAAGCAAACGGAATACGCAGTGAGGACGAGTGAAGCGAGAAGGAAGGGAAGGGAGCGATGAAGGGGGTTCCATGCGCTACCACCCGAACTCGGAATCAGAAACGCTTGCGCTTGTAACATCGTAAAGACCGTGGGTATGAATGAAATGTTTATGTACTACTACACCATTAGCACTAGTATTCAATGCCTCTCCTAGTGGTCCCAATGCATCTCCCTGGACAATACCTACCACCCCAGGCGCTAAAAGAAGCCATGCACAAGGGCCCTGAAGCAAAATGCGAAACAGTGTATCTACAAAACCCCAGCTCCACTACGCACCTTCAGCCTTGCTCGGCGTCAACACGCCCGGCCTTTCCGTCTGCGCCGCCACAGCCGCAACACTGAGTTCGCTACCCCCAGTCGACTGGCTCATCCCCAGCATCCTCCTCGCCAGCAACTCCCTCTGCCCCTCGCTCGCCGTGCTAATCTGGCTCTCACTCATCGCCGCCACCGGCTCCCCCTCCTCCGCAGCATCATCCTCAACAGGCGAGACAACAACGACGCCATCCCCATGCCCCTCCCCACCGCCATTGATACCCCAGTTCGAGTTAGTATTGATCTCGGCGTCTTCCTGCGCCCTCAACCAAGGCACCCTCAAACACCGCTCCGCCAACCGAATCGTTGTCCCATCCAAAGGCCGGAAGTGCGCCCACCCAGCCCCCTGTCGCCGTGCCAGACTCCGCAGCACCTTGACCGTCTCCTCGCGCTTATACCCGCCTCCGCCTCCGCCGCCCTGTCGTCCGATCTGGCTATTCGCCAGCAGGGGGCACAGCACGCGGAGATACGTATGTCGCAGCGCCCCCACAGGCGTCGTGCCGCCGTGGTCGTCGCTGTCGTCCGGCAGGTCGAGGAGATTGCGCAGGATCACGTCGAGCAGCACGAAGAGGTCGTTTGTGTAGAAGTATTCTGCTGTGGCGGGCGTCTGGAAGAGGAGGTAGAGCAGCTTCAGGATGAGGAGTTGCAGACTGGTTTCGGATTCGCGGTTTAGGAGCAGGATTAGGTTTTCGCCGAAGGTTTTGTGGTGCGCGCCGTGGGTGGAGAGGGCTTTGATTACGCGGTTTGTGAGCGGGGCCCGCGGGGGGTTGGGAGAGGTGGTGGGGGGTGGAGGGACGGTGGAGGCGACGAGGTATTGCTCGTTGAGGACGAGCTGGTGGGGGTTAGTCTGGCTCGTAGGAGGGGATTGGGGGCTTTGAGTTGACGTACTAGGACGCGGATGACGTGGTAGTGGTAGGGATCGCTGGCGTCGTTGGAGTGCTGTTCGATGATCTGGAAGAGGTGCAGCACGAAAGTGTCGTCGACAGCCGCTGCTGGACGTCAGCCTGTAACTTCAGCTCAATTGACAGTCCTAGCGCCTTACACAAGTCCTCCCATGTCAGTCGCTGCATCCGCGACATCCCATACATCAGCTCCAGCAGCAGACGGTGCAGCTGCGGCTCCTGCTCGCGCTGTCGGGCTTGAATAAGCTCTACCAGCCGTGGGAAGACGCCTTCCACCCGCATCATCTCGAACGTCTCGTCATTGCTGCGGCCGTCGAACAGCAGGAATGCTGCGATGAGGTGGAGCGTGGGCGCATCATCTTCCTGCTCTACGGTTACTCCCCGTGACACACAGGTTTTGTCTACCGTATCTGATCCTACCTGAAGCAGTCCATATATAATCTGCCGCCGCACATAGTCCTTGTTTGATGTGAAGATCGCCGACTCGAGCAGCTTGTACGAGCAGCGCGCAATGTCGTAGTCGGATTGGAGGTACTCCTCTTCGCCAGTCAATGAGCCGTATCGGCGAAAGGTATTCGGCGGAGGAAATACCTTTGAAGTTTGTGGTGAAGCTCAGGTACGCCCGGAGCGCGTTGTCGATGGCCTCGTGCGATTGGCACGGTGTGCAGACTATGTCATCGAGTTCTGGTCCAGCGGATGGTCAGTGGATGGACAAGCACGGGGAGATACATAGCGCACCGTCCCAGAATTGCTGCTCATTTTCTAGGCTGTACGACACCTCAAACTCCATGCTGAGGCCGACGGCGGCAGTATGCAGGCATCGTCTCGGCGGCTTGTGGGGTTATTGCTGGCGGGACATTTGACGTGGTAGATGGACTTGGTAGGCGAGACGGATCTAGAAGACCTCCTGCCGGTGCAGCAGGTACATGCGCGGCGTGACATCTCGTATTACACTTGCTCTGATTGTGTCTCTCACGATAGATCGAGATGCCCAGTCGGAGACACATACTAATTGGTCTCAGTTTTGAGGCTTCAGGGTTCCAATTGCAACATGTGAAATGTTGATAGAATACAGAATCACAGCATCAGCCGACGCTCGTGCTTTTAGTCTACAAACGCCGGGGAACAGATCCAACGCCTTCCCCAAAATCCCCTGTAAACACCACGCAATGCTCCCAAAACTTATCCAAGCTTTCCGCAAACCCTTAAGGAAAACCAAAGCCTCCCGGAAACTGAAAGCCGCCCTGACCGCCCGCAAACTTGAACCCCTGACCCGGCCCCTGATTGAACACAAAGTGCGGCCCGCCGCCCTGACCGCCAAACGGACTTCCCTGGAACGGATGACCTTGCTCCTGGTTATTCGGATCATCACCCCTGTCAAACCTCGCCTTCAGTTCAGGGTCCTTGAGAACCTCATACGCCTCGTTGATAGCCCCCATCTTCTTCTCCGCCTCCTCTTTCGTAATACCCTGCTGGGAAGCCTTGTCCGGGTGGTACAGCTTGCTGAGCTTGCGGTAGGCGCGCTTGATTTCGCGGTCGTCGGCGTCGCGCGAGACGCCGAGGACTTTGTAGTAGTCTTTCTGCTTGGAGCGCTTGAGGAGCGTCTGGGCTTCGTTTAGCAGTTTCTGGATCTTTTGGTTGTTGCCGTGGTGTTCTTTGGCTTCGTTGAGAGTGTGGATGGCGGCGTCAAAATCGTCGTTGTCAAGGTGGCGCTGTGCTTTGTGGATGAGACCGTGCAAGAAGGTAGGGTTGAGTGCTAGGGCATCCTCGCAATACTGCTGCGCGCGCTTGTTGTTGTTCATCTGGAAATCATGTCAGCTAGAGTACGCCTCTATGCATAGGCCGCGAGTGAAGCTTACTTCCATGTAGGCTTCGCAGGTCATTTCGACAAGACTGCCGTACAGTCCACTGGGTGCTTTAGGGTGGATGATGCCCTCGCCCTTGTATTTCTCGACATCTTCCTTGACCTCCTGGATCAGTCCTGGAGCGTCCCCCATCGGAATCATCTGATGGGCCGCGCTGTTGAATTGCCGCTTCTCCATCAACTGCTTCACGTTCTTCAATCTCTTGTCGAGTGCCTTCTCCCTCTTCCTAAGCTTCATACAAGCTTTCGAATCTGGGTCTGATTGCAGACATTTGGCCAGTTGCGAGAGCCCCTTGTCTGTCTCGCCAAGAGAGTAAAAGCTCATCGCGGAGACCTGCAGGTGCGGTTCGATTGAGCCTGATGCGATCTGGAGGACGTGTTGCAGGTCGCTGAGCGCCTCAACCACCTCGCCCTTCTCCAACCTGCATCTTGCTCTCAGCTTCCGCAGCGCCAGATCCGACCCCGCCGTCATGACCGCAAGCCCAGCCTGGCTGACGCACGCTTCCCAGTCGCCCTTCCTCTCCGCCTCTGTCGCCAGCCTCGACGCTTCCCGCGCCTCCAGCAGTTCTGCGATCTCCTGCCCGCCTGTTTTGCCCGCAGCCTCGAAGTCCGCACGCGCGGCTTCCCAGTCGCCATTCCTGCTTTTTATCTTTGCCCGCTGTAACAATGCGCCCTCAAAGTCGGGTTTGATCGCCAAGACTCTGTCGAAGTCTTGCTGCGCCTGGGTGTTGCGGCCGAGAGACAGGTAGGTTGCGCCACGCTTGAAGAGGGTGAGGTAGTTCTGCGGGTCGCGGGACACGGCAATGTCGAAGTATGTCAATGCGTCCTGGGCGTTGCCGGCGGCTAGGTTCGTATTTGCGGAGGAGATGAGCTGGGATATGGGTGTGTCGGCGGGTATGGAGGACGCGGAGAGGGAGAAGGCTAGGGGTGCGGCGGAGAGGATGATTGCGCTGAGGGCGAGGGAGGTGAGTGGAAGGATCATGGCTACTGCTTGCTGCACGGAGAGTAGCCAGATATCATGAATGGGTGAGGGGAGGTGAGGAATTAAAGATTAAGGAGCGATTCAATGACGCTGGATGTTGGAAGGTAAAGGTGGCTTCAGCCTCAGGGCAAACACAAAAGATCGAGGGATGCGCTCCGGGCCTTCTTCGGGCCTGGCCCGAGGACCGGCAACGCCCAGTCTGGCAATCCTTGCGAGCGGCATGACGGTCCGGCGTTGAAGCGCGGAGAAGACTGAGAGTGCCAGTGCCATTTGACACCTGCCGCATGCTATGGATTGCATATGCATATGTAGAACCACCAGTGCAATACTCAAACACTCGAGATAACATAAATTCCCCGCGCTTTGCAGCACTCCCCTCATCCCAACCTCGCAAGCCGTCATGGCTCCTCTACGCCTCCGAGTTGACGGCGCCACCTTCCGAGATCCCCACAACCGCGAAGTCACCCTGCACGGTATCAACGTCGCCGCCGATGCAAAGTTTCCCGATCGACCTGACCAGCCGTCTCACGTTGCCGAGGACTTCTTCAACGGCGATAACGTCTCGTTCGCCCAGCGGCCGTTCCCCGTGGAAGAGGCGTCTACCCACTTTACACGGCTAAGGAAATGGGGGTATAACACGATACGCTATGTCTTCACCTGGGAGGCTATCGAAGCGGCAGGACCGCGGAGGTACGACGAGGAGTGGATCCAGCATACACTCTCGATACTCCGGGTCGCCAGAGACCATGGGTTCTACGTTTTCATGGACCCCCATCAGGACGTCTGGTCGAGGTTCACTGGCGGTTCAGGCGCGCCGATGTGGACTGTATATGCTTGTGGGCTAAACCCTCGAGCGTTCGACGCTACAGAGGCTTCTCTAGTGCAGAATACCTACCCAGAGCCTGAGAAGTTCCCGAAGATGATTTGGGCCACTAATTACCACCGCCTCGCCTGCCAAGTCATATTCACTTGCTTCTTCGGCGGGAAGGATTTTGCCCCGAAGGCCATTATTGACGGCAAAAACGTCCAGGACTGGCTGCAAGACCATTTCTTCGATGCATTAAAACACCTCGCGAAAAGGATCCATGAGGCTGGCGATTTGGAGAACGATGTGGTCATAGGGTGGGAGAGCCTGAACGAGCCCAACAGAGGTCTGATCGGCCACCCCGATCTCTCCGTCATTCCACACGAGCAGAAGCTCAAAAAGGGCACATCTCCTACCGCTTGGCAAGCAATCCTAACTGGATCGGGCAGAGCTTGCGAGATTGACACATGGGACTTTGGGGGCATGGGCCCTTACAAATCTGGCACTGTGCTGATAGACCCGCAAGGCCAGTCGGCTTGGCTACCTGCAGACTACGATGACACTTACTACGGCTGGAAGAGAGACCCAGGATGGAGGCTGGGCGAGTGTCTATGGGCTCAACATGGGATCTGGGATCCATCTACCGACGACCTCTTGAAGAAAGATTACTTTGCCAAGGATCCACGTACTGGTGAGACGATAGACTACAAATACTTTACAGATCACTACTGGCTAGAGTACTATAGAAGACACAGCGCCATGGTCAAGAGTGTGTTTCCAGAGAGCATCATGTTTTGTCAACCGCCAGTGCTGGAGGTGCCGCCGTCCATGAAGGGTACGAAAGACGATGATCCAAACATCGTCTTTGCTCCACATTTCTATGATGGCGTGACGCTGATGACGAAGAAGTGGTACGTGCCAGAATCCACTCCCTATTCTGACAATCTCGCTTACCTTACGCCAGGAACCGGCTCTGGAACGTAGATGTGTTCGGCCTGTTGAGAGGGAGGTATCTGAGTCCGGCATTTGCAATCAAAATCGGCGAGACAGCGATCCGAAACTGCTTCCGAGATGAACTGGCAGCAATTAGGAAAGAGGGCATCGACTACATGGGAAACCATCCCTGTGTCTTCACGGAAATCGGCATCCCATACGACATGGATGACCAGTACGCTTACAAGACCGGCGACTACAGCAGCCAGATCGCGGCCATGGATGCGAATCACTTTGCACTTGAGGGCTGCAAAGCCAACGGTTTTACCTTGTGGACTTATGTCGCGACTGTAAGCTAGGTACGAGGCTTGAATAAGACAACAAATGCTGACCAAAGCCAGAACAACCACTACTGGGGAGATCGATGGAACGGCGAAGATCTCTCCATCTACTCGAAAGACGATCTCCCACTTCCAACCCCAGACTCGGGCGCCGAGTCCCGCAACTCCCTCGATCCGAACTCCCCGTCCTACTCGCAAAGCCAGCTTTCAAGAATCGCAAGCATTACGCCGTCAAACCTAAAGCAAGCCCTCTCTGGCGAAAACATGACATCATCGAATCCAAAGCCGCCCTCTGACAAGCCAGATAAACCTGGCTACCGCGCAGCCGAGGCCTTCGTCCGTCCGACCCCCATCGCCACGCACGGTGATCTCTTGACCCACGGCTTCGACCTCCGCAACTGCATCTTTAGACTCTCTCTCACAGCGAAGACGCCCACACAAGACGACGCACCGACGGAGATATTTCTCCCAGAGCATCACTTCCCGCAGGGGAGGAACACGATTGAGGTGAGCGGCGGTAAATGGACGATCAGTGTTGAGGAGGGCGAGGGATGTGAGACTCAGCGGCTGAGGTGGTGGCACGGCGAAGGAGACCAGCACATAAGTATCAAGGGTGTGAGAAGGAAGACTGGGACGGTGCTTGGGGCTGAGGAAGAGGAGGGGTATTTGGAGCAGTGTCAGCAGCAGGGAAAGAACTGTGTGGTTATGTAGGGGGACAATAGACGAGAGTGTTGAGATAGTCGGGTGGGGAACGTGGTTTGGGAGCATTGGTTCCGGGGGGTCTGAGTTGGGATACCAGGCGTTATTGTACAGCTTACATGTTCACCGAAGCGTTGACTGTCTTCCAAGTTGAAGGTGACTCCCGTGACTCCGTGTTCAGGCAGAAGCGCGTGTGTGCCCGCCGCCTCGTCTCTTGCAAACGCTCCAGATGATAGAAGTGCTCAATAAGAACTTCTCGATCATGTGAACGCATGCGGTCCCGGCCTGGAGGCATTCAATGCTAACGTTTCTGTCTTCTGCAGCGTGTTTCGACGCAAATTGTGACAACATTCGCAGCGACGACCTCTGAGCGCGGGTTTGTTTGCTTCCTCAGCCAGATATTCATTGCCTACTTTAAGAGTCTCTCAACGTGACTATAGTTTGAGCTGCCACTCTCGGAGCAGACTGCGACAGCTTGCAGCAAGCCTTCATGGCCATGAACGGCGAAGTCGCTCACACGACCAACGGATCTTCTCAAGCTCCCACTCCGAGCACAACTGACAACGATCTTTCGCAACTACGAAAAGCCCTCGACACCGCATACGATTCTCACACGTCCGCCGAGCTTCGACAGCAAGCAACCGCTCTCCTCGATGAAGCCAAACACCATCCCCAAGCTCCTACCTATGGTTTCCAGCTCGCTGTTGAAAAGTCCCACCCGCCAACTCTCCGCCATTATGGCCTGTCCATGCTCGAGTTTTCGATCAGACACGTTTGGGACGAGTACGACCAGCAACAAGCCGATGAAATCACGCACCTTGTGATACAGCTCGCTCGGAGCATCAGCCCACGGGATCCGTCGTTTCTTCGGAACAAGATAGCACAGCTATGGACAGAGCTGGCCAAGCGGTCCTGGGGAGATGGATGGATGGACATGGACCATCACCTCGTCGCGTTCTGGGAGACATCTCTGGAGCACAGAGCCCTCGTCCTCTACATTCTGGAAGCCCTGTCTGAGGACATCTTTATTCGGGAGGATGCTGCAGCTGGTGTGCGAGGACCAGACTTGGGCAGGGCCTGCGTGGACATATTCGTCCCGCAGGCGGTCCTCCAAGAACACTTCTCAAAGCGAGAGACGGGACCACAGGTTCGAAGCGGAGATCAAGGATGGATCATGAGGCTGTGTGAGTTTTTGGGCCAATCCCTCGGCCCTTCCTGGCCGGACGACCAGATACGCTACTGTGCAATCCGGTCCTTAGGTGCCTTACGAGCAGCTGTGGCATGGGTCATGCCCAAGGCCATCTCAGTGACCCACTGCGTCGACTACTTCTGTCAGGCGCTTGAGTCACAGCCGGACGTAGAGCTCAGAACGGTAACTATGCCCTTATCATCAATCGGATCAGGGAATATTGCTGATTTATCAGGCGGCTGTCGAGGCTATGCAGGCGATCTACGGCCGGCAAGGGCTGCACGACGATGAGTTTCTCGAGCTCGTTTGTCCCATGTACTCACCGGCACGCATATCTCTGTTCACCGATGTCTACAACTGGTCAATTACAGGTTGGGATGTTCATGACCTCGATGAGGCCAAGTACACGCTTTGCAAGAAGCTCTCCGAGGTTTGGCCTACGTCTCCTATAGTATCATTCCCAACTAATATACGCAGCTACTATCAACCTTAACAAACTTTGTCGAGCAGAAACCACATCTCGTCCCGAAAGGGAGCGCTCTGCATGCCCTGTTCTCTCTCTCATTCGAGCTGTTGGGACATCCGAGCCTAACCGTCTCGATTCCTATCCTCCATTCATGGACAAAGTTGCTGAGAGGTCGGATTCTCCAAGACTCCGAGGTCAGCCTCTTGATCAGAGGCCCCTTTCTCGAAATTTGTAGCCAGAGACTTGTGCGTTACGAAGCCTTACCTGAAGACTGCACTGACACAACGTTTCTGTTCCTCAACGAGGACTTCGATACCGTACCTGAGCGACATGCGTTCATCGGCAACTATCGACGGTACTGCGTTGACATGGTCGAGATCATGGTTCGACGGATGCCGCCTGAGGCCATACCGCATATCCTGGTGCGGGCTGATACAGTGCTAAAGAACCTTTACCAAGGCCAACCGCCTTTCTCAATGCAAGACTTTTCCAAGAGCTCACCAACTATGCTCCACGCTGAAGCTCAGGTTACTGTGATTGATGCCGCCCTGAAGGGCTACCTCAAATGGCTCAGCCGCGATGGGAGCGATCCGCAGCAGCGAGAGAGCGACCGGAACATCATAGAAGACAATCTTGAGCAGTGGTGCAGCAGCGTGCTCGCGACTGAGATACAAGACCCTGAACTCGTGAGAAAGATAATTCAGCTAACGGTGACAACGTCGGCCAAGGCTTTGCCAACAAGACCAAGTCTTGCCGGAACAATCCTGGAGTACATCATCAACATACGTTTTGACGACAACGAGGCTTTTCCTTTGTACTCCGAAGCGGTCAAGAGCCTGGATTCGACGTGCGCATCAGAAATGCAACGGCTTGCTATAGCGTTCCCTGACTTCTTCATGAGCGCCTACAGTGAGCTCGAGCGCAAGTTGGAGCAGGTAATGAGCTCTCGTTTAGGCGACAACGACCGCCGTGCGTCGGGCTTCAAGAGTTTCTTGTTCATCATAAACCAACGATCCACTCCGAAAGACGAAGCCGAACGGTTGGAACGGCAGAACCGGCTTGAGGAGGCTTTGAACGCAACTGCTTTATCGTGGCAGAACCCTGAGCTGACCGAGGCCGGAAGAAGCTTTGACGGGTTTCTTCGCGTTCTTGGGCTTGATCAGTTGCCTAGCTTCTTCTCGACGCGACAGCTCCACAGAGTAGAAGACTGGTCGGCACAGCAGCTGGATGCGGAAGGCCAGGCGCTTCAGAACCATATCCTGGAGAAATGCCAGAGGTTACCGCTGCGCTCGACGAAGCATTTGCTTGCCGCGTCGACGGAGAAAGTACGCGAGGACAGCCAAATCTTCGAGACCGCGTGCGAGCTCTGGTCGTCCAAGCTCCCCAGCATTCTTCAGGCTCTACTCCCGCTCATCGCCCAAGCCCAAGCCTTCCACAACATGGACAACTGGTCACAGTATCCAGAAGAGATGCAAGTCATCATCAAGCGGGTGCTCACCGACCGGTTCTGGCAAGCCGGGATATCTAGCGAGAGCAGAGATGACTTCTTTGCTAGAGTTAGCGAGTCCAAGACGACGTTCGAGGGCTTTGCCTCCACGGTACGCGGAACTATTAGGCAGATCCGAGAGACGTCCTTCTTTATTCTTTATGGCATGTCGCGCTTCCGAGACTTCTTCTATGGTATCCCTGGGCTACCTCAGGGCCTGAGCGAAGCCCTGTATAAGGATGCGCATGCACTATCGACACATCACTTATCAGTGCTTTTGAGCATGTCGAACAGCTTGATCGAGCAGTGCCCCGTCCATCTCCGGCCTCATTTCCTACCACCTGTGGTCGCAGGACTTGCCTCCAAGCTGGACATGAAGATTTCCGCCGAATGGGATTCCATCAACACAAAAGTCAGCCAGTCTGGGGACAACGACAACCTGGGCGATGAGATGAAGGCGGAGAGTATCCTGCGCCAACTCACCTTCTCCTCACTCACGCTCGTCTCCACCTTGCTCGATTACCCGCGCACCGGTAAGCAAGTCTATACATTCGAATACAGCCTCATCAGCGGATCTTCCGCGCCGCTGACCGTCTCCACACCACCAGACCTACCACGCTCATCCCAAGCTCCGCACCCTATGTACAAGTTCATCCTTGCGACTCCCACCGCCATGGAGCCGCTGCTCGTCTTCCTCGCGCACGCCCTCACCTTCCGCGACACCCGCAGCTGCAGCCTCGCGGTCCGCATCCTGCGCGGCACGCTCCCCCACTACCGCGACGCGTCGCCCGTGCGCGACTTCCTCGCCTTCGACGTCCTCAGAACGGCCGTCACGTCCCTGCACGAGCCCTACTTCGTCGACGTGCAGAAGGACCTCGCAGGGCTGATTGCGCAGATCATCCGGCTGGACCCCGAGACGGCGCGGGGGCTGATCCTGAGTATGTCCGGCATGAAGGAGCGGGCGGCGAAGGTGGAGCGGGCATTTGAGGGGATTTGCGCCGAGGGCAAGGGCGAGAGGCAGCAGAGGGCGCTGGTGCTGGATCTGCTGGGCGATATTAGGGGCGTGGGGATTCATGAGATGGGGAGGATTGAGCGGCCGAAGCGGAGGGAGAAGGTTAGAGAGGAGTATATGGAGCCGGAGCAGACGGGGATCGTGAGGGGGGAGGAGGACTTTGAGGGCGTGCAGGATATGTTTGGCTGAAGGACAGGTTTGGAGGGCTGATGAACTTGCTTGAGGAGAGGAGAGCTGGCGGTAAAGAGCTACTCTCGGGCTTTCCCCTGACGGCGTTGCCTGTGGGATCAGACCGGCAAGGTGGTAGGCATATGGCTGGTTTCTGCGCTCCGATAGCCTCTTCTATTGCGTAGTTGACTAACGTAGCCGGGCTTAATAGCATTTAATGAGCGAAGTCGAGCTGATTCAGTTCCGCTACACGTGTACAGCTGGTGCCAAATCCCCTGACTGCAACCACGGAAGTCACATTTGACACAAGTCTGTAGCGTCTGTGGCGCCCTTCAATTGCCCCTCCCGCATCATGAGACCCTTGTACGGCTGCCCCGCCGGCGACTTCCACGGGGTCACGTCCGGCCACGCCAACGACATTCAAGCATTTGCAGCAGTAATAGCAATTGCGTCGGCCTCGGTGTCCAGAATCACGCCGCCGAAATGCATGCCAGCCTCTCACCAGGGCTTGAGTGGAGCTGCATCTCGCTTGGCCAGCGAGATCTGGTGGGGTCTGCAGAATGGTGATGTCAAAATGCGGGCCTGCGGTGCGTCATGGCCATGGGATTTCTCGATTCCAGTAAACACGGAAGATTCTGGCGTGTAGTTGAATATATCAGCTGAGCCCTTCCCCGTAATATCTTCTTCCTCTTCATACAATCCGCTCCATCCAACTACCAATTTCTCACAACCAACACCTCCACAACCTCCCCCCCAAAACACACAACACCCAAAACACAACCGAACAACCTACCCCCACCCACCGCAACCATGCCTCAAGAACTCAAAGCCGAAGACGTCAACTCCAAGACCGACCCCTCTGTCGCAAAGCAATGGGACGACTCCAGCTCCTCCGAGACCAAATTCAACGACCTCTACGCCATCACCGACAAGCTAAAGGTGTGCCTCCTGGGCACCTACCGGCAAGGCACAGGTCCCGTATCGCGCAGCATGGCCATCGGCAAGCGGGTCGGGCCGGACTTCCTCTTCCTGGCCAACAAGCACTCGCAGAAGTTCTCCGACCTCGAGGGCAGCAAGGAGACGCAGATCACCTTCCAGAACTCCAGCTCGCAGGACTGGGTCTCCATCTCCGGCACCGCTACCACCGTCGACAACTCGGACCCCAGGATCAAGGACCTCTACAACCCGGGCGTGAGCGCCTGGTTTGGCGATCTCGGCGATGGGAAGCACGATGGCACGCCGGATGACCCGAGGATGGCGCTCATCGAGGTCAAGGCCAAGTACATCAGCTACTGGAAGGCGCAGGTGGGCTTGCTGGGGTATGCGAAGGAGGTCGCGCAGGCGGCGATTACGGGCAAGGTTGCGGATGTGGGCGTGCAGAGACATATGATGGAGGATGAGATTGAGCAGGAGAGGAGCAGGAGCTCGTAAGGCGCTGGAGGGGCTTGGTGAGGGCGGGATGGATTTTAGTTTGATATCGCGGTGCTCTAAAGCGAATGAGAGCTTGCATCCAACCGTACACCTTGCAGTTGTCGTTTGTTCACGTTAACATGCGGTTAGGAAGTATCTTGTTGTCTGTGCTTGATGATGCACTAAGCCTATGTCTGCTAAGTGATCTATGAATGCAATCGTACGGCCACTCAAGAAGCCCGTAAGAGAGAGTGAGAAAGGGAGACAGGTCCTGGTGTGTGTGAACCCGGTCATGAGAGGAAGCTCTGACGCACTCCCAATAGCAGGAGGATGCTCTAAGAGGACGCAAGAGAAGCGAAGCAGACGAACCGCTAGAGATGGAGTAGAGATGACCCTGCGAAGAGAGGAGGGGGCCCAGCTCAAACTGATAAGTCCAACACCAGCATGAAAGCGAAAGGATACCCAACGCTCTCTTCTTTCCCCAGAGCAGCCGGGTCGCTCACTTCTTCTTAGGACGGATCCTCGTGCACGCCACCATCTGCCGTACCACATCCATCAGCTCCGGCTGCTTCTCATCAATCCTGTAGTACCACTGCCTATGCACCAACGGCCCAGTGTGCTTATCCTCCGGATCCCAAAGGTTCGTGCACTCCTGCATCGCAGCCCGGAATTTGATCCAACAGCCGATTTCAGCGGCTTGGTGCAAGGCGTGCGCGCCACGTTGCGCCGGGACCCCCGGTGGCAAACGGAGCTTGAGGTGCATCTTGGCTGTGTGGAAGGTCAGCGCAAGGTAAGGAATAGGATAGGAAGACAAAAGAGAAGTCGCAACGTACTTTGGTGAGGGTAGCTCGTGATGCGGATCAGAGTGTACCGCAGCGGCTTGTCCGGCGCAGATTGGCTGAGAAAGACGGCCTTCTGGGCTGGCACGTCGACCCAGAACACGCCGGGCTGGCCGTTGTGGGTCGCGAAGACTTGCTTGGGCCCGCTGCCGGTGGTGTCGGTGTAGGCTGCCGACAGCGGGCCGGCGACATTTTCTAAGGGACGCCAATTTCCGTAATATTCTGATATCGTAGTTCAGCGACGGCTTCGGGCACAGGAAATGGAGAGAAAACTACCTACGGTCTGCTTCGTGTTTCGTAGGGTCTTTTTGAGCACGGTTTCGTGCGCCGGGCACCTGCTCTTCAGTTCCAGCGGGAGCGGCTGCTTCTTCCGGCGGGCTGAGGGAGATTGGTTGCACACCTCCGTCTGGGTGTTCACTTACGTCCGGGCTCGGCGCTTCCTCTTTCGCGGCCGACTCTTGGATAAGGTTGCTGCGGTTTAGGGGGGCTGGGGAAGGGATTCGCGATGCTGCTGGTGAAATTGTCTGAGACGCACTCCAGGGTGGGTTGTAGGCCAGAGCAGTTTGCGGGAAGGCAATCGGCGCATCATGTCGAGCGGCCGGACTTTGGTGAAAGATGTTGCGGTTTGGGAGGCCGTGAAATATTGATTGCGAACCAGATGGTGCTGGCGCCTGAAACGCACCCCACGACGAGTTGTAAGCCGGTCCATTGTGCGGGACAATCGCGGAACCCTGAACCACGCCCCATGGTGGGTCATAGGCTGGTCCAGTCAGCGGAGCAACCTGCGGTACATTACACAAAGCGCGGTATGCCCTGTCCAGCTCCTCCCGATTGCTAAACCGGAAGTCAGGGAGACCGTTCGGCTGATTGATTCCCGAGCGAGGGAGACCATTCGATGGCCAGGCAGATCTTGATGGGGAAAACGACTCTGCGGTATGGGCACTGCCGGGATTGTAGCCTAACCTTAGACTGCTTCGGACCTGAGGTTGTTCATCGTCATCGGAAAGGTAGTCGTCCTGTAGATCTACAACCTCCGCTGAACGCTGTAGTACTGGAGGCATAGGCAGTTCGTTGAGCAAGGTTGCTGCATGAAAATCGACTGTCTCTTGATGACTCGGGTTGGCGAGATCTGGATCGTTCGGAGTTGGCGTTGCAGCGGCCGTGGCTGCCGATGGAGACGAAGATGATTGCTGCATCTTGCCAGGTCGAGAAGACGCAGATGTTGCTAAGGTTGCTGTTGTAGTCTGAATCTCATTGGCTTGTCTTCGAGCTCCTAAGAACGATAGTTCTGACGCTGGGTCACCACCTCAATCGACGATCTATGGAAAAGGGTTGATGGAGTGAGGAGATGGGCGACTGTCAAAGACTGAGAGGCGATATCTACTGACCAAGTCTGTGACTATGAGTCAGCCAAAATCGGTTTGATGTTGGAAAGCGACTTTGTCAGTGGAGGTGGTTGAAGCTGATGCGGACTGTACGAAGGATTCGTAAGTGAAAGAGTGGTTCGTGGCGGAAAAGAAAACAAATAAAATCACGAAGAGTAGACTGAAAAGATCCTAAAGATCAGCAATGAATGCTGATGCAAACGCCACTTCACTCTGCCCGCATCTGCTACGCAGCTTCACAATGGTGCTCATTGGGAACAACCAATTCACCACGCCAACACCGACATGAGCTTTTGTCGACAAGCTCACATTCAGCTGGCTCACTGCTCTTCAATGCATGCTATCACGGCCGGCCGACATCTTTCTCGGATGTGCTTGGTGCGACTGTTGTGGCCACTGTCAGCCGGAAGTCGTGGACGGAGTGCGTGAAAGATTGGAATATCCGATGCGTTGAGAGAGTGTTGTTTTGGCATTCTGAACTAGGGGAAGTTGCTCATTGATGGATCGAGCATCACCGGGTTACCCTATGTTCGATATCTCCTTTGGAAAGTTTAGAAGCTTAGAGAACATCATGGAGGGAAGAAGTCGAAGAGACACAAAGTTGAAGTCTGATTGCGCTTGGACGAACAACGTCTCAGAACGGTAGCTGACAGAATCTTGAACATAAATCTGGTCAGTGAGGCTCCATGCAACCAAGCCTATCTCAGTGTCTTGGTCAAACACGAGGGTTTGAAGTCGACAAGCGAGACCCCGAACACACAAGCATCTCTTAAGATTAGAAAGGCATTCGGACTTAGACGTGATTATGGCTGAAGAGAAAGCTCGATGCTCAAAGCTCCACCATATGCGAACGCCTACGAACGACCGATGGCTTGAAATACTTCTAATAACGCTGCAAGTCGAGTTTACCGTCCTCAAGTTCCCTGCTGTCATGATCTCTGGCCCAGCAAAGGTTTGACAGTCACGCAAGGTCCCCCCACCGTTCTACTCCACGTCGCATGAGCACCATGTATAGGCGGATGTCTCATGTTCCCTAAGTCGTTTAAGTTGTAGTTGAGATTGGACTTTCCACGCCGTTCCTAATACTTTCCCTCCTTCGCACGGTACCAGAGCGGGATAGATCCCCCACATCTTAATGGCAATGCCCGCCACAACTACTTCTTCTGCCACAGACACTTCTTCAAGCCTAAGGATAGCCTGCAGTACTTCTGGGTCTGTTAACGAATCATAGAAGAAGAAGAAGCACGGTTGGAACGGGGGCTTCTCGGCTCCCTCCAGCTTACAGCTGCCATCTGCAGCTGCAGCAAATTTGCGTTCTGGGACAGAAGGTGACCGCTATGAGCCGAATGGATCGGAAGGCGATCGAAGGGGATGTGCTGAGGCCTAGGCTGCAGATCTTGAAGGAAGAGGCGGAGGTGGAGGGGACATAGCTGTGGTTGAGGATGGTTCTAAACCTTGTCTTCCTGTGTCTTGGAATTTGCTGTCTTCGTGAGAGTTATCGGACATGTCTGGGCTGCAATGGATGATAGAGATGACCGGAGATGTCCAAGCTGCCACGTGATCTGGAAAATTGTGGTCCGGGCGCAACATCTCGAAAAGGAGCGTTCCGAGAGGAAAGCGGAAGTATGAAGATAGCCCCTGAACCATACTACCGGCGTGTGCGTGACACGCGTGCATAGAACATCTGGTGGTAACACTGCCAGAGAACGAGTATGTAAGTTGCAACGTAGCACTACCCATTGCTCGTCCAAAGGTAGAGAAGTTTTCTTATTCATTCTGCTTGTCTAATTTCTCAGAATCGTGCCGTTTTAATCCAATGCTTCCCGCAGTTCGAACTCATAATGCTGCATTCAAAAGCAGCCCCAGACGGTTAGCTTGGTAGCCGTCAGCGTCATCAAAAATCCACTATGGCCCCCCCGAGTGATCCTACGGCTTGGGAATTTGCAGCGTCTTGCTGACCATCAGACATCCGTGCAAGACGAAAATCAAGGCCAACGGGTGAAACTCAAGTGGCGTTCCCTCGAGAACCGTCCCTAGTGGTATGTTCTCATGAATCCACCCCTTGCTGACGCAGTATGCCATAAACGCGACCTCTCCTAGCGTCGTAGGGATCGGCGTGCCTTCAAAGTATTTTGATTTTCCAGTGGCGTCCTTGGGCAGCATTGCGACAGTAACATTGAACCGCGCGAGGCGAGAAAGGCCGCATAGGACGAACACGGTCAGGAGGAGGTGGTCGAGAGGGCTACGGAGACCGATAGCGAAAGCCGCGGCTGCTGGAGACATGCCGAAAGAGATCTGGTTATCGCGTTGGTATTAGCCGTATCCCGCTAGTGAACATGGGGCACGCCATACCAGATCAGCTAGAGAGTCGAGCTCTTGGCCCATCAGAGAAGCCTTTCCTCGCCATCTTGCGACCCTGCCATCCATGAAGTCAAAGAAGAGACCAAGAGGCTGTAAGGCGAGCGCGGCCCAGAGGTTGGAGTAGTCGTTCGGCGCGCCGAGACAGTAGCGCATGGCGGAGAAGATGGACATGACGCCGCAGAAGCCTGGGATGGCGTGTCAGCAAATCCACGTAGCGCGTCTGTAAGATTTTGTCGTACCATTTAGTTCAGTAATCAGATCCGCAAGGTGGAGTGCTCTATGGTGAATTAACGCATGACCCGCGCTATTATTGGGAGCGCTGTCGGGTACCTCATAAGAGAGAAGTGGCCGGTATCAGAAGACAACAGCTTGACCTGCTTGTCTTTGGCTACACAAGGGTCAACAACATTCTCTCGGAGTAGCAGATGCCAGTCCTACGGGGCTCTGACACGGCCTCCGAGGCTTTTTGCTCGACGCCGTTCGGGGCGGTTCTTCTTTGCGACATGATGACCTGCGTTGGTGTATGAGAGTACACGCAGTATGTTGACAATTTAAGTGAAAAGCTAGGTGGAGCGTGGGGCAGCTGGGAAGGAAAACAAGGTGTTGCGAGACGCTAAGGGTCCTGTTGTTCGGCGGCGGGTGGGTGGGTTGATGCGCGCCAGCGGCGAGACGTCATCCGTGATCGCCGTTGCCGAGACCGGATTTTTGAGATTGAACCCTTGCAGGCGCGGCCGGGTCCAGGTTTGCATGGTGCGAACTGGCAGTTCAATCAAGCATCACGTGTCGGGATCAACTAACTCGCGGTAGTGCTTTCGAATATGGTTTGATGAAAGCTCCTAGAACAAAACAGAGCACCCCTCGATGGTTATCTGCTGTACAGACCAGCCCACTCTGCGCCCTCAACGCCGTCCATGAACCGTGATTGCTAAGCCTCGTTGTTAAGAAGCTTAACCTCTTCCTCTGCTGAAGCCTCTGCTACCGCCTCTGGGTGCGCCGCGGCCTGGACTGAAGCCGCCTCCCCTTCCACCTCCAAAGCCCCTGCTGCCACCTCCGAACCCTCCGCTGCCACCTCTTCCACCTCGGTCGCCAAAGCCTCCTCTTCCTCTCGGAGCGCCTCGACCTCCACCTCGCATGCCTCTGCCTCCTCGAGCTGGGCCGCCTCTCGAGGTGCCACCTGCGCGCTTAGGTTTCGGCGCGCCTGGTGCGGGCTTCGGTCTTGGTAGGAACCTGCAAGGCCGACTTTTAGTTTTGCCAACCCTTCAAGGTCTCCGGATTGTCTCACTTCTCTAGCGGCAATAGCTTGTCTCCGCCAATGTAGAATTTGTCTCCGGATTTGAACGAAGTCGCGACGATGCCTTCTTGTGGTTTTATGGTGAAGTAAACTTGGTTGAGGGGGCCGAGGATCTCATCGACTTTGCCGATCGCGGTCTGGAGGCTCCAGTCAGCTCCGTTCTGACCAGTGCATCACCGTGAGTCGGCTTGCCTTGTTTTCGAGATATATCGGCGCATTGAAGTAGGGTATCTTTGTGTTGATCGACTCGCACACCATCTCGCCCTCGCATGCGTGGAGGAAAGTGCCCATTTCTGCTACACCTTAGCCCAGATCCTTGAAGATCTACACTGTCCACTTCGAGCGCACCTAGAACCGAATCCGGGGGCCCGTACGATTGCTGAAACCCTCCACGACCTATGGAGTGTGAGCTTGCGCCCTGATAAATATGCGCGTGTACAGATCTGACCTCCGCGGGCTCCGCCGAAACTTCCACCTCGTCCACGAGGAGCACCGCCCCCGCGACCACCGCGAAAGCCTCCTCGAGACGCCATTGTGTAATTGAGTTGGGTTTGAGCGCAATTTGTTCGTCCGTGTATCCTTCGCAATATTTCCGATTTTCCTCAGAACTCTGAAGCTTGCCGGAATAACAGTTTCGCCGGGAAACGCGCCAAGCCGCAGTTTACAGTCACCAACTTCACAATCTCGCATTCGGTGGATTTATATTCGTGTCAAGGGGCACAGATTGCCCGAGACAAACAACATCTGAAGTGACTAAAAAGCTCTCCTGGTATCCAGGTGTCATATCTCCAAGATCAACCACCTGCTGCAAAGATGGAAGCAGTGAAAGACGCCGTAGAAGGCGTCAAGAACCTTGCCGTCCAGGATGGCCAGAAAAAGCAGAAGAAAGAGAAGAAGCCAAAAGGCGCTGATAGTAGCGATGCGCGGCCCTTGGAGCTCAGTCCGCCGCCTGCCTACTTTGATCACCGGATACGGATTTTTGAGGAGCTAAAGGCCAAATACGATGAGGAAGTTTCACGAAAGCCCCATGAACCAGTCACAGTTACCCTGGCCGATGGCAAGCAGCACGTAGGAGAATCATGGAAGACCTCCCCTGCGGACATTGCTAGAGGAATCAGCAAGTCTCTGTTTGAACGTACTGTGATTGCACGTGTGGATGGGGAGCTTTGGGACCTGGAGAGGCCTTTGGAGAAGAGCGGTCGTCTCGAGCTTCTTGGTAAGCGTTGTGCCATGGATCTGACCTGCACGTAAGCCAATGCTGATTCTTCAGACTTCGAGGATCCTGAAGGCAAGAAGGTATTTTGGCACAGCAGTGCGCACATCCTGGGCGAGGTACGTGTATGGCTGTTCTATAGGAAGGATTCTCAATTGACCTCATCAAGGCAGCGGAACGGAGGTTTGGTTGTGATCTCTGCATAGGACCCCCAATCGAAGATGGCTTCTACTACGAGATGGCGCTGCCAGGCGGCGAAGTAGTACAGCAATCAGATCACGACCCGTTAGAAAATCTTGCGAACAAGATCGTCAAGGAGAAGCAGCGGTTTGAACGCCTGGAGTTGTCCAAGGAGGATCTTCTAGAAATGTTCAAGACCAATAAGTACAAGCAACACATCATCAAAGATAAAATACCTGACGGATCGTCTACTACTGTATACCGGTGCGGACCCCTAATAGATCTCTGCCGAGGTCCTCACGTTCCGAATACTGGCCGAGTGAAGTTCTTCAAGGTGATGAAGGTAACAATTGCGAACACACACTTCAGAAAGCTGATACGGTACAACTGACACCGCTGTAGAACAGTGCATCTTACTTTCTTGGCGATGCCAACAACGACTCCTTGCAACGCATCTATGGTGTTTCTTTTCCGGAAAAACAGATGATGGCCGAACACTTGAAGTACTTGGAAGAGGCCGCTAAGCGTGATCACCGCAAGATTGGCAAGGAGCAGGAGCTCTTCTTCTTCCATGAATGTGAGACCTACTCTTCTTCTTCTCAGGCCTGTTATTGGTTTCAGTCTGACTTGTTTAGGGTCTCCTGGTTCCTGCTTTTTCCTTCCACACGGCATGGTTATCTATAATGTAAGTCCTTATCAGAATCCCCACAATCGGCTGTTCCCCTTCGCGTATAGACTCTTCAGCACTCATCAGAAGTATTGGACATGCACAAGCAAGAATTACGTCTGGCATGGTCTATGACTGCCGGGGAGCAGATGTCTGGTTCATGGCCCGCCTCAACCCTGTTGGGGCATCGCGGCGTGCTTTTGCTTAATGTCGATCATATGCTTTTCTTCAATGATTCGTTAACCTTTTATCTTCAGACCCTCCAATCTTTCCTTCGCTCGGAGTACTGGAAACGTGGGTACCAAGAAGTGTCGTCGCCGAATATGTACAACGCTGCATTATGGAAACAGTCGGGACACTGGCAGCACTACAAAGATGACATGTTTACGTTCGAAGTCGAGAAGGACCAGTGGGCGCTGAAACCGATGAACTGTCCAGGCCACTGTCTGCTGTTCAGCCATCGGGAGAGGAGTTACAGGGAGCTGCCCATGCGGATAGCCGATTTTGGTGTATTACATCGAAACGAGGCTTCTGGCGCCCTTAGTGGTTTGACTAGGGTGCGGCGATTCCAGCAGGATGACACGCACATCTTCTGCACGGAGGAGCAGGTAATATATCCGCAATGTGTGTGCAAGATCTGATTACTGACAACCCTTCCAGATCGAGCAAGAGATCACCGGCCTGTTCGACTTCCTCCGCACTGTCTACGGCAAGTTCGGCTTCACCTTCAAGATGAAGCTGTCTACCCGACCAGACAAGCACCTCGGCGACGTGGAGACTTGGGACAAGGCCGAAGCACGCCTAAGCGCTGCGCTCGACCAGTTCACAGCGGAGGGTGGTTCACAGTGGCAGCTCAATCCCGGCGATGGCGCCTTTTACGGCCCCAAGATCGACATCACCATCTCGGACGCCCTCAAGAGGGATCATCAGTGCGCTACGATTCAACTAGATTTCATGCTACCAAGACGGTTCAACCTCGAGTACATGTCGCCTGATGCGGCCGCCGCGAAGCCGAAATCGGAGGCACCGGAGAGCCAACCACCACCACCTGAGCAGTCAAAGGAAGATGGGAAGCTGGATGCTGTGGAGAAGGAGTTGACGCCTGGCTGTGCACGTCCGGTCATGATCCACAGGGCCATCTACGGAAGCTTCGAGCGTTTCATCGCCATCCTAACCGAGCACTTTGCGGGCAAAGTAAGTTTAAATCAAGCTCGCGAACACCGTAGATTCACAATGCTGATGAATCAAAGTGGCCGTTCTGGCTGAGCCCCAGACAAGCGCTCGTCATCCCTGTAATGCCAGCCGTCAATGACTACGTCCGCGAAGTGCAGCAGGTATTCAGAGAACGTGGCATGCACGTCGACATCGATGTATCCGGCAACACGATGGCGAAGAAGATCCGGAGCGGGCAACTCGCGCAGTACAATTTCATCTTCGGTAAGCATTCCGTTCCGCCATCTACGAGGAGCGTGGTCGGGAGCTAACTTTCGAATAGTGGTTGGCGCCGCGGAAAAGGACAGTCGCACGGTTAATATCCGCAACAGGGATATACCCGAGACCCAGAAGCTGGGCGAGCTCGTGCCGCTGGATGAGGCTATCAGCAAGCTGGAGGCGCTGCGGGAGAGCAGGGCGCTGGAGAATAAGATGTAAGCACTGATGGCGAGGGCGATAGGCTGGGGGTGGGCATGGTGGTATGGGGGTTTCTGCATCGCATCCGGGATGGAGCGAATCACGCTTGGGCGGCAATACGCTCATGGCACACATAGAGTACACTGCGTGCTTTGGTCTTCAGGCTTGTAGAAGTGAGGCTAAGAAAACACTATGAATGCCGTTGAGACATTCCCTGCTATCCTTGCTACCCCTTCTATATGATTGATTTGCGGGCCTGGTGAGTCATTGAAGATGAGTATGCCTGAACAGCACGACGAGCCGTCAAAAACAATTCGGCCAGAACTCGAACCCGAGCTAAGTGGAGCGTTACAGCAAAAGGATATGGACACGGAAGTTGAACTCGGTCGGATTTGAACCGGCGACCTTCGGGAGATTCCTATCTGGAATCCGACGCGCTACCATTGCGCCACGAGTCCATGGAGTATGCGAGCTGCATATAGATTATATATCATAAATCTGTTGACAGAGCAGAGTAGGTTTCGGTTTTTGCACTCGGCATGGGGTCTTCGGGGTGTACTCACCCGCTCCATAGCTTTTCTATCCAGAAGACGAGGTAATACCGATCTTGCACCGCGATGTCTAGTACTAAAGTCGCTTACAACAACAAACTTATTAAGACTGACGCTGCAAATTAGCGCATCAACAGCTTCTTGGAGATAACCAAGATGTATATATTTATATATATATGCAAGCGATCTAGTAGTTACGTTTTGTCTCAAACCTTTTGCATATTGTACGTCTCTATAGTTTCTCTTCTCCTTACTCGTTGGTAGGTAACTGGTCGCTTTGAGTAGCGTTACGCTATGAAACGGCGCTGTCCTATAATATCATATTACGGTCGATCCTTCGGTTTATGGAGGCGTTCGGTCCCTGTAGGGACCGTAAAGGGCGAAGCAAACACAGAGAAACGACATGGTACGCAAATCCAGTTAGATTGTTCGAGGAAAATGCTTGTTCTTGACCCATCCTAGCGAAGGACAACTCCCCAATCGTTCTCTCAACCGGGAAAAAGTGATCATTATCCATACCACGTTTCGAACCGACACCTACCGCAGCACCTAGGCACTAAGGTAGCCCCACTCCCCGGCCCGCGCTCCATACGCCCAAACGTTCATCTCCAACTACCTATCCGGCATATCCCACACCCTAAAGCCCAAACCTACTCTTCACAGCCCCCATAACCAACCCCCTCTTCTGTTTCTGCACAAACTTACTGACATCATCCGCCCACCCGCTACTGTTCCCCTCAAGCCTATTCATCGAATCCCCCATGATATTCAGCTTCTCAGTCCTTTCATTAATCTGCCTTTGCATATACGCACTCCAGCCCTCCGTCTCCCCTCCCGCAGCAGCGCTGCTAGAAGAAGCGTTTGTGTTTGTGCGAGCGGCTTGCCGTCGAGCCGCCTCGTCCTGCCGCGCTTGTGCGAGCTGGCGTTTTGAGGGCGGACGGTCGGGGCCGCCGATCAGGAGATCGAGGTCTGAGGGCGTGATGTACTGGGTTCCGGATATCCACTGCAGGTTCGAGATGGTGGGGCGGGGCGGGATGGTCAGGTCGGGGTTCCAAAGGGTGTGCCTGGTCCTGTCCCTGTTTGCCATAAGAATGCTATGCTTTCAACTGAACAGGATAACAAAGATGAAAGGGAAATGATAAGAAGAGAGAACTTACAACACCTTCCCCGTCCCCCAAACATTCACCAACGCCAGCTCCGACGGCCCCGTCCAACCGAGTATATCCCCCGAGCCCGTAATCGTCGCATCGGCAAAACGTCTGACATCAAGAACATGCGACGCTTTTGCTGAGCCAATCTCCTTGAGCGCAGGGATAGAGTAGGCTCTCGCGCGGCCATCGCCAAACAGACCTACCAGCGCTACACCACGATCCTCAAACCGCACCACGCTGGCGGCGTCGCAGAGGAACTCATCCCACGTCTTCTGCGCGCCTTTGCTGGCCGCGGGCTTGAAGATGCGGGCGCCAGATGCGGTCACTGCGACCAGCACACCGTTGACTTTAAAGCCGCTGCGCAGATTCGCGACCGCGGTCTGGGAGGCGTAGGCGGGTCTTCCTGTGTCCGCTACAATTGGCGCGAGGCAGATTATGCGGTCGTCCAGAGAGACGGAGCCGGCGAATTGGACGACGTAGCGGCCGCCCGCATCTGGAAGCAACTTGAATGTTGCTAGATGACCAATGTTCGTCCCTGCATGGAGAAGTATGCTCGAGTAGTCGTCGCCCTCGAGCGTCATGACGCTGAATTCCAGTGTTGTCACCCACTCGGCTTTCGGCGCGGCTTGCTCGCTGTGCCGCCGGAAGCTACCGCGCCTGTCTGGCTTGATGAAGTCGTGCACGCTCGCGTTATAGATGATTGCTGGACCTCTCAGATCAATGACAACAACTTTCCCGCCCTCAAATCCTGCCACCACGAAGCCGACATCCGACAGCTTCAGCGCGGTTACAGGCCCATTCTGCTCATTAAGCAGCGTGAACGGCATCAAGCCTTCCGAGAGCCCTGGTTCCCTCCTCTCGATGATGTTTGTCAGCGCGCCCGGCGCATTCGGTTTTGGAGGCGGCGGCTCCCGGTCACAGTTCTTGTTAACGCCCCATCTGAAGACGACTAGCTCTCCGCTTCTCAGTCCGACTGCTAGCTCGCCGGTAGCTCCAGCCAGCGACGTCTGCGTGACTTCCAAATTATCTAGCCGTCCGACAGCACGGGCGACGTCAACTTGCAGAAGAGCTTCCTTTTCGATTTCGTCGCCATGGCCTGCGTCCCAGACTTTGAGCGTGCCGTCTGCATGCGCAGTCTGGAGGATATTGCGGCTTTCATATCGGCGCAAGGGATTGCTGGCTTCGGCGCCGCCTCTGAGTATTGGTGGCCCGCTTGAGCGGTATTCGGCCATGCCGAGCCATCTTGTCCGCTCGATCGGTGCCAGCGTTGCTCGGTTGATGAAGGGATGCACGAAAGTAAGGGAGGGGTGGAGTTGGTTGGTGGGCGTGATCGGTAATCCACTCGGAAAGCTTAAGGTGATGATTTCGCCGGATGAGAGTAGTGCGAGTATAGCTATGGGATCCTGCGCACCGGCAAAGAAGGGCGAGGAGCGGGGTATGATGCAGAAGTCAACGACTTCGGCGTTTGGAGGCGTGGGCAAGATTCTCTGGCGCTTCGGGGATTTGAAATGATCGGAAAGAACCTGCCATGACGACGTAGCATAGCTTGGTGTTCGTCCAAGCTCGAGAAACGTAAGACCTTTTGTCGGTGATGACATTGAAGCGCCTCCGGCAATCAGTATACCGGTATCTTCGGGATCTTGATTCGCACACCATGCCAGTCGAAAGACAGGTTCCCTCAATGAGAATGTACCAGGAGTAGCTCCAAGAGGGATGGTTTCTGTGCCTGGCTTGTCGATATCAGTGTCTTGCAAAGTTCTTGCCATGACAATGCGGCCGTCTTTGGTATCCCAGATGACGAGGCTTCCATCTTCGTGACCGGTCAAGATGAACGTCCCAGTTGGATGCCATACAGCTTGAGTCAGCTTTGGACTGCGTTCGGTATTGATCGATGCCGGATCTGAGTCTCCTCCAGGGGCTCCTCGTCGTAGTCGATACTGAAAATGGTGCAAAGCCTTGTTTTGCTTGAACGAATACATCACAGCGCCTTCGGAATAGCCTGAGATTCTTCGTCAGCATCGGACTGCGTTTCGGTTGCTACTGCAAATGCTCACCTACAAGTAGGGTGCCTATATCCCTAGGATGAAAGGCTAGTGCCACGATCGGACTGACCCGTGCCTTTGGGTTGAAGTCATTCCACATGTTTGGAATCTTGAAAGGCGCCATTGCCTGACGGTCAAGGTCATAGGCCAGAATATCGCCTACTCAGCAGGTATCAGCGAGCGGTACCCTCTTGGCGTGCCTGAAGACTATCAGAAAGGCTTTCGACTTCGTCCAGGATTTTTCTCTCTATCCCCAAAGCATGGGTTGTACTATGTTTGAGCATTACAAGGGCTGGATAGCTTACCGTTCTGCATGCCCAGAAGTGCATAGTCCAGGGTGGGGTCACTATGTATGGCCGTTACTATGCCCGGCAGCGAGTACGAAGTCACTTTCTTCTTGGTTTCCAATGAGTAGACCAAGAAGTCATTCTTCGCTAAGCACAGCAACTTGTCGGCACAAAACTGCAGGCTCTGGACGGAGGCTTTCCTCGGCAACGGAAGGACGACTTCAACGCGCCTCTGCCCGAAGACGTATATCTGGCCAGGCCCAAACTGGCTGTCGTTCGTGCCGACGGCGAGCAAGGACTGTACAGGATCATACGCGATCTGGGAGATCTGAGAATTGATTCCATAGCGATTGATCTAGCATAGTGTTAGCTGTGCAAGGCTGATATACGCTGTACAGTCGTACCTCGTCAATAACGAAAAGATCTGGGCTAAGGCCGGCAGATAAGTCAGTCTGTACTCCAGCTTGTTTGCCGCGAAGCAGATGGGCCATGATAGGTTTTATGGCCGGGCATATGGCTTTCTACAATTCTGCAGTCGTGACCGTGGAGCTAGGGCTGTTGTGTTGCGCGCATCTCCGTACGGTTCCTGCAGGGAGTGCGCCATGCCGAAGCGTTGGCGGCTGTTCCCGCAGCCATGCACGATTCCTATCTTGTGTTTCACACATGCCGCTCACTTTTCTGTTGCACGTTGAGACTGTAGGATAGGTTTCAACAGATTAAGTAGCAAGTATGGGAGGACGGGCATGAGACTTTTCAATGAATCTCTACCTAGCGAACCTCTATCCGATGTGATCCAGCCATAGAAGAAGAGCAATGGCTAGAGAACGCCGCCACAAGCACTGAGAGAATGCTGTATTCAAAGATGCAGAAACCTTCTACCACCATAGGCCCCATACTAAGCGCACGAGTTAGTGCACCATCACATCCTGAGTCTGAAGGTGGCTGACGGGGGAGTCATGGCCTTTGACCTCGGGCACCTTCTCTCCGTCTTCACCGACATCCATTTCCTCATCACCATCGCCTTCGACTTCCTCGTCTTCATCCTCGTCATCACTGCCGCTACTCTCTGCCTCAAGGTCCTCGCTGCCGGCCTCGGATGCCGCGTCATCCTCCTTGACATCGGCGGCAGTGTCCTCAACACCGGCCATTTCTGCGTCCTCGCCTAGCGAGGCGGCAACGGCAGCCTCTTCAGCGAGCTCCTCTTCTTCCTCCTCAACGCCGTATGTGGTGCCATCGTCTTCGGCCGTATCGGCTTCCGGCTGATCGGGCGGGAACTCTGGTGGGGCAGACTCTTCGGAGTCCCTGTAGATGTGTCGTCAGCTTGGTCCTCCGTGTAAACATGCAGTTGAAGCGTACCACTTGATAGCAAATCGCGTGACTCTAGGCTTCTCCGCAAGGATGTTGCGTCGAACCTTCTCGACAATGGGCTTGGCAGGAGGATCCGCGTTCAGAGCTTCATCGGCGTACTCGTTGTTGACATAGTATCCCACACGCACAAACTCTCTGCCGTCGTAGCTGCACGAGAGGAGGATAACGGTGACTCCGAGGATCTCGTTGTTTGGAATGCGGTTCAGCTTTGGAGAGTCGGCCTCGAAGACGAACTTGTTGACGCCAACGGGGACTGGGCCGACAGACAGCTCGTCAAGGGTTTGATCGAACTCTGACCTGCTCGAAATCAGCATGGCCCCTTGCCCGGCACGATGTTTTGACTTACGAAGTAGCGGAGCCGACGTAGGTCAGCCGCCATTCAAGGTCTGTTGCGTTGTTAGCAAGCGTGTGCATCCACCCTGGCTTGAGTCCTGTACCCTTCTGCAGTTGCTCCAGGCACTCGAAGGTGATTTCGAACTCGTACGACGAGTTGAATGGTGCCGGATTGTTCAAGACCGTGACGTTGAGCAGTGATACAACCTGGGTACACATGTCTTGTCAGACACCACTAGCTGAGAGCCTTGTGAGGACGCTGCTTGACGTACCGACATGGCTAGAGCTTATGGTCTGTCTGTCTTTTGATGTTTGATAACGAAGAATGAGGATGAATGGCTGGTAGAGGAGCTTTGATGTGTGAGCAGCGAGATGTGTGACTGGCGATGCTGATAGAAGAAAGCCTTTGTTGTTTGCTAGGGGTTTGTTTGGGGTAGAGGCCGGAGCTTAAGTGTTACTTAGCGGAAGGGAAGTTGTCGGTGCGTTTCGGCGCGTTTGAGGAAGTCGCGAGCGCGTTGGCGTCGATCACGTGAAGGTCAGGGCTATGAGATTGAATCGTCTCAATCGTCACGTGCTTAACACATCGTGGAACAACCACCAAGCTTCGCTCCATACCTTAGCGCTGCCCTACACGAAATGGTACTGCTTTACCTCTGCTGATGCCAGAAGGTGTACACATAAGTTCACCGACCAATTCTCCTAACCCTCGCGGCGGGTTCTCCTGACGGATCCTTCCATCATCCTGGCCTAGTTTTGCGGCTCAAATGTTCCACTTTCTGAGCATCAAGCCCTCCAGCCTTCTCTTTACTTAGCCGTGCCGCTCCACCACACTTCTCTCTCAGGAGGGGATGTGATGGAGCGGTCCGGCTAGAACACTCTGCCTCTTGTCCCTATGGCCTGATTTCACCTTGCCTGACGCCCCCGTCCGCCTGAAGAGGAAATCGTGCCAAGGTACGGCTGAACGCGACAACTCACTCCTCCGAGCACGGCCCGCAAGCTTCAGGCATCTCCGCACAAAGCTTTCTCCTTCCGCACGTCGCTTGGGAGCCCTTATCGAGCTGTGGTTTAACAGCTTTCTCTGAGCTTGGAACCGGCTAGGCAGGCGTTTTACGGGAGAGCGACTGTATAGTCAAACCCCTGTCTCTGTCAGTACATTGTCTTGCGCCACATGATAGAGCCATCCTTATCTTAGCGCTGGGGGGTTAGTGGACAGTGGGTCGTGCATTAACTAAAAGCTCGTATCTACTCTAAGGGGGCTCGGTTACAAGGCAAGCTCAAAGCTGCGTGCATTTTCTCATGCACTTATAAAAGAACTTCTGTCGTTTTCCTGATGATTTCCACCATTTTCTCATCAAGTCATGATTTCGACCACATCGCCGTTCCTGAGTTCGAATTTCGTGGTAAGTCGCAGGATCAGAGTAATTGGCAGGCGAGTGGAACACTCATCCAATCAAAGGTCGAACACAATGCCGTCAAAAGCATCATATTTCGCTTCGCCGAATTCCTCATAGCCTTGGCGGTCTACAAACTCTTCTCACTATTAGCATGCCGTACCAAGGCTTTCACCTCATACCTGGTATTCTCGGAAGACTACATACAGAAAACGTTGTATGTCATTTCTCGGGGACTCTCTAGGCAAGGACTCATTGTCTTGGCTTTTACTATGATTTACATGGCCGCCGATCTCTATGGGACATTACTTTGGGCCTTGGATGCGCCAGGCTATACAGCAGTCAAACAAAACGTCACCGCCGCATCAGTCACGAGCTCACTACTTGAGCATCCAGGCTATCTCGTCCAGTGGTCTCGTCCAGCGAGTGATGTCGCCGCACTAGAAGAGGAGATGCAGGAAGTTTTGGGCGCCAATTTATTCAAACCCGGCTTCAACTTTACCCTGACTGGGGAGAACCAACTCGGACAGCCAGTGACGGTATCGGCAACGCGGGCTTTCGATGAAGACGTCGGGCCGCGCATCTGGCTGGACAACGAGGGCCTTTCAGTATCGATTGATCCGCAAGTAACTGTTGGATTTCTGACAGGCAGGACAGTTAACAGTACACTGGAGGAACAAGGGTACGAGTGTCCCAAGGTTGACTCGGGCAACTACGGCCTCGTTTGGAACTGTACATACAACAACCGTTACGCAATTTCTTTCCTTGACAGCTCCGTTGTAGGCCGGCCCACTGTACACTGGGATGACGAAAGCGACCAGCAGTTGGAGTTCACGTACCTATCGCCCCGCCGGCAGGACAATCCGTGGCAGTCGCTGGGAAAGGGTGGCTCTACAGCAGTCATGAAGCAGGTCTTCACAGTCACAAAAGGCCGTACAAGACACACATTCATTCAAACCACATTCAAAGTAGCTGCAGTTTCTGATCCCGGAATCCCGTTCTCTACTGCCGAAATCGAGAGTCTCATCAGAAGGACATGGTACGTATGGGATCGTTGTTTCGTGCTTCTTCCGTCCAGTGTCGTAGCTCGTTCGGATGGTCCTCTAGTCAGCGCCGCAAGGGCGCAATCCTCTCGTTCAACATTGTGCATAGCAGACACTAGCTGACCAGAGCACCAGGTCCGCCGATCCAGCGGAACAACAGCATCCATTAATTGCTAAATTAGCCGGCTCGATTGTTGGTGCGCAGCGACAAAACAAGAGCTTCATGTTCGGAGTAAATACCGGAACAAACGGTACCCTGGTGTCGCAGGTCAGTTTCGCCCTACAGTCAGCCGCTACCGGATCCTGTAGTACACAGCTGATAGCGTAGACGCTTTACGAGCTTGCAAGTCCCGAACGGTCGCCTGGAAGAATTTCATACTCAATGTACAGAATGACTCTGGTACACATAGCCCTAATCCGGTCCGAAATAGACGTCCTTCCAGAACCCGTACAACCAGCTGAAGCATGCAATATCTACTTTTTCAACGAAGCGCATGGCGGGAGGCTAGACGGCACGAACCCTCGGAACTGCCTTGGTATCAACACCGGAGTCGGATCCGAAGGCAAAGGTCGTTTCTTCGGCCAAGTTGATGCGTCCGCAGTATTTCTGGCCGATAATCTTGGTGATGGCACCTCCAATCTTAGCGATGTGGCTCTGAATCAGCAGGGTTATGAATGGTTCCTCAGTCACGAAACACAGATAGACAGTCTTCTGCTGTCACGCGGTCTGATGCTTGGCCTTGACCCGTCACTTGTCACACTGGAGACCAGTACTATGAAGCCAGCGATATCCTACCTCCAAGTCGTTCTGGTTCTTGCCGCAGTGCTGGCCTTTGCGGTGAGCTGGGCTTGTTTATTCTTCTTTGGGGAAGGCCACTACTCATCATCACTGTTGGCAAATCTGCTTGCCACTACAGCTGCGAATCAGGCGGGCGACAGCAGGAGCCCTGGGTACGTCCACAGAGTTCCGGAGATCAAGCTTAAAGACACTGGCGTTGCTGTTGTTATGGCTACACCCTTCGGTATCTTCAGGCACGACGTATCGGGCTCGCCATCGCCGGTACAGCTGTACCCCGCTAGCAACGATCATTCGAAGCACGAGGGTCAATATCATTCTGCACACGAAATCATTCCAACGCCGAATCCAGAGCAGAAGGCTCCACTGCTCTGGGCAAGACCCTTGGATGTTTGAGGACCCTATCGGCTACATATCATGCTCAGCGCCTCGCAGTGCCTGGCGGGTTGCGTAAATTGGCTGGATGTCAGAAGTCGCGATGTACGGTATGCTGTACATGCTTTTTGGTACTGTAACGCAACGTTTGTTCGTTGCAGGAAGTGGATACGGCTGTACGGGATCATGTTTCTTCTCAGTGTCTTACACATGCTGAAGGCGCCGAAGCTCCTAACGTTCGTCTTGATAGCGAGACCTCACATTGTAGAGTAGCATCTACATGAACCCACTGGGCCTTAGATATATCACCCTAAACGTGTAGGTAGCAGAAACTGCATCTCATGTCACACACACAGGCTGGGGCCGTGCAAGCCCACTAGCCGTGTTGCTGTCAGACGAAGATCTATGTTTGGCGTTCTGGAACAATGACAGCCGGATGTCCTTCCGGAACAGACCCACGCTGAGGGGTGAGGCTTCGTGTCATGGCGCAGGGCTGCGTGTGTTTCATATGCAGACTCAGCCTCAGCCTCCTTTGGTGACAGGCTCTGGAGGCCACGGATATAGTGTTAGACAGCTCCCGTGGAGTTCAGGACATGCTTCTCGATTAACACGACCCTTGGAGATTGTTTCGAGCAAACAACAGGTCGTCCGCTCCGCCTTGCTGAATACCATACATCCCACTGGTTGCAAGTCCCGGGCTAGCCAAGGTCCTTTTACCTAGACGTTTCCGCCGCGCCGCCATATGCCTTGAGTGGTCTCCTGCCGTTGCAAGACCTTTGCATCGAAGGATTCAAACATCTCTTTAGGTCCGTATTGCGCTTGCATTCGGGCTTTACAGGGGAATGGTGAACAGAAAGTGGACCCCAAGAACGGCCAGTGACACCGTCGACCCTGTTCAGCGCCAGCACGAAGCATCTGCCCCTCAACCCATGATCAACCACGAAGAAGAACCGCCCGCGGGCACACGCGCGATACACGTTGCTATTTTCCTAGACAAAGGCTGATTACCTGGGTAGAACAAAGATCCTATATAAATGCCGGATTCGGTGTGATCCGTAACAATGAGCTGGTATCCAGACCAACATGGACAAAACCAACAGCCCAGTTTCAATCTGGGCGCGACCTTCGTTCCAGGCGGCTTTGACGACTAGTAAGCTTTACCGCGCTCAAGACGTGGACAATGGGCAACGCTAACTCCGGACAGCTACATGCCGGCGCCTGCGCTGGAACTCGTCTCTCCAGCACCACAACGGTGAGTCCCGCCGGACTCTCACACCTTGCGCATGTTGCTGATACACCACAGGATCATGCCGGAAGTGCCCGAGCAGATCCAAGATGGCATCCAGCACTTGGAGCTCGAAGCGAACCAGGCCCGAACTGCTCCAGCGGCAGCGCCCACACAACCTCTCCCACAACAGCCGCGGAATTATAGTCAGCAAACTTCTGCCGCAGAATACCACACTCCAAATCAGCATAGCAACGGATCATACAACACACCGGATAGGCATCCACAAAGACAATCTAGCCTGACACAATGGCAAGGCACAGATATTGCAGCACAACCTCAGACAGTGCCCCTCCGCGACTACAAGCAGACATCCAAGCCTGCCGATATGCCGAACTTCTCTCCCTTCCCACAGATAAAAAACCGCCGTCCCCACGTGGCGCCGAGCTACGAGGAACTTGAAGCCCAGCTAGAGAACGCACGTCCAATGGTACTCAACACAAATGACCCGGAGGTTCAGCTAGCTTGGGCACAGGATGCGTTGGCTTACGTGGATGTCTCGATGCTCCATGAGGATCGCATGGCGGAGATACAGCCACGGAGAGCTGCTACACCTCGAGTAGAACATCAGCTGCGGGTTGATGCGATGAACATCGTTTCGTTCCTTGCGGACCAGCACCATCCAAGGGCAGAGTTTATGAGGGGCATGTGGCTAGAGTTCGGCAAGTTTGGGCAGCGAATGGACAAGCGGGAGGCATTTATGTCATACAAGAGGGCAGCGGAAAGAGGCTATGTAAGAGCAGAATACCGGATGGGGATGCAGTATGAGCAGTCGAACGATGCCCAGAAGGCGCTCACACACTACAAGGCGGGAGCTGCCGCTGGAGATTCCGCCTCGAATTACCGACTCGGTATGATGACCCTGCTTGGACAGCATGGCCAGCCGCAGGACTTTGGGAAAGGTGTGCAGCTCATCAGGCAGTCCGCCGCCAACGCCGATGAGAATGCACCACAGGGCGCTTATGTTCTAGGCATGCTTCAAGCTCGAGAGTTGCCGCAGATTCAAGTGCCAGAGATCTTCCTGCCGTACGATGAAAAGTCTGCGCGGGAGAACATTGAGAGAGCCGCCTTCTTGGGGTTTGCCAAGGCGCAGCTGAAGATGGGCTCGGCGCACGAGCTCTGCATGCTCGGCTGTGAATTTAGTCCTGAGCTGTCATTACACTACAACGCTCTCGCTGCAAGACAAGGCGAGCCGGAAGCCGAGATGGCTATCAGCAAGTGGTTTCTTTGCGGCTACGAAGGTGTGTTTGAGAAGAACGAAGAGTTGGCATATACATATGCGCGGCGGGCCGCTCAGGCAGGTCTCCCTACGGCTGAGTTCGCCATGGGATATTTCAACGAGATTGGAATGTACGTGCCGGTGAATCTTGACAAGGCAATGGAGTGGTACGAGAAGGCTGCAAGATCAGGGAACAAGGACGCAGTGGGACGCATTGAGGGAATCTCGAAGCAGCGGACACTCTCCAAGAAGGACCATGAACAGGTGGCCATCTCCAAAATCCGGTCACAGTATGGCTCGAGGCGGGGATCGAGGCCAGACCGATTCAAGACTCCGGCACCGCCACTCCCATCCATACCCGACGGCGTCAACGAATTCCCAAGTACCCCAGTTACTCAGAGCGTGCAGATGCCGCAACCTTCTATCACATCTCCGGCTGGTTCCCGTCCGCCCCCTCGGCACGCGACAACAACTCCATATCCCATGGAGGACAGGCCTCCAGCCATACCACTGTTGGAGCGGCCGGCAACTGTCGCTCCATATCCTCTCGACAACGGCCCTCCTAACATTGCAGGACGTTCCGGGCCTGCCGGTGGCTTCTTCAGACCGGAACTGCGATCAGCTTCAGCCGCACCAATGGGAATGCGTCCACCCCCCGGCTCTGCGGCATTCAATATCAACCCCAATATCTTAGCACAGCCTCCCCACGACAACCGACCGATGCCCCCCGGTGGGCGGGTCAATACGCCGCAGAGAGACCCACGGGACGGTTCAATGCCACTGAGGCCGTTCACAACAGTCAGCAACGCGAGTGGTGGGCCGGGGTATTTTCCGCAAGGGCGCATCGCTTCCGGACCACCAACCGCGCCTGGCGGACCGCAAGGATACCGTCAGCCCGGTGGACCGAGCGTTGAGCGTCCCGAACGCGTGGACAGCATCCCGCCGCCCCAGTCCAAACCCTCAGAACCTCTTCGCGTTGACATCGGCTTCTCTGCACCAGCAGACGATAGAAGAGGCAGGCTGCAGAAACTCGGCAACCCGAACGTGAACAAGGCGCAACAAAGACAACCCGATCTAGGTTTCCAAGCACCCAAGCAACCGCCTTCGCCGCTCTCAGCGCGGACGTCTCGTGTTCAGGGCCCCGTGGACAGACCCCCGACCACAAGACCTGTTGTGGAGAGACCTGGCTCCAGACCTAGCTCCAGACCGAGCTCCAGACCACCGTCGCGGCCGAGTTCGGCGGGTCAGGGTCAAGGCCAAGGTCAAGGTCCTAGGCAGGAGCAGAAGCCACAGCCGCAAGCGCAAGCGCAGGTCCCGGCGAAGACTCCAGCGAAGACAGACCCAGCGGCGGCGCCAAAGCCGGCGACACCTGCGGTGGCGAGGCCGCCGGGCACGGGGCCGAAAACGTTTGATGAGATGGGTGTTGGGAAGCATAAGGATGAGAGTGATTGTGTAAGTGGATACCTTGCCCCTTTGTACACTGATTTGAGCAGTGAAACTGACGGTGGCGCAGATTGTCATGTGAAGACGATCGCATTTTGTTATAATGTTACACATATGTAAGGTTTTGGCGCATCTGGTCTTTTGCATAGCTTTCGGTGAGTGTCTTTGGAACATTCACATATCAGTATCGAGTAGATATGGCAAGTGGGAGTGCAAGCGGCATCCTGTTAGGTCCGCCATGGCCGCCTAGTCGTAGTCAAGTTTATTGATGCATCATATCTATGACTGCATCTTTCAAAGACATACGTGGCCTCTCATAAATGCATTTTCTTCATTCTTGAAGGACACAGGCCAAGCCAGTGGTTACATACCGTAATCGGGGTCCGTCGGCTCGTGATCGGTAAGGTTGAAGTAGGCGCCAAGCTTCCTCCTCCTCTTTAACTATCATCAAAACCGCATAACCCTCGATACAAACGTGCACTAGTTCCAGTGTTTCAGAGCCACGCTTGAGTTGCTCGGCTTGACTGTGTTTTCAAGGTTATCATACTCTCGTTTCCCTTTTTCCACTCAATCACGTGTAGACGCGTGACGTCGTGCGTCTCCCTCGAACGCGCCTTGTCTCGTCCCAGCAGCTACGCCTTTGTCTCTCGCGTTCTGTTGATTGCTACTGGAGATTCACTACACTAATAGCCACCTGGATCTATCGCTACCAACGTTTCGCCATGGCGCCGCGGAAGGAAAAGACAGAGAAGGTCTCTGCGGATGAAGGTATTCGATGTCGACTATGACCGCACGCCCAGTTGATCTTGGCTTCATCTTAGGGGAGGCCGGTCTGCTGACACTGTTACATAGCTGCAGACACGATTCTCAGTTATCTTCGTAAGTGCTCCAGCCCACGGTAATCCCACAGACCATGAAGCTAGCCCACTGACAGTGGTACCAGGCAAGCAGAAGTATGTGTCACACCTTCAAGATTACTTCCATGGTTAACCGTGTCTGCCAAAACACAGCCGGCCGTACTCCGTAAGAGCAGCCAAACCGCACATCCAGTAGAAACTGACAACTATTAGGCTACGGACATATCAGCAAATCTACACAACAAGGTCACGAAGAGCGGGTCTTCCAGCCGCGTCTCAATGCCACAGTATGTTGACGATTGATAGCTGCCGCGGCGAAAATTCTGAAGGAGATGCATGAGCGGAAGGAGATCGAGGGACGTGCAGCAGGTAAATTTCTACGCGTCAACATGCTACCACGCCTTGTGTGGCCCTCGCAGCTCCTTCCAGTAACGCCCTCCATGAGAGCAGACTACGAGAGCACGGAACAATCTGAACTAACCATCGCTCCCGCAGGAAAGCAGATCGTATACCATGTCATCCAAGTACACCCAACCAATCCATCTTTGTCGACCCAACACAAAGAAACATCCGCCTCCTAACACGTCTACACCCCACAGAACTCTGAAGACGCCGCCACACCCGAAGACCTCCAAGCAATGGACGACGAGATCCAACGGCTCCGCGACGAAACATCCCAAGCCAAAGCGATGGAGAAGACGCTCCGATCCACCCTCTCGAACACGAACGCCACACTCTCCACCGCTGACCTACGCGCCTCAGTCGCGGCCCTGGAAGCAGAACGCGCGGAGGTCATTGCACGGCTAGGTCCTTTGCGCACTGGCAGCGTGCGGCCCATATCTGCAGAAGAGAAGGCGGGCGTTGATGCGGAGTTGAGGAAGTGGGAGAAGATGGAGAAGGCGAGAACGAAGATTGCGAAGGAGATGTGGGGGATAATTCGGGAAGGTTTATCTGAGGCCGAGGCTGGAGAACTGAGGGTATGATAATCAATCATCTACCTTTTTCAAGTAGCTTTTGAGGTGCTGACAGTCTTCAGGAACGGCTGGGGCTGGACGAATGAGCAACCAGTCTGGTGGACAGAACGGGAAGGGGATATAATCAGATGGGCTGAGCTGTGTCTCTCCGGATTTCAGTGCTGGTTTGGCTGTGGCGAACCTGTCCAGAACTTTGCTAATATCGCTCTACATAAGCTCGCGGTGAGTTGCGTGAGAAGTGGCTTGGCTCCTTGCTTTCAGAAGCTGACATTGATATGTAGTGTTTTTTGCCTTTTATCGAAAGTTTCCATTGCTCGCAAGCTTTGTTGCAAGGCGAATATACAGACTCGCTGCCGTAGCACTGCGATGTCAAGACGAACCCAGAAATTCTTGCGCTTGTCTACTCCCTGTGTCTGTTCACATCATCACAATCAGACATTCGCGAGGCTCAGAGGACATCAGCAAAGTCTCAGCTGCTATAACTCATGTCCGTTTTGGTTTTTGTTATTCCATCGCGATTACCGGCCCTTGAATGTAGGCTTCCTCTTCTCCCTAAACGCGCGTAACGCCTCATTCCTATCCTCCGTCCCCACCACCATCTCATACGCCTTGTTTTCCGCCGCCTCACCCTCCGCACATCCCTCAATGGCCCTCATAGCCGCCCTAATAGCCACCGGGCCCCCCTCACAAATCTCCCTAGCCACCTTCACCGCCTCCTCAAGCACCATCTCCCTCGCCCTCCCCTCCTTCCCCACATCCTCAGGCAACACCTCCACAAGCCTGTCGCATAGCCCAAGGAAATACGCCTCGGGCCCGCGCACCCGCCGCCCGGTGAGTATGAGGTCCCGCGCGCGGTTCAGCCCGATTAAGGCAGGGAGGCGGTATGTCCCGCCTGCACCGGGGATGATGGCGAGACGGGTCTCGGGGAGCGCGACGGTCGCGCAGGAGGCGAAGATACGCAGGTGCGTCGTTAGGGCTAGCTCGAGGCCGCCGCCGAAGGCGAGAGAGGAGATGGCGGTTAGGGTCGGGATGGAGAGGGCGGAGATGGAGCGGAATGTGCCGCGGAGGCCGTGGAGGAATTGCGCTGTTCTGTGAGGAGGTTAGAGGCGGTTTTGGGGTGTTTGGGGTGGAAAGCCGAGGGGGAGAGAGGGGCGTACTGCTCGGAACTAAAGGTCGCGCGCTCCTTGAGGTCTGCGCCCGCGCAGAAAGAAGTCTCGACATCGCTGGCAAGGACCAAGGCTCGTGTTGGTCCATCAGGTCCCTCCTTGTGTATAGCATTGACCTCGTGGGTCAGCTCGTTGAGCAGCTGGATCGAGATTGCGTTGCGGGCCTCGGGACGATTAAGGGAGAGGATCTTGATGCTGCCGCAGTGCGGCGCGGGAATGTTTCTGACATTGATTACAGGTTTCCGCCCGGAACTGACGGTTGCGCTGTAGAAGGCTCTCTGTACAATGAGGCCGCTGCGAATCGCTCTGAAGCTGGATTTTGATATGCGCATGGTGAAGTTGTAAAGCCTTGGATAGCCGAGAGAGGTTGCGGAGATGATGCGGAGTGACGGTCACGTGCTTGCTTCTTAATATATACTGTTCGTATCGCTATCGGCTGACTTGTTTACCTGAAGAGGCAGAATTTTTCTGACGGCGATTAAGGTATCCTCTCATTCATATCACTATCGCATAACAGTCAAGAGCCAAAACCCGGTCAAAATTGGTCCTTTCTCTGTGCAGCGGCCGCGCCACCCTATCTAGAACAACTTAGACTCCAATACCAATATCCCTCTACGCAACCTACTAATCCTACTCTCAGACCATCCAAACTTCGTAGAAACGAATCCGCAGCGTGAAAACCGGAAATCCAGCCTTACCACCAGGAAATCGAATAGACTAGGTTATTTGAGGAGCAGGACTTCACGTCGAAGTTTGGCTTTAGAGCTCTTCTCCGACCACCGCTGATATCCACGGCATGGCTCACAGTCGCAAGAATCGGGGTCGTCGTCGTCGTCTACAACGCACCCTTTTTGGAAATCTGGAGCTGCATCTTGAATTACCGCCTCACCCAGAAACACATAGTGGTTTCCTTGCCTGCGTACGATGAGTGGAACAGCTGCGCCGTCCACTGTGTATATTACGTCTCCCTCTCTTGTGTGAGCGGGTCCAAACCCGAGCGAGTGCTCAGTGGGAAGCAGTCTCCGACCAGAGGCGAAATTCTTTATTAGCCAAACAAACTATTCGGTGACCAAAGGACAGTACCAAAACCTGTCAGCAAGACTCGAAGCAACGTACCCGGAGTTGTGGGACAATTGTTGGTAGAGGTCCATACCATAAAGGTCCCACGACTTCTGGTGCGTTGCTTGCTTCCGGAGCTCAGATTGGAAACAGTGTTTGAACATCCATGGAATGTGGTCTTTCGTATGTATATCGTTGCCGAAGTAAGCTCTGTTGTTATCGTCCAAATAACTTTGAACAATGGCCCAGAATCGCTCGGCAAATATGTCCGCTGACATCCCCTCAAGTCCTTGTACAGGATTCCTTTTTGCCCGGGAGCTTGAGCTGTCAAACAGTCCGCCAATACGCGAGATCGTATCAAGGTAGGTTCCTTAAACTTCTAGTGTGTGCTGTTGCTGTGAGGAGAACGGAACTGAAGAGCTTTCTTCTCTAGCGAGCTCCTTGGTCTCGCCCAGATACAGGCGCGGCCGTTTTCATTCCTTTTGCCACTCGTTCAATCTGGGCATGGACGAGTTGATAGACAGATCAGGCACCCAGGACGGCAAAAGCCCTCCGGAGGATCCGGCTAGGGATAAGATGCCTAAGTTGTTGTTACTGCGTAGGCAAAACACCGCAGTCTCTATATCACGTCTTCAACCGACTTTGAGTAGTCCGCTTCCGGTGCGCTAATGATATTGGCTTTGTACACGCTGAGTAAAGCGAAAACTTTGTCTCGTGGATCCGTTGCTTCGCATGCCCTAGTGGCGAAGAGTGGATCAACAAAGTCCACGATGTTTCGTGTAAGACCTTCCCCGAAGCGCAGAACCGGAGGCAAGTCGTTCTTCAGTTGCTGGACAACAAGATCGCTATGTTAAAAGGACGCAGCGCTAAAAAGCCCCAGTCCAGCGAAAATGGACCACAGATAACTTAGACTTCCTTTGCTCTGACAGTTTTTCGGAGAACCCAAACGCGACTGAACCATGGGATTTTCAAAAAGTGTTGTAAGTCTTCCCAGATCTCCTGGGTTACTTCCTCCTGAAGGAGGTGTCCTGGATACCGGATACCTTTCTCCATGGGATCATTGAAAGTATAATGGTGTCCTCTTTCAGGATGACTTAGACATATGCAACCGTTCTGGTTGCATATGTTGCCTTCCATGTATTGGAAGAGCCGCACGAGGCGTGTGGGAGATTGCAGCGTTTTACCTTCCCCGAGGTAGACCAGGACCTTGGTAGCACCAGTATAGATATCTGTCATCTTCTTCACCTGGGCGCTACGCTCCTGGGGATTTCCTTAATCGATACAAACTGAGTCGATCCAGAGGGCCCTCTTCGTTACATAAAAACGAAACCTACGGAGCGCGGCCTAGCAATTTTTGGTTATGCGTATCTCCATCCGGGGTGCGACGGTGAATATACTGCTGGAGCCACTGAAATCTCCATGAGAGTCCGCCCAAGTATATGACACGGCCTCGTACGAAGGAACGCTCCCAAGGCGGACATTGACAAGATCGCATGTGAGGTCTGAATCATAATATCTAGGGCGAAGTAAGAGCAGCCGAATCTCATCATCGAAGGTGAGGGGTAAGTATTTGTGCCCTAGAGGAATGAAGCTACCACAACTGAAGCAAGATTGATGCGTGCTGAATGTGCGCACATCTCGGTGTTCAGTTGAGTTGGAGCGGATTGACGGCATTTGCTGAATAGTGGACCGGATGAAAGCACAGGAAGAGGACAAATGATGGGATGGAGGAATCTAGAATGCTAGAACCCGTTATTGCGGTAGTACATGGGTTATATGTGTGGTGAGAGTTCTCATGATCGTGGCGGGGCGCTGCGGCTGAGTCTGTTACACTGCGAGCTCAGTGTAGGAACTTTAAGAGTGCAACTGCAAACGCATCTACACATGAACGGGGCCGCGTAAGACTTTTCAAGGGTGGTAATGGAAGATACTTGTTGTGTCGCGAAAGCAGAATACCTATATGAGGGCCGTCAACAACAAGGGGGGCAAACGAGTACTCTGTGCGATGAAGGAGCCTGGGCGTAGAAACGTGCACGTGACATGGTGCCGCGGCATAGGGGAGTCTCCCGAGCGCTACGCAAAATAGTGGCATACCGATGTTCAAGTCTAAACATCGTTCTTACTCTGTGAAGCACTGGATAGCTGTCGGAAGTTCACTGCTTCTCTCCCCCGTTCCTCGACCTCAAAGATTCCTCCCTCTATTTGCGGATCCGCTCAAAAACTATCTCCAGCGACACATGTCGGGAATTCACAGAGACCTAGAAGCTGCAGAGACGGAAAGGCAAAACACAGCGGTAACGGCACCGCCGGATTTGAACTTCATCCCGAAGCTTGCTACGACGGACGACGCGTCTAAGGCGGAGGCGAATATTGAAGTCACAAAGGACACCGACAATCCATCAGGTACCACTGACAATGATGTGCTGGCAGATTGGGAGCGGGAACCCTATCAGTACAGCTGCCACCAAAAGAGCAAGGCTTCAGACACGCGATACGAGCGCGTCAAGAAGAAGTTCACGGCTCAATTTGGCCGCAATCGTGGAGTAAGGTTGACGCCTCCCATGTACCGAAAACATGAGGACATCGCTCGTGAGAACATGGCGGGGAACTTTTTCAAGGTTTTAGCCAATGAGTGCATGGAACAGCTATACGATGATAATCCCAATGGCAAGTTTGGTTCCATTGGCGTGTTGTCGTTTGCGAGGCTGCATCACATGAATTTGCACTATTTTGAAGCGGATTTGGCGGCCGAGCTGGCTGCGGTTATAAAGAAGAAGGATACGGATAGGCGGCAGATGATGCGGATCCGGAAGAAACTACGGAATTACAGTAAGGATATCATCATTTTTTAAGGAGATTACTAGTTGGAGAACTAACCACAGAGAGCAGGCGCAGCTATCACGGATTACGAGCGTGTGTTAAACAACTGGCACCAGCCTTTGAAGGGAAATCTGACAGCTTTCCACAAAAGCATCCTCCCGGAAGCCTTCAGAAACCTCATCCGATCCGAAAAGGACTGCGCCTGGGACAACGCATATATTCCACTCGCGTCGGGGAACCCGTGGGCGGCCAGCTTCGTCAGTAGAGTGGGAGCAGCACTGTTTGGAGGCCTCGCGCTTGTTGTGCCAATGCTTATCATGGGCGTGAATAATGCTTCCACTAAAAATTTAGTTACAACCTCCGTTGCTGTTCTTCTAGTCGCTATCAGTCTCTCATCAGTGTCACTTGGTTCATGGCGAGATGTTCTAGGCATCACGGCTGCGTACGCAGCAGTTCTTATCGTCTTTGTTGGGACGAGCACCCCACAGCCAACTAGTCAAGGGGAAGAACAGAGCTGAGGCATGTACGGATCTTGTTAGGTATTTGAAAAGGAAATCAGATTATCAGGTCACTCGCGAAGAGCGGCTAGCGGAGAAGCACTGAAGCAGTAGGTGTATATAACAAAACGTACAGCCGTAGGTATTCACCGATGATCATCCACCTGACTACAAATCCACAACACCGATTCAAAACTCAAACATGGGATCCCGGACGAGATCCATTGTTCCCCTTGATCTATGGCTGTATGTGAAGGAAAATGATGATTTTTTGCGTAAACATACCACCACATTGTGTTGAGAGTGGCTCAAAACTATTGCGCGGAAACTGTGACCGGCCAAGCAGCGCCCCTCACGAAGAACTTCCTGAGCAATCGCATCTCGTGAGAAAGAGTCTGTTTCTAATGTCCTATGCTCGGAAGTTCATGCTATCATGCTATTCATCTATGCCGTCAAGCCCATATATGATGGTCCCCAACTTGCCAAAAGCGCCACTCAAATGCATGCTATACTCCTCGTCTTCCAACCTTCCCATTCACCTTCCCATCACCCCTTCCGAAAGCGCCTGCCAGCCCTCCGCCCTCCAAGGCGCTAGCACTACAGCTCTCTGCGCATCCCCGACCCTCCCCGTCCCCGCAAACGCCCTCGCCAGCTCCTCCGCACTCAGCGAGCCCAGCGGCGGAACCACCCTTCTAGCCGTGCTCAGTGCCATGAGAGCCGGATACGCCTCCTCAGTCATGTCCGCCAGCTGCGTCCAACCTTGCGGCTCGCTCGGCGCAAGGAGGATGGATGTCAAGATTTCGTTCCTCTGCTGCAATTCCGTTTCTTCTGCCTCCGCCTCAGCGACCTCCAGTGCCGCAATCCCACCCAGCACCGCCTCCACCCTCGCCTTTTCTGCCCCCGCCAATCCACTCCCCATCCGCAATCCCTTCAGATCCTCTCGCACGGCCTCCAGCACGTCCCGGTTCTCTTCAAGTGCAGCCGTTGCACCCAACAACACCGTCGCCCCCACATGACCCGGCCACTTCTCCACGACCTCGAACAGCTGCTCCTTCGCAACGCTCTTCTCTTCTTCCCCACCCTTGGCCCACAGGACCTGCGCCAGCAGACAGACGATGTCGGGCGCGGCGCCTGAGTCTCCAAGTGCTTGGCGGAATGCCTGAATCGCGTCATCGGTGTGGGACTCGAAGTAATGCGCCAGTCCCGTCGTCAGGCGGGCTGAGAGTATCGTCTTCCGAAAAACATCAGGACCCATGCCGCTGCTGTCAGGCTCTGAGAGCAGGTCCAGCGCCATCTCCGCGTCCTCGGCTGCCGCAGCGAAGTCGTGGGCCGCGAGGCGGTTGCGCGCGAGATCGGTTTTGGCGTGTGCGAAGCGGGCGAGCGCTGCGCTGGACTCCGTAGCCTCGTAGTCGGCTTCCGCGGCTGCACAGATGGCTGTTAGGGCGTCGATGGCGGCGTCGTGGGCGCCGATGCGTTCGTGGTAGAGGGCTGAGAGGTGGTGATGGGGAGCGTCGTGGGGGCGCTGGGAATGCAGCTGTTGGAGGGCGAAGAGGGGTTGGATGAGGGGGGTGAGGTTGTTGATGGCGGTGTTGGGGGTTGGGGAGGAGAGGAGGTGGTCGAAGGTTGAGGTGGCGTATTGGCGCTTTGTGATCAATGAGGCTGAGTCGGAGATTTCGAATGCGTGGGTGAAATGCGCGAGGGCTTCTTTGGTATCGCCCCATAGGAGTGCGAGGAGGCCTTCGCCGAGCCAGGCGTGGGCGTAGTCGGGGTCTGTCGATTGTGCACGAGCGAATGCCTGGTGGGCTAGCTCGAGGTCATTCTGAAGGAGGTAGAGAGTGCCCAGATTTGTCCACACTCGCACGCTTCTCTCGTTGAGGTGGAGGCTTCTGACGAACGAGTGCTGGGCGACTTTAGGATTGAGCTGAGTAGTGACAACGCCCAGCGCGTTCCAGAACTCGGCATTGCCTGCCTCCAGCTCTATGGCGCGCTTGAAGCAACGCATTGCCGCTTTCAAGTATCGCGTTGTCTTCTTGGCTTGACCGTCTTGCTCCTGTGGCTGCTCGAGGCATGTATACGCCCGATATTCTATCCATCCGAGATTGTACCACGCCACAGCTTGAGCATGAACGTCATGAGCACAGGCGTAGATTGCGCGCTTCTGCGCCAGTATCGCCGCAACGATGGAACGAGTGAGGTTGTCGAATGCTGGGTTGGTCATCTCCGCAGTCAAGAGAGACAAGCCGCCTTGCCCTATATTGTCAGCTTCCGCGAAAAGATCGTATTCCTTGATGTCGATGTCTGTCTCCAAGAGCTCTTTCAGATCCTCCCGTGGTAAATCGCTCAGCCGAACCTGGACCGATGAGAAGACTGAGCAAGCGTCTCCGACGGCTTTCCACAGGTTGAACGCGTCTGGCCGATAGCGAGCGATGTTCGAAGCTGCCTTCAGGGCTTCAAGTGCACTGTCTGCAGCTCTCCCGAAGAATCCAGTTTCCACGCGTCGCCACGCTCTTTCTACGAGAGTCTGGAGCAAAGCAATGCTCACACCAAACTCCTCTGGCTTACTCTCAAGTACCTTTCTATACCCATCAATGGCTTCATCGAACTCGCCCAGCTCCCGATTAACGTTGGCAAGCATATACTTCGTGAACCAGGCACTTTCGTCCGCCTTTTTCATCTTTACCCCTTCGCCAGGATTCTCCGCGTACCTGAACGTCCGAGCCGCAGAGTTGTACCGTCCGCTGTTATGGTAACTCTCTCCAAGCCCAACATAACTGTGGTAATCATCCGGACTGATCCGTAGCGCGTGTAAAAACGAGACGATGCTCTTCTGATATTCCTGCTTGTTCATCTGCACAACGCCGAGCGCAGAGTACGGCCAGCTGACGCCCTTCTTCTTGGAGCCGGGCGCAGGCCGTACCTTGCCAGAGTCTACCACCCGCTGCGCGATCAGCTCGACAATGTCCCAGTCGCCCTGGTCGGCGAAGAAGCGTGCCAGCCGCTCAGCTGCTTCTATTTCGGAAGGCGACAGCTCAAACGCTTTCTGGAAGCATTGTCGTGCGCGCTTCTTGTCATGCGCGTAGTCTGCGTAGTACTTCCCGAGGCTGGTGTAAGCCGGCGCGAAGTTCGGGTTTGTTTTAATCGCCGCGAGAAACCTAGCGTAGGCACCGCCTCGGTCTTTGCGGCTCGCTCGAGAGGAGTCAAGTTCCCACATGCACATGCCGATGCGATACTGGGTCTGTGATCTCAGGTCACGCATCCGCTGGTCCTTCGGGTCCATCTTAGACAGATACGTCTCAAGCTCCTCAAGGCCACGGTTGTAGTCGCCATCGAGTGCTTTGCACCATGCTGCTTCAGCGCCGATACGAGCGTTGTCTGGATCGCGAGCCAATGCTCTTGAGAGGAAGTCGACGGCTTGAGCATACTCCTCTTCTTCTTCGAGGATTAGACCGACGCCGATCAACGCCGAAGTAAAGGTCGGCTTTCGTGCTAAGATGGCATCGAATATGGACCTCGCTTCAGGATGATTACGTGGTGATTGATATTGGATGAGAGCTGTTGCCAGAGTGTTGCTGACCGCATCAATATTGCTAAGACCAGATCAGCAGTAGTCTTTGGGTGCAACTTGTGGTTACAAACTTTTGAAACTTGAGACCTGACTTCTGCGACTCAGCAGCAATCGCCTTCAAACCGTCCCTCGAAGTCTCCACCGCAGTCTCGTACTCTTCCAGATGCAGGTAGTATTCCGCCATAAGCCGATGCGCCAGCGCGGAGTCCTTCGCATCGTCCAAGCCCTCCGCCATCAAAAGCAAACTATCCTCGGCGTTGAGCGGTACGCCTTTACCCTCGTCTACTTCCCCATTCGCTTCCGGACTGTCCACCTTCAGCGGAAAAGGCGCGATATCACTCGTCAAAAACCCCCTCAACACCTTACTCAAACCCATCTCCGAAAAGAACCCCACAAACTCCCTCACAACCCCCTGGTCAAAATCCCCCAACGTCTCCACATCCCTCCATTCAAGCTCCAGCCTCCACGCCAACTCGAACGGATGCTTGATAACCACCATCCCATGCGCCATCTCCAGCACCTCCTTCCTCCTCTCCCCCTTCTTTTCCAGCGGCAGCACAACCAACACATCATACGCCCGCTGCAGTAACTTCTCCTCATAGACCCTCCTCGTCTCATCATCAGTGGTCCAATTCACCACCTCCCTCCACAACTCCTCGACCGCACTTTGCCCGTAAACCTCACGCTTCACCTCCTTCGTCACCTCCCCCAGCCGTGCCCCTAACCGCGTCCGCCGCTCCCCAATCTCCCTGTTAATCCTCTCCTTGTCCTCCGCCTCCGTCAGCTCCGCAAGCCGCAAATACGTATGGGCAGGATGCGGGACGCGGCCCTCCAGCACTGCATACAACTCCCTATTGCTCGGCAGCTGCAGCTCTAGCGTGCGCTTGTACTGTGCCCTTGTGCCATGGGCGCGTGCAAGGTCAACGGCTTTGTCCACGATGGTTTGGCAGCGGTGCGCGTCGTCTGCAGCGGCGAAGAGGGCGGCGAGGCGGGCGGCGGTGGTGAGGTAGTCGTTTAGGTGGGCGGAGCCTTGGTCTTCGTAGAGGGCGAGGAGGCCCTGCCATGCCTGGCTATCACTCGGCCGGATCTTCGTAGCTCTCTCGTAGGCTTTGGCGGATTCGGCGGGTTGGCCTTTTCTGTGTTGGGCGAGGCCGAGGAAGAGGTTCCTGGTGTGTGTATATTCCGTCAGATCGAAAAGCTTGGGTTGGATTTGTGCAAACGGTGGGAGATGAGAACGACGGCTGGACATACGCAAAGTAGTTCTGCGAATCCGACGCAAGCACGACCTGCGCCTGCGTGATCGCTTCGTCCCATTTCCGCGCGTCGAGCGCGACTTTTGCGGCTTTGAGGGCCGCCTTGTTGGTTGACATCGTGGCTGCTACCTGAGATTTCTTGCTGAATGGAGCTGTAACCGCACCTCCATGCCGCTTTTCGCGAGATTACAGATGCTCAAAGCGACTGTCAAGCTAGGGATGGTGCGAGATGTGTTCTGAATACTGTCCAGCAACTTTTCGGATTCATGTCCCGCGTTGAGCATTCGCGAATGACGTCTGGCGGTTGCTTGGCTCGCTGCTTGTGGAAAGCTTCTTTCAGCCCTACAATATGAAATGAACTCTAATTGCAGGTGATTTTCGTTCACGTAGTATCTTATTGTGTTTCGTACACTGGGAAGAAATACTCAAGTCGATCTTAATAGACGTGGAGTCTGTCGACTAGCCCAAACAATATCTACAATGCGCGCCAGATCCCATGCCCCACAACATTAATGGCCCCTCAATCCAGATCATCACTACTCGTGACGACCTCCTCTCTCGGCGGCGGATAGAACTGCAGCGCGCCACCCTTCTGTATGACGCCCGTGCGATCATACAACGACCTAGCCCTGACATACGGATCCAAGTTCCAGTAGTTCTTCCGCAGCTCCTCCGCGATCTTATTCCTCTCCTCACTCCTCCCCGCCGCCTCACCTCCACCCCCTATCCAATCCGTCAGCAATTCCTCATAACGTCTCACCAGCCCCTCCCTCTCCTCCACCAGCCGCTGCCTAGTTGCCGCATCCTTCATCGCATCATTCTCGCCCGGCTGCGGCTCCACATACCGGTACTCCCAGTTCTCGTCGCCGCCGAGCTCCTTAGGGATCTGGTTGCGGGGGACGTAGGTCTCGAGCTCCTCGACGTTCTTGGTGAAGTGGACTTTTCCGGCGACGACGGGGTCGAGCCAGCCGCGGATGATGTTCCAAATGCCCTGGAAAATCCAGGGGGACTTGTGGACGAGGACTGCGCCGAGGGATTCCGGGTAGTTTGCTTCGAAGCACTTGATCATGAATTTTACGGGCGTGTAGTCCATGTTTGACATGCTGAAATTTGTCATGTCGAAGACGATTGTCTGGCGAGTCGCTGTGTCAGCACTGTCTTCCTCACGGACACAGATGGCGCAATTCCCCGGGGACGGAAGGAGACTTACCGCAGTATCGACCGGCGGCCTCAACAGCATCCTCGCCGTCTCAATCGTATAAACCGTGAACCTCTCCAAGCTCGCCTCGCTCTGCTCGCCCTGCCTATGCAACCTCACCCTAACAAAGCACATGGGCCGTCCCTCCCGATCAACCCCATGCAAAAAGCTCTTCCCCATCCTCATCTGACTTATAAAGTCCTCCCCCTCCTTCCTCTCCGCCGCACTCGCGCTCCTCGTCTCGTCCATCATGCCCATCTCGCCCTTGGCCATGATGTCGCTATCGACATGCATCTCAGTCGCGCGCCAGTGCATCGTGGAGATCAGCATCACGAGCGCAGCGCCGACGTCCCACTTGCGGGCGCGCAGGAAGCGTAGTAAAAGCCCGTCGGGGTGGTCGTGCTTCGTCATGCTCCAGAAGGCGTTGCGGAGTTCTTCCGGGCTGGACTTGGCGAGCGCTTCGCGGTAGGCTTTCGTTTGGCCGTGCTTGTCGTCTTCGTCGGTGAGGGCGGAGAGGTCGGTTGGGGTTGCCGCGCCAGAGGAGGCGGTGGAGCCGCTGTCGGCGTCGTCTTTATGCTTTTTGCTGAAAAGGGAGAGGCGGCCTTTCTTCTTCTTGTCGGGGGTGCTCAGGGAGGCGCTTTCGCTAGAGGCTGGGGTGGGCGTGGCGGCGCCATTGGGAGTGTCGAGAGAGGTGCGTTCACCGGTTACGCCGAAGACTTTGAGGGTCAGGGCCCAGAGCTCGCGGAGTTTGGCTTCTTGGTCCGCGGTCAGGTTGCCAGGCCGACCTGGCTGGATTTGGGATGGCATGCCGAGAAGTGCGAGGAAGTCGTGGTCTATTGGGAGTGTCGAGATTTGGGGCGTGGTAGGATGGTCGTCGCGAGTAGATGGATGGAGACTGGTGGTGTAGCGCTTGAAGATGAGAGCCCCGGCAATTGAGATGCTGAGTGCAATTACAATGTTCGTGGAGCTGATACTGTTCTTCTTTGGACTGAACGCGCGCGCAGATGAGTGGGTATACTGCTGGTACCAAAGCCTGGTGGAGGTGAGATGCTGGATACCATGCGCTTGAATCCGACTACTTTGGAACAAATGTGAAGTAAAAGTTGCACGAGTAGTTGAGGCTGTGACTGAAGTCTTGCAGAGAGGACGGGCGAGCATCTATTGATATAAGCGCAAGACTAAGGTCTAGGGAGGAGCGATTCGAGGCGTGTTGCCGGCTCGCTCGGAGGGGGCTGAGTGTGCAGCGCAAGTGCGATGCGCGATGCTTTGTGCAGATCCGTTGCGCAATTCAACTGGGGAAAGGAGTCGATAGAATGCTGTCGGCCAGGTGCGAATACTCTAGCTGGATATCACGGGAGCCGGCTCATAGGAACGGCCGAATGCTCAATGCCGTTGCAGGACTCGAGTTTTCTTTGTCCCCCCTCGTCATCGTGCTTCCCACACAAATCGGCCCCGCGCGTCTGTGTTCCGAAGTCCCGTCCCGCGCTGCCAGAATCGCGACTTGACACGCCTGACAGCCCGTGACAGTTCCAAGTGCCAACAGTAACAAACTCCCCCAATTGCGCGCTCTATCAGCCGAACTCATCTCCCAAGACATTGAAAGCCAGCTCGACGCCAATGACCTCGACCACCCCCTCCACCGACCCCCCCAAGCGCCCCTCATCCCGCGGACAAAACCTCCCCTCGCGTCCAACAACCCCGTTACGCCCACCATCACGCTCCTCATTCCGGGGCAGCGCCTCCGCTCGATCCTCGCAACATGGACCCCACGCTCCAACGCCCCTCGAGAGCCTAGAGCCTGCGTTCGCGGAGCTGAGCGACGGGATGGCGGACCTGGAGGCCAACTTCATGCACCTGCAGCTCATGCACGAGAGCCTGGCGCGCTTCTCGGAGAGCTTTGCCGCGTTTCTGTATGGGCTGGGGATGAATGCTTTCTGTGTTGACTTTCCTGAAGTAGGTGCCTTGCTCATTGGGGGAGAGGGGAGGGGTGTGGTTGGGTAGAGGTAGGGCAAAAGAACAGAGGGGGGGAGGTGCTTGAAGGGGAGTTGCAGGGTGCGGGAATGAGATTCATGGAGGAGATCGCAGTGACAAAGCGTGATGATGGAGAGGACATCGCTAACGCACAACGCGACCACCACAGGCACCCATCCCCGAGTCCTTCAAGCGCGCCGTAAAGTACTCCCACCCACTCCACGACTCCCGTCTCCCAACCTCCTCCTACCAGAATCCCGATCCCAATCACGACCCGGATGCTACCTTCCTGTAAGTCCAGAACCCCTCGCCCCTCGACGTACTTTTCTCCCACCCCTTGGCGGCGCAGACTTCACCGGTAGGGGATCCTGACTAATACTGCGAATAGAACCACCGACACCTCCTTTGTCGAGAATCCGCCCTCCTCGAAAGCTGCGACGAAGTTCAGCACGCCCGCTCCCTCGCGGATAGGCAGGGGTGGTGCTGGTGTGGGAGGCGGGGGTAACGGTCGTGGCGGCGCGGCGGGAGGAAGAGGGGTGGGGAGAACGAGGGGCAGTGGGATTGCGAGGGGAGCTGGGCGAGGGAGAGGTGGGGGGAGGGGTGGTGCGTAATACGAGATCCTGATGATGACGCTTAATAAGACGTTCATGTCCGGCGAAGACGACGCAGGTGATGGAAAGGGACAAGGGGCGGCTGCTCGTAGCATTATACCCGTGGGATTACGATTAAATTATACTACTGATTAGGTGCGACTTGGGTATTCAAGCCATGTAAACTTCCATCCAAGAGGCCATCAGAAGCTGAGAGAAGTGAGCACGGCTATGCACAAGTGCCAGTGTCCAAAAAAGCGAATGCATGCTCGCAGCAGCGGTATCATCGTGCATCAAAGTCGTCAAGCATAAACGCTGCAGGCAAGCCAGCCCAAGCGTTATGAGTGCTATGCAGCCGGTCATTACGCCAAGGTGCCGGCGCTATGCTGAGGAAAGGAACTCATTGTCGAGATTGGTGACTCGCGCCGCACGGCCCAGCCCTTAATCGCGAGGACGAAGGTCGTCCAGGCCATAAGGAGGGCGGTGAAGCCCATGGTCACTGTGAAGGTGAACATAGCGTCGAGGTTGTAGGATCCGAGCAGCGCGACGGTGTCTTTATTCTGTTGACGGAGAGGTCAGCACGTTGAAGCGGTCAGGTAGGAGGTTTAACATACGCTCTCTATAAAAATGAGGCCGCCGGCAATCAAGCAAAACGACGTGATTAGTTCAGTTGGTGGCCGCGCAGGCAGGTACGAAGTTGGCGGCGAGAGGTAGAGCAAGATGTATGTCAATGCTCTCGCCATAGAGAAGCCGACGAATAGTGTGCCCCATTGCTTGTGTATCATGGTAGACAACATCGAAGCCTGGTGATGCGAGCCCATCATGATACCCAAAAGGAGGATTATAAGGCCGGGCATCGGATTGAGCGGGACACGGTATGTCTTGGGTGGCTGCCATGCTTCACCGTCATGCGCAGTGTCGTTGTCGGATGTCGAGATGGTCGTGTTCAAGAGATCTCGGATCTTTCGGGATTCGATGAGCATGCCCAGCTGTGATTGGTCAGGAGTTTGGTCCGAACACCACACCCAGATGAGGCAACTTACTGCACCTCCTCCAAAGAACATGATAGAGATAGAGACGTGTTCCAAATCTTGAGGAGTCCATTTTCCACCCCAGGAGGCCAAATGCTCTAAGAAGACGTTCGAAGCACCGTACAGCCAGATGACGAAGGATTCAGTAAACTCGGCCGATGGAATGGCAGCTTTTCGACGACCAACAATCTCCTTTGCTGGCTTAATATTCCACGCCCAACCGAGATCGGCAAAGCAGCCCATCCATCGACCCAGTGTGAGTAGGCCATACCAGAAGAAGATTCCACCTTTGACGAAATGGGCGAGGATATTGAAAACCGCATTGCCGCGCTGCTCTTGTGTCAGGCTGGGATTCAGTTGCACGATTCAGGGGCAAAACAACTTACAGCAATGCCTCCGTAAACAACAGCTCCGGTCGCAATGCCGGCGAAACCGAGAAGAATGATCGTGCGTTCTATTGCAACATAGAAGAAGCGCACCGTGGCCAAGGTCGGACCAGAAGCCAGTTTAGGCAGATTACGTGAAAGAAACCGGTCGACCTTAGTATTACGCAAAAAGCCCTGTTTCTCGCCATCCACTTCCTCGTCCTCGTCATCATCCGCGTGATCTGGAGATTGTTGCGCTTCAGAGAACTGATGGTCCTCGGACCCCAAGCTGGGAGAACGGGAACTGTCGTAGAGTGAGGCGGTGTTGCGCTCGGTGCCGTGCCCCGAATCGTTCGACCACCTGCTCGAATTCGCATTTTCAGCCTGGATCTGCTGGAGCCGGTGATACTGGGCCATGACCGCTGCCGACAATTTCCCAGGGACTTGAGCCTTGGCTCTGCTTGTATAGAGGTTTACAACGCCCATCAGCACCCAAGCGGATGCGATCCACGTAATGGCCCAGCCGATCTTCCCGTGCGTGTTGTTCTCGTAAAGGTCCGGAGTTGAACGGTCATAGATCACGCCAAGGAGAAGGCCCAGTCCGTTCAGGGCTAGAAAGAGAGCTTGAGCAGGAAGCGTGTACCGGGAACGAGCGATGCTGAACATCAGGCCTGAAGTCACGATTAGCGACAGTGGAGCTATTCGAGCATGCGGCACTACCCACCGACTGGAAGTACAACGACCCAACCGACAACCATGAAGAGGATATGGAGATACATCAGGCCGGCGTGCTCGGACAAGCTGAAGTAGCTGCGCGGGCGGTCTGTGATCGGAGTGCCGTCGTACCACAGCGCTGAGCTGCTGCCATTTCCGCCGTGCATCTCTCCGCCCATGTCCATGTGCTGGTCATCGTGTCCGTGGGCTATTGCGAGAGATGAAGCGCCTAGCAGGAGCGCGGCCGTGGCCAGTCGGAGGACGCGTCGCCCAGGCATTTAGGGATATTATGGGTATCAGGTGCTCGCTGTAAGTAAAAGAGTCTAACAGATCTAGAGGATTGCGAGATGAGCGGAGCAAGGAGAGTATCTGCAAGGGAGGAATAAGCTCGGTGGTGAGGTCTAAGATGGCTCAGAGGAAGTGAACAAAGAGAAACGAGATACAGAGTGCTTCTGTAGGAGCCCGCTGCGCCGGATGAGGCCGGTCGGCGAGCTGATATCAGCGTTCGAGGCCATCACGAGAGGATGCGTGTGTCAGCATTTTATGAGTCGACGCGGTACCTAACCAGGGCGCCATGTTGGGAACGTTTTGCGACAGCGACGTGTGCCAGTTCTCGGCTCTGGACGGGAGCTTTCCAGGAGCTCTAGCGTCCGAGCATCCCGGACGGATGATCGTCATCAGCACTTTCTCACCTCATTCTTATATCTGTGACTCCGCGGCAACGCGCCCCGCCGCCCTCACGCGGTTCAGAGCTTGGAAAGGCTTCGATGTTCCGATATTCGTGATTGCCTGCGTGCAGCAGCTGGCAGCCAAACGCTCGGCGGGCGTTGTTTCGCTCGCGCTGGCGAAGTGGTTGACATCAGAGGTTCAAGGCAGCATCACATGACTCAGCCTTTTCGGCGGGCGGTGGCCCATGCCCTCCGGGGCAGCTGGCGGAGAGGTCCCGGTGTCCGAAAGGCTTGGCACGCCATCCTTGGACGTCACCTGCAGCCTCTCCCAGCCTCTCCCGCTTGCGCCGACCTTGCCGTTGGCCTCACCTTCGGATGTCGGTGCTATCACCTTCCGCCAGCTTGCATGCCAAACTTGGCTCACAGCACCATGCAATTTTCAGCATGCACATTTGAGCATTGGCTGATCGAAACATCTCAGCCCCACCAATTAGCCAAGATGTCGCGCTGCGATCGCGGCTCCATTCGGCGACCGATCAAGGACGATGCCTCGGATTTTGCGGAGCCTAGCTATCTTCTTCGCATATCCTGGTTCTCGGATGGTTTCGGAGTTAATCTTGAGTTGACGTGAGCATCTCTGAGCAGCGTTACATATCGTTCTGTGGCAGATGACTCACCTTGGACAGCTTACGAGAAAACCACATCCGCTGCTCGTAAGCACGACTTTGAGTCACCAGAGGTCAAGATAACGTTAGACACACGCGTCCTCGTGTCGCGCATGCATGGCTACAAGCGGCCGTTGATCAAGCGTTAGCATTGCGAGCACGAGGAAGCGCCGCAAGGCGTGCGGCCGCAGCTTCGATACGTACCACGTAACAATCAAGGGGTGAGGCTGTGTTCAGAAGCATGACTTTGTCAATAACATCACCCCCCAAACGACGATTTATATACACCTATCGTCAATCCGGGCTCGAGAGGCTTTAGGTCGCTTAGGTATACGTTCAGCAGCTGTAAAAAGTAGACGGTAGAGAGCTAAGAATCTAATGAGTTTGTAATTCCGTGATAAGATGGGAAAGTGCTTTCTTCCGGTTCGCACTCTACGCCGCTCCTGCAACAGTGTCTGCAATTACCGCATCATTGCTCTCCTAGTTCATATATATCTCCCAATCCTGCAATCTTTTAAGTTCATTGGTTGTTTTCGTCTCAAACCTCATCATTTCGAGCACTGGGGAGTTGCTGCAGTACAAAGGGATCGCAGGCTTGGACGTCCCCTGCTTGGCTTTCAAGATTGACCAGAGCCTTCGCACAGTCCTGAAAGATGTCGTAGGAAAAGTTCCATTCTCTAAACTCTGCTGGCGTCTCTAATTGGTGAAATTCAGGTCAGCGGATGGACTCAAGGGGACATCAAAAGAACCATCCCCGTGTGCAATTGCGACTTACTTGGAATCGGCCCTTTCACGTAGGCGCGCGCTTCTCTCTGAATCTTCTCAGCCTCATCCTGTCCAGCATTCGAGAAAATCTGCATAGCTGCAGCCCTCGTTTTGCGAATCTCTTGAAACAGCTTCAGCCGCCGAGGTACCTCTCTGACATCTGGTAAGTTCGAGAGCAAAAGGCCTAGCGCTGCTCCATCCTCTATCGCCTGTGCTCCACCCTGGCCTTGATTCGGAAGCATGGGATGGGCAGCATCTCCGATAAGAACAACCTTGCCTCTGGTCCACGAAGAAATCGGCGGACGGTACAGCAGCTTCCAGAGCTTGATATCTTCAGCCACTCCCATGGCAGCTCGCAGTGACGGATGAAAGCCCTGGCATTCTTCAATCAACTCAGTCAAGCTTGCATTTGATCTCCAGTCTGTCTCTCGCTTGTCAGTGCGGGTATCAGGATGGATCAAGCCAAAGTTCTGTAGTTCCCCGTTCCGGCAGGGGTACCAGACGATTCTCCGGTCTGGGCCAGTGGCCAAATTGACTCCCGGTGGAGCGCCTTGCACTAAAGACCGCGTCTCGGCACGCTGTACCAACTTCTCAGTAGGTACGAGGAAGCGGAACATAGAGCTACCAGTCGGCGTCGCCACGCTATCTGTCCCGATGACCGTGGAACTCAGAGAAGAGTGTACACCGTCTGCTGCCACAATCAGATCTTTGTAGACCACAGATCCATCTGCCATTTTCAACGTCCCCAGCTCGCAATTCACTTCAATAACTTTAGCGGCGAGGTTGATCCTCGTAGGCTCCGTTTCACGGTGATCTTCATCGCTAGCAAGACGTCGGTAATCCGCTTCGCCGACCAATCGTCGGAGCTCGGTGTGGAGATCGACTCGATGAAGGAGATACCAGGGCCAGCCATATCTGTCAACCATGTCTCGGCAGTCTGCGCAGTCAATCGTCTCAAGAGTATCACCCTTCATGAAGTGGCACTACGGCGGTTCAGCGATAGTATTTCAGGGAACTATCTGCGGCGTCTTACCTGCTCCACTATCACGGCCTTCGCGCGCTCAAAGTCGAATCCATATCGTGCCAGTATCCGCGACGCGTTTGGGCAGATGTTGATGGCCGCTCCCACTTCGTTGTTGAAGCGCGACCTCTCGAAGATCTAATACAGCAAACCACTTAGTTCAAGTTCCAGGAGGTGAGAAGAGACTAGTAAGCGTCCCCGGAGGAGGATCTTACCTCAACGTGATGTCCACTCTGGCGCAGCGCGGTCGCGGCCGTTAGTCCAGCGATACCAGCCCCGACGATCCCGACGTTCAGCGAGACACTGGCCACACCGATGCCGAACATCTCATCCGGCTGGTTGTCAGGGATGTTCGAAGCCATGTCCTCTTGGAAAGGATGAGTACGTGTTAGGGCAGGCGAACAAGTGCTGGTTAGCTCGACTCACCTATCGCGGTATACCACCAGCTATATGATCTCCGGCCTCAAAGTCATAGCATGTTCTGCGGTGTCACCATCATTCCGATATCTGTCAGCGTAACCATGCAACTTCGTCTCATCACTTGCAGCGGAAAGCGTGATTGTGGACCCAAACCGACCAAGCATCTACATGCTTTCTGCCGACTACAGCGCCACGAGTTGCCCCCGTGAGGCTTAGTGCTGACCTGTTGTATTACAGCATGCGTTTATAAGCGCTACAGATGCACAAAACCCGACTGCACATGCACTCTGGCTTCGCTACAGGCATGCCACGGTTCGGCGCCCCCACCCCTCCTCTGGACAATTCAAAAGATTGCACCCCGCATAGGGATTGTTTACAGGGAAAGATGCTACCACATGGTTATCCTCGCATTGCGACCCTCTAAATATTATAATATAAATATTCTAAACTTAAGCAGAGTATGCAAAGACATAATAGAGTTAATCTTAGCTTATCAATAGTGTTTTATATAGAACTAATAGTGTAGAAAGGTAGTAAGGATAAGGGTATTGGAGTTCGCGCGCAATCTTTTCAAATTGACAAGAGGGGGGGTGGGGGCCCCGAACCGTGGCATGCCTGTAGATCCGGGAATTGCATAAAGGATGTCCACAATGTATACCTCATCCTGGCAGTGGTCACTAACAGCACTGACTCCGTTTCTTGTCCGGAACTCTTGATGGCTCGTCTTTCGAACCGGGCAACTCCATTAATGGAGCTTTAACGATCACGATACTGCACAACTGATTTTCAGTTGTGACCGACTTGCATTTGCCGAAGCCGAACGCGGGCCGTACCCTGGAGCTCCGCAATCCTGGCGTCGATCTCAAAGATGCCCCCGCTTGCGTCATCGTTAATAGCATCTTTTGCATCAACCGAGTTTGATATTTGACGTGATATACTCTGCTTGTGAAGTATAAACTTTATATTTCCGAGTATAGGATCTCAGAGCTTACAACATCAACATGTCACAGCAGAAGCAGTCCCATCCGGACGCTAATCTTCATCCGGAAGCAACCGGTCTCGCGAAGGAGACAGTCGAGGTAGTGAGACCCTTCCACAGGAGCCACGGCCAAAGGGCCATCCGAAGAGCTCGTTGGCGCATTAAAGGCTACTCGTGACTCTAGTGGTGGATAGCCCCCAAGTACAGTCCGTACATCAAAGACATCTTGGACGACCAATGCATCAAAGAACTAAACTGCCAAGTACCTTTTACTTTCTATGGCATGGGATGGGTCTAGCTGCTCTTATATTGATAGGATCACGAGTCCCCTTTGATGGTGAATCTGCTGTTGACCAAGCTGGAGCCAAGACGCGACAAAGAGCTTTTAGGGCGGCTCTTGTCAATAGCAGAGTACATAGACTGACCTACAATGCCGTAGGCACACGCATCAGAGGAACCACTAAAGCTCTACGCAGGCTGGTTCTGCCCCTTCGTCCAGCGCTCATGGCTCGTCCTCGAGGAAAAGAAGATCCCCTACCAGTACATCGAAGGTCTCTACCTCCACCCGTTCATCGAGTTCAACACCAAGCCTCAGTCTCCTGCTGACCGATATGGTCGCGTACAGTCAATCCCTACCACAAGCCCGACTCCCTCATGAGACTCAACCCCCGCGGTCTCGTCCCAACACTCCAGTACGAAGGCAAACCGCTCTACGAATCGACCGTCCTGTGCGAGTTCCTCGAAGACGCGTATCCAGATCACGCGCCGCACCTCCTGCCCAAAGATCCATATGACAGAGCACGGACGCGCATATGGACGGACTTTGTCACCAGCCGTGTCATTCCGAGCTTCCATCGCTTTCTCCAGTGGCAGCCTATGGATGACAACGAAGGGCTCGAGAACGCGCGGCAGGAGTTTTTAGGATTCTTGAAGGAGTTTACCAGCGAGATGGACGCGGGGGGGCCGTTCTTTATGGGTAGTGAGCCGAGTTTGATTGATTTTGTGATTGCGCCGTGGGCGGTAGGTTTTCTTACTGCCTTCCTGTATTCAATTTCACGAAGCTGACGGGTATTTTTCGGTCAAAGGTACGGCTATGGGTCTTCGACCATTACAAAGGCGGCCTAGGTGTCCCTGAAGAGGGCCAAGGCGGTGAGGATGAAGAGGTTTGGAAAAGATGGAGAAAATGGTTGTCGGCGATACAGAACAGGGAGAGCGTGAAGGCGACGACGAGCGAGACGGAGCACTACCTTCCTATCTACCAGAGATATGCGGACAATGTCGCTCAGAGCGAGTTGGCGAAAGCGACGCGGTCGGGTCGTGGTGTGCCATGAGATGGCATGCATAAGAGCAAAGCATTTGGAACAGTGAAAGCCTGCCCAAAGAAGCGATCTGTTATCCAACATAGTAGATATATCGCCTTGTGATATCTCTTCGTCAGTTCGTAAATGGGGGGTATCAACATCCATCCCAAAGCCCTCCGCTGATGCCGTAGAAGAAACGCCGTAGAAGAAAGGCCGTACCATGCCCCGCTCATGCCTAGCCCACGCTCTCGACCCCTGGAAATCCCCACTAACCTCAGCCACTGGACACAACCAGGCCTCCAGCTCGAAACCAGTCCAGTAACAACTTCACCTACGTCGCAAACCTTACCACCCTCCCCGCCCTCTCCGTACTTCCGGCCCTTCCACCCCTTCCGTCGCCCAACGGGCCCGCATGCCTATTCCGCCGCTCATTTCTGACCCGCCGCGCCTCCCTCGCCTCCCGTGCCCGCCACTCCAGCACCTGCTGCCGCCGTCTCTGAGCCCGTGCGTAGGCGAGCGCCGGGGTGGGCTTGAAGCCGACCCCGTTCAGGCCCGTGCCGTCGTCATCAGGCTCGAGACGGGGATCAATGAGGTGGCCTGTTATTTCCGAATCCTGCCAGGTTAGGGATGTCGGGTCCAAGGAAGACGTCTGGGAGGTTTCGGAGGTTTGGGAGACGGGAGAGGAGCCTGTGGAGGTGGGCGGCAGGGGCGCGGTTGTGGAAGTGGGGGGAGATGTCGAGGTGAGCGCGATGCTAGTGGGTGTGGTTGTGGTTGGGAAGGCGGTTGGAGCGGATGAGGTAGAGGGAGGAGGGGGCGAGGCGATTCTGCGGCGTGCTGCTCGTGATTTCAGCGATGCTGGTGGTGTTGCCGGTCTGATGGTCGCGATGTCCGCGAAGCTTGGCGGCGGTAATGGCGAGGGCGTCCGTGAGGGCTGCACAGGCTGCAGACGTGGTGCTGGCTGCGGCGTTTCTTGGATTTCGAGCACTGAGGTCGCTGATAGTGGCAGCCGTTCCTCCGCTCCGTTACGTATGGGAAGGTGACTAGCTTTGACGGATGATCGCTCCCAGCCAAGTATCTCTATATCTTTGAAGTCTTCAGCTCCCCTGGCGCTGCTGTGCTTCACGCGCTTCTTGGCCTTTGCCCCGCCTGCGTCGGTACTGACGCCGAAGTCGAGCGGTGGGATGCTGCCTCTGATCTTCAAGTCCTCGAGCTGGGTCGCCACGACGGTACGAGGACTTGCTTGACCTGGCAGCGCGTCTTCAGAGACCTGAGGCGGAGGTATGGCAATGTTCGTTTCAAAACGCGCCGTGAATGGGATATTGCCCATGGTGGGGTCAGACGGGCCCCGCTTTCTTTTCGGTGAAGGAGCTGCTGCGGTGCTCGAGGTAAACATTGTGTAGATCAGAGTGAGGGTTGAAGCGGACCCGTCTTCGTGAGGGATTCAAGCTAGTTGGTGTAAGCTACGAGGTTTGTAAGTGCTCTGCCCAGATGATGATATGGAAGGTGATAATGCGGGCTTCGTGCGGACCCTGTCGATCAGACCGGCTAGGGCTGACGGCGTGCGGACGGGGGCTTACGACTCCCGCTGATGACGAGGGTAATAAAGTGAACAACGTTCAGTATGGGAATCTCTGGGTCGAACTGCGGGAGTAAGGTAGCAAGAGCGATTCGAAGATATGAAGGGAGGGTAGCATTTAATTCATGTACAGAGCGCGCAACATAATACAGCAGCTATCACCAAATTAGGAGATGTACGCCTGGGTGATGGCCTACTCCATGGAGTATCCGTACATGTCCCGGTTCCCATAGTATGATCAATCCCAACAAGCAGCACATAATACGGAGCAGACATAGAAGACCCCCAGCTACCAGAATTTCCAACTGTCCTTCTTCTTCCTCTCCGCTTCTCGCGCTGTCTCCTCTTCCAGCCTATCGGCCTCTTCTTTCGCCTTCCGCCGTGCCTCTCGAGCGGCCTGCATCTTCGCCTCTCTTTCGGCTTTCTTCTGGTCTCTGACCTCGACGATCCTCTTCATCCCGTCCTTCTCCAACTGCCGCCGAATCAAGCAGTACTGATACATGAAAAATGAGCCAGCAGCGAAGGACCCAACGGCCCAATTGCACGCTCTCCACAGCGGCTCTGACGAAAGATGTGTCAGCGAAGTACTGCACCCTACCCAAACTGCTAGCTTACTGCCGAATATAGCTGTTGTGCCACCAATGGCAAAGCCGCTCCCGATACCCGTCAGCAATGCATCCCTGACGCAAGGCTTCTTGTGGAGCTCCCTGAAATCTTCTACTCGTATCGACTTGAGTGCGTCGATCGTAGTAGGTTCTGGCAGTTTTCCGCCGGCGGTGTTCGCAGTGCCTCCAGGCATCAAGTTCGCGTTCTCCGGCCGTTTCGGTGGTGCGGGCGGGAAGACCTCGTAGACCTTCCCATGATAAGGGCGTGTTCCATCATGGTCGTCTTGTGCGTTGGCAGCAGGAGGAGGCGAAGTCTGCCGTGTATCATCGGCCATGGTGGATGATCAAACATCTTTCTTGGTTGTCAAAGATGTCATCTATGAGAATTGAGAATCAAGTCAATTCCGGAGTTTCGCCGTAGCGCGATTCTCACGGCGCCCTGGCGCGTCTCTACGCGTCTCGGATGTCCAGATGCAACGAAGAACCACCAACATTGTAAACGCACCACCGCAAATCCTGCGAGTATCTGCAATAAATCTTGCTTTCTGTAACCACAGGAACTGAGTGCACATATCTGATGCCTTCGTAACACGCAATTACCGCCAACTTCACTCCTGCCCTCGGCGGCTTCCGCTCCTTAAACCTCCATCATGGCCCGCCGCGCCGGGCAACCATACCGACGAACCTTCAAGAATGGCCAAGCGACGTACCAATCTCGCGGCAAACCGAGGACCATTGACGCATCAAGTCTCCGCAGCACCGAGCTCACATCCCAAAATGAGAAACTCGAATCCACGCGTCTCGCGCATCGCATCGATGAGTCTATGGGCTTCGCGCGGTATGAATCCGGCAAGAGAAAGGTCGGATGGCTGTGTAACATGCACAGTACAAGCGTAGAAGACGAGAACATACCCGGAGGCCGCGCTGGCGTGGACTTCTACTTCATTGGGGATGAGGGGGACACTTTCAAGGCGACGGTGGAGTACGATCCGTACTTCTTGATTGCGGTAAACAGGGGGAAGGAGGCAGAAGTAGAGGAGTGGTGTCGCCGAGGATTCGAGGGACTGGTGAAGGAAGTCAAGCGCGTGGAAAAAGAGGATCTGCAGATGCCGAATCACCTGCTTGGATACCGCCGAACTTTCTTGAAGCTCTCTTTCGCGAACGTTAGCAATCTGCTAGCAGTACGGAAGGTTGTAAGCCCGGTTGCGGAGAAGAACAGAAAGAGGATGAATGCGATGGATACCTATGCCGAAGTGGCCAGCGCGAATGCGGGCTTCGACATATTTGACGAAGAGCACGATTATGACAGACGACCCAGGGGTATTACGGACGCGAGCGATTTTATTGTTGATATTCGAGAGTACGACGTTCCTTACCACGTTCGGGTTGCAATTGATAAAGGTATGTGCTAGACTTTAAGCCTCGATCGAGGAGACACGCGCTCATTGTTCCAGATATCCGCATTGGCAAGTGGTATACCGTTGAGGCAAAACACGGTGTTATCTCCTTGACATGCATAGAGGAGCGATTACGGCGAGCGGATCCGGTTGTTATGGCTTACGACATCGAAACCACAAAGCTTCCGTTGAAGTTCCCCGACGCGGTAATAGACCAGATCATGATGATTTCCTACATGATTGACGGCCAGGGTTTTCTCATCACCAATCGCGAGATTGTTTCAGAAGATATCGCGGACTTCGATTACACCCCCAAGCCGGAGTACGAGGGTCCTTTCATGGTCTTCAACGAGCCAGATGAGAAAACGCTCCTGGAACGGTTTTTCGAACATATCAAGGAGGCCAGGCCAACCGTTATGGTGACCTACAACGGTGACTTTTTCGATTGGCCTTTCGTCGAGGCAAGGGCTAGTGTTCTAGGCATAGACATGTATCAGGAGATCGGCTTCCGGAAGAACAGTGAGGACGTCTACCAGTCGGACTACTGTGCGCATATGGATGCTTTCTCTTGGGTGAGCCGAGACAGCTATCTGCCGCAAGGTAGTCGAGGTCTCAAGGCAGTCACAGTGGTCAAGCTGGGATACGATCCTGATGAGCTGGATCCAGAACTCATGACTCCTTACGCCAGCGAACGACCTCAGATCCTAGCAGAATACTCTGTCTCAGACGCTGTAGCAACTTACTACCTGTACATGAAGTATGTGCACCCGTTCATTTTCTCTCTGTGTACCATTATCCCACTAGGTCCGGACGACGTCCTACGGAAAGGCACCGGTACGCTCTGCGAGATGTTGCTCATGGTTCAAGCATATCAGAAAGGCATCGTCTTGCCGAACAAGCATCAAGCGCCAAAAGAAGCCTTCTGGGACGGACATCTGTTGGAGTCTGAGACTTACGTCGGCGGCCATGTTGAGAGTATCGAAGCCGGTGTCTTCCGGAGTGACATACCCTGCAACTTCGCCTTAGACACAACGGCTATAGACGAGCTCTTGCAAGACCTGGATGCCGCGCTCAAGTTCAGCATTACGGTGGAAGAGAAGAAATCCATGGACGACATCACGAACTATGACGAGGTCAAGGCTCAGATTGTCGACAAGCTGATGCAATTGAAAAAGACGCCAAACAGGAGTGAGCGGCCATTCATCTACCATCTGGATGTGGCGTCCATGTATCCGAACATCATGACTACGAATCGACTCCAGCCAGACTCCATGATCCAGGAATCAGACTGTGCGGCGTGCGATTTCAACAGGCCTGGCAAAACGTGTGATAGGCGTATGCCGTGGTCATGGAGAGGAGAGTTCCTGCCCGCCAAACGAGACGAGTACAATATGATCCGGCACGCGCTGAAGAGCGAACGGTTCCCTGGACGGTATCCAAACTCTCCACCTAGGACGTTCGATGACCTCTCAGTCGACGAGCAGGCTAGCTTCGTAAAGAAGAGGTTGCAGGACTATTCCAAGAAAATCTACCACAAGATTCACGATGCGAAGACTATCGAGCGTGAAGCGATCATCTGCCAGCGAGAAAACCCATTTTACGTGGACACGGTCAAAGACTTCCGAGATCGTCGGTACGATTTCAAAGGCAAGCAGAAGCTGTGGAAGGGCAAGACGGACGCTTTGAAGGCTTCAGGCGCCAAGCCAGCAGAGATTGAGGAGGCCAAGAAGATGATTGTGCTCTTTGACTCACTGCAGCTGGCCCACAAAGTCATTTTGAACAGCTTCTACGGCTATGTCATGCGCAAAGGATCTCGATGGTACTCTATGGAGATGGCAGGTGTCACTTGCTTGACCGGCGCCCATATCATCCAAATGGCGCGACAGCTCGTTGAAAGAATCGGCAGGCCGTTGGAATTGGACACCGACGGCATCTGGTGCATGCTCCCCGCGACTTTTCCGGAGAACTTTGCCTTTAAGCTGAACAATGGCAAGAAAGTAACCATATCCTACCCTTGCGTTATGCTGAACCACTTGGTGCACGCCAAATTCACAAATCATCAGTACCAGACGCTCGTGGATCCGGCGACCTTCAAGTATGAGACGCACAGCGACAACACGATCTTCTTCGAAGTTGATGGCCCCTACAGAGCAATGATCCTTCCGACATCGAAGGAAGAGGACAAGAACTTGAAGAAGCGCTATGCAGTCTTCAACCACGACGGCAGCTTAGCCGAGCTGAAGGGCTTTGAGGTCAAGCGAAGAGGAGAACTGAAGCTCATCAAGATCTTCCAGACCCAGATATTCAAGTTCTTCTTGGAAGGATCCACGCTTACGGAAACATACGCGTCGGTTGCGAAGGTCGCCAATAGATGGCTTGATGTCCTGCATCAGCACGGTTCGACGTTGGCCGATGAAGAGCTGATTGACCTCATCTGTGAGAACAAGAGCATGGCGAAGACTCTCGAGGAGTATGGGGCCCAGAAGTCGACCGCGATCACGACAGCCAAGAGATTAGCTGAGTTTCTTGGTGAGCAAATGGTTAAAGACAAAGGTCTGAATTGCAAGTACATCGTCTCATCTCGCCCGAAGAACGCGCCTGTCACAGAACGGGCAATCCCTGTAGCAATCTTCTCGGCGGAGGAGTCAGTAAAGCGATACTTCCTCCGCAAATGGCTGCGCGAAGACCCTGGTGACATGGATCCTCGCTCAGTCATCGATTGGGAATACTATCTTGAGCGATTGGGTTCAGTTATTCAAAAATTGATCACCATTCCAGCGGCGCTACAGAGGGTCCGCAACCCAGTTCCCAGGGTCCCGCATCCAGATTGGCTTGATCGCAGGATTAGGACGAAGGATGATGTCTTCAAGCAGAAGAAGATGACCGACATGTTTGAGGCGAAGAAACCGCTGGATGAGGCCGATGTCAACACGCTACAGAACAGAGCCATCGACCTCGAGGATTTCGGCGGATCACAGCTGCAGAAGCCAAAGAGAGGTGTTGTTACCAAGATGGTTCAGAAGCGAAAAGCGCCTGAGCCTGCAGTGCCAGTAGCAGCAGATCCTTTTGCCACGTTGCCAGCAAAGATGCCATCGATTACGGAGGACTACAAAGGCTGGCTGGAGTACCACAAGAAGAAGTGGAGAATGCAGAAGGTAGCCAGGAAACGGCGGCGCCAGCTGTTCGGAGAAAAGCGAACAGACGCCTCAGATGCCATCGGCAGCTTCTTCAGAAACCAGGCCGAGTTGCTGTACATCAGCACTTGGCAGCTTCTCCAGCTTCGGGAGACCGACACGCCGGGAGAGGTGAAGGCTTTTGTTCTCATTGGCAAAAAGGTGCACACCCTGAAGGTTATCGTACCACGTCAGATATATCTCAACCTCCGCGGCGAGGATTTGCCGGACGTCTCTGTTGACGGAGTCGAGGTGGAGAAAGTGGTCAATCACACGCTACCAAACGGACATCCCTCAGTGCACCTATTCAAGCTTACAATGTCAGAGCAGGTGTACGTGGGCGAAGCGAAGAAGCTCGCCATACTCTTCAACCATCCTAGCGTCGAGGGAGTATACCAGAAGCATCTGCCTCTCAACCTCCGGGCTGTACTTGAACTCGGCAGCATATGTACCTTCGATGAGAGCCAGAAGGGTGTCCTTGGAAAAGGCCTGGAGCAGGGCTTCGATCTCTCTGCACTCCGGCGAGTCCCATCAACCCAGCCGTACTTGGCTGCAGCCCCGCTGAGCTTCCTCTACCTATACCACGTTATCATTGGCGAGCGACAGATCTTTGCTCTTTTCTCCACTAGCAAAGAACAGGCGCATGTTGTTGTCCTCAACAGGTCAAGAGATGCGCAGGGCTTGCCCAACGTCGACAAAACATATCGAGACCAATTTACACGACGACTGCAGGAAGCGGGCGGCGAACAATGGCAAAGTACCATCCAATACCAGGACAACATACACTTCAAGACCGTTCAGGTGACGACGAAGCGGAAGGCGCTGCTCGAAGTGGAAGACGCGATCAAGAAGATGCGGAGAGATGAGAACGGAGCTACGGTGCTGGCTATACAGTCACAGCAACACCGTATGCTCACGCATGATATTCCTTCGCTCAGGGACTATCCCATCTTACCTCTGAGAGTCGATGAGGCGGACAAGAAGCTACCGCCTATCGGCTGGCAGTCCGTCATAGCTAAACGGCTCGTCCATAATTACCTCGATCTGGGCCAGTGGATCTCTCATCTGACTGAGTTAGCTCGCTACGGAGACATACCTCTTTGCAACCTTGAAAGGGACGATCCGCGCTTTCTCATTGACGTCGCGTACGCAAGACGGCTGATGAAGGAGAACGTCGTGCTTTGGTGGTCAGATGGTCCTAAACCAGATCATGCCGGCTACGAGAAGGATGACGTCCTGGGTCCACTGGAGATTGTAGAGATGCCATCAATCAACAACCCGGGAACCTACTCCTCGGTGTGCATAGACTTGGAGGTCAGGAACCTTGCCATTAATACCGTCCTGTCTTCCTCCCTCATCAACGAGGTAGAGGGCTCAGATTCCGCTTCCTTCAACCCTGCCGCTCCCGCTGATGGCGGCGCCGCTGATGGCATGAACGTCATGTACTCCGACAACGCATTCGCTTCAGCCGGTATCACAGTGCTGCGCGAGATGGTGAAAGCGTGGTGGACGGAGGCCGAGAAAGGTGGATACCTCGCAGATGTTATGGTGCAACACCTAGTACGATGGGTGGAGAGCCCAGGCTCCTTCCTGTATGACCGATCTCTTCACTACTACGTGCAGATGATGTCCCGGAAAGCATTACAGCAACTGATGACAGACTTCCGCCGGGTTGGATCGCACATCGTCTTCGCCAGTGCCAATCGTCTGTTACTCCAGACCACCAAAGGGGAAGTCGGTAATGCATACGCATACAGCCAGTACATTCTGAAGACCGTCAAGGCCAAGCCTCTCTTCGCGTTCCTTGACCTCGAGATCAAGGAATACTGGGACTACCTCGCGTGGTACGATAACTTCAACTACGGCGGCAAAGGCTGCCGCGAAGTCGTCGAAGCGGAGAACCAGACGCTGGACACGGTGATGCATTGGCAGCTCGCAACCTTCCTGCCTCCGAAGCTCCAGCTCATCTTCGAAGAACACATCATCGAATTCATCGACCTGATGCACGAGCGCAAGCGGCCACCCCCGATAACCAACGGCACCACTTCCACCCCCCGAGCCACCCAGCTATCCTTCCGCCCTCTCACCATCGACCCAGAAGACAATACCCAAGAGCTCCCCCGCACCTTCACCGACCCCCTCAAGAAACGCACCACCAAGCTCCTCACGACGCACCACAAAGAAAGCGCGCACGCCGCGCTCGCCGACGAATGGGCCTTTCCCGTGCTCCCCGGCTCTCATCTTCCTTCCACCTCCCTTTCGAACCCAGTCCTCCAGCTCGTAAAAAGCATCATGCAAGTGCTCTCCCTCGACAAATCCGTCACCCTCGCCGCGCGCCTGCTGCGCAAGGACCTGCTCTCGCTCTTCGAAATCCGCGAGTTTAGCGCACAGGCCGCGTTTGTGAATCCGTCGGCTTCGCTACCTGTGAGGGGTGTTAGTTGTGATGAGTGTACTGCCGTGCGAGATCTCGATCTATGTCGGGATGCGGAGCTGTTTCCGGTGCTCGCTGCGTCCGCTGATGGAGGCGCGGCGGCGCAGGTGCCGAGGTGGCAGTGTCATAATTGCCAGGCGGAGATTGATAAGTTGAGGGTGGAAGAGCGGTTGGTGGCTGAGGTGCAGAGGGTTGTGGTCGAATGGTGCACGCAGGATGTTAAGTGTGGAAAGTGTGGGAGGTTGAAGGGGGGAAATGAGTTCATGGAGCATTGTGGTTGCTCAGGCGAGTGGGTTGGGACGAGGAAGTCGGAGGGAGTGAGGGATAGGTTGGCCGTCATGGAGCGGGTCGCTGGCGTGTATGGGTTTGGACTGTTGGCAGCCGTGAGCAAAGAGGCGCTGGAAGGGTTGTAAGATGTTTGTCGAATGCTGAACATGCTCGAGTTTAGCGGGCGTTGCGAGGGGTTTTCTGGGGTGAGCTCTGGCGCTGGGTGGTCAGAGCATTCTTTCGGCGCATAGGATAGTTGAGACAAGCATACGTTGAGTAACAAAGATGCGCAGTTACCAAAGAAGACATGTCTACTATAGGTCCTACGTGGTCCCGAGAGATCATGGAGCGCAATCATTTCAGGCACGTAAGCCATGGCCCGAATTCCACTTCTTCTCCACGTCCTCGAGCCACTGAGCAGCTTTTACCAGTCTCCCGCTAATCGTCATGGTGCCATCCTTGACCGTCCAATCTTCGAGAGGAGCCTTGAGCAATTGGCGTGTGGGATTGCAGACGTATAACCGTTTCGCGCCTTCGGCCTTCTCGTTGCTAACGTGATTGCTGTAGCATCTCTCGCAAAAATCGATCTCGGCGCAGGTCATGCAGCCGTACATCGGTTGCCGCCGCCAGATAACACCACTGCCAGAGGCGCGGTCCCATCTGTTGGCGCATCGAAGTACAATGATTACATGGCCTCCCTTGTCTTCGGTGATCTCCCCATAGTCGCTCTTCTCGACATCTGAATCCTGTCCAACTCCGGAAAAGTCTACTGAGCCAAACCGTCCGAGGGAGAGTGCAATTCTTGCGTCATTACTCTGGTCAGAGACAAACAAGATCTCCAAGAAGATACTGAATCCAGCGGTACCGTTGCAGCCAATGTCGTCCTGGAGGATCTTGATACTTCGCTAGAACGTGCCCATTCAATACTTTGAGGCCGTCGAGAAACGATCTCAACTGCTCGAAAATTGCCATCACTTTGTCATAATCCGCTGATTGATTGTTGGCAGTCTAGATGGGGGCATTAGTAAGTACTGGAAGGAGAAGGAGTCTAACATACATTAATGAGAATCGACACGGCCGTAAGTATGGTCGAACTAGGCGGGAAGATGTGTTGCACATCAGCGTTCTACTCCATGCATCTACACAGGGGTTAAGAATCTGTACTGCAGAAGCGCCTTGCACGGCCAAAACCCCCCAAGATATCCAACGGGACAAGGCTGACTTTGACGATGGCGCGGAACCTGGAGACTTGCCTCCGTCGTCGCGCCATTTTACGAAGTGATCTTTTTTGTCGATGGTGAGGTTGATGACATCGTCGAGAGATTCCACCTGGGAAGTGGCAAAAAGGTTGATGCCAGTAGCCTCGCGGTACTTCAAGATAGCAGCAGCCCATAGTCCAGTAATGTCGTCCACGTCTGTCATTGTATACGGAGTGGTTGGAATCGAAAGGCAGCGACTGATGGCTGGTGTCAATGCCTTTCAACCAGACCACGGAGGGAAGACCCCCCATATACCAGACTTGCTTCTGGGACTCATCTTGCTTGAGCTCATGGATGACGTTGGATCGTCCTCCAGCTGAATCGGACGTTCAGCCCCGTCCTCAGCCTCACAGGTAGGGGAAGATACTGTCGGTTGCAAAAAGTACAAGCATTCGCAGGATCGGCCCACTCATAAGCAACCTTTGAGCGATCTTGAGATTTCCATCCAGTAGGGGTCTAGACATCAAAAGCGCCAGAGGACATCCCCTATTGTGCCCGGTGGATTAGACGTTATAGAGAATTTCGATCCTAGATGTATCCTGAGTATAGAGATTCAACATCCGTGATATCAGCTATCGTGATTGTATGCCTTAGCGAAGATAAACATGCGAGGCTGTGCAGCGTGAGCCACGCAGCCTGGATTTGATTGGCCAAGTCCTCCGCTAGCATCCTCAAGGAAGACTGTTTGAAGGATTGCGCATGCATAAGGGTGATGCCACTGCCTATATATGGAGATGTCCGCGCATCCTTGTTGGTGTTTCCCCGCTTCCTTGATCACAGCCTGGAGCTGTTGGTTTCCGCTGGCGCTTAAATACTGCGGTTCGCGGCTGACTATAAGACATCTCTCCAGTTTGTCTACCAACAACCTCTCACCTGTGATCTGGCGGAGGACGGACATTAAATTCAAGTGTCCTAAGAGACGACAAATATATAACCCGCACTATCTATCAGTGTTCCACACGCTGTTGTCATCACTGGCAAGATGCCAACAGGAAGCTGCCTATGCAAGAACCTCCAGTACGAGTACACCGGCGAAGGGCATGTGGTACGTCCTCCTTCGAAAGGTCGACACGAACCGTCCCCATCCCCAGGGCACTCATGATACCCCTCTCTCCACCCTTCCAAAGCGCCAACCACCCACAGATAATATGCCACTGCCTCCCCTGCCGCCGCCTCTCCGGTTCCGCCTTCAGCACCAACATCCTCCTCCCGCGCTCTTCCTTCCACCTCACCTCCGGGACCCCAAAAACGATCTCCCGCCCCGGCGACAGCGGGCTCGACGTAACCCTAAACTTCTGCCCTGAGTGCGGGCACACCATCTTCGTAACAGGTGAGGGCGCAGGGCTAAGGGGTAGCGTTGTCGTCAAGGCGGGCACCCTGGATGATCCGGAGCTGCTAGATAAATTAATCCCGGCGGAGGAGATCTATACGGAGCACAAGGTCAGTTGGATGCAGACGGAGCGGAAGGTGAAGAGGCCGGGGGAGAATAGTGGTCCCATGGGCGCGGTTCTTGCGGCTACGCTTATGTTGTTGGGGTGAGGATTAGGGCGGAGGCTTCGCTGATTTGCTGTGAGAGGCGGGAATTCGGGCGTTGCGGGCTGCTGTCCCGGATGGTCTCAATTGGGAAGCTGAGAAGAATGGAAGGTCTGGGATTCTGCATGATTTCTACGCCTGTTGAGCCCGGAAGGTCCAGTTGCTATGCTGTTTTAGGCAGTGAAGTTTGTTACCTTTGTAAATTGATACGTTGTTGCCTATGCTGGTTGTTACTCAAATTAATGGATTAGGAAATCGTCTTAGATCTAGCGGTCTGGTCAGCGCGCGGACACCGGTAAGGGATGACCAGAATCCCCATACTTAAAAACCACCAACGGATACGGCACTACGTGGCCGATCAGTTGAAACGCTTATCATGGAACATGACTTCGTAAATACGCTAGTCGCTTGAGCGAAAGGGGGCGCATAAAAGCTTATAGGCGTGTCGCAGCCATGATTGGAGATGGAGGGTTCAGGGTAGAAATCTAGGTAACGAGGTGAATTTGATGGGTTTTGGTGAACTGAAGTCCGGCGGTTTTTATCAGCTGCATAGGTGGGTGTAGCAGGGAATCAATCTACACAGCCGACGCCGCTTCGACGCTTCTGACCATTCATGTCAGCTACTCTCAACAAACAACACAAGGAAATTAGAGGAAATAGCCGTTGTGATTTGAGAGGCTAAGTTACAAAGCCGGCAAGGCTATTAGATACCCCGCCTTGAAACAACATCAGGCCTCCAAACCATTCCTCTAAAAAGTGGTTTCTGTTCGTTTTCTTCAACCGGGTCATTACCTTGCAGATGTTGTTGACAGCGCACACCACTACCAGTGAGAGTTGAGCTATTTGCGTGCCATGACCACCTGCCAAGGAAACGCCCAGACTGATCCGGCAATCCCAGCCCGGAGGGTTGGGAAAGTGATCAACAATGAAGGAGGAGAATTCGAATAGCGGTCTCAAGATCGTTCGCTATGGCGGAAAAAACCCTCCAGTTGAGTTGTCTCCGCAGGCCGGGCAAAGGGCGGAGCTTGTCGGGGAAGGGGTTCGAGTTGAATTTGAGATGGCGAGAGTCGAGTTTTTGTGTGACAGGAAGTAAATAGAAACTTCTGTGCTTCGGAAGCCTCTGGAGAAGGAAAGGGGAGACTTTTTGAAAGATCCGAGCCGCCAGTTGAGCAAAAGACGCAGCGTGGGATCTGATGGAGGCGGAGAAAGGCGTCGCACAGCGTGCCGAGCACGCGCATGTCCGGATGACGGAGTAGAATCGGCAAAAGGAAACGGAAAGCAAACCCATGGTATAGTACAGACACAAGCACCGCAGACCAGGGAAGTAACCATGCACTGGCAGCACGGGTATCCGCAACACCAACACCGAAGCAGAAAGCTAGGCAAGCTCATGGTCGTCCAGCTTTCATGGTCGTAAAGAGAGAAAACAAAGGAATGTATGTGCAACTGGCCGTCCAGGGTTTTCCGAGCATCGGGAGATCGTGATTAAGAGGTCGTGAAAAAGAAGGTGCTACTAGAAGACGTTCGACGATATCTGCTCAGGCAAATCCCGGACCCCCCAGGCCACGCCACCGCGCAGACTCCGGATGAAACCCAGACGCTAGGTCTGAGGTGGGGGAGCTGGCCGCGGAGTTCGCTGCCCGTTGAAGCCGTTTAATTGCCCTTGCTGATTCTGATTGCGAGGCGGTCCTCGTGGCTGACCTTGGTATCGACCACCGCGCCGATTCTGATTCTGGTTCTGCTGGAAACCCTGCCTGTTGTCACCTTGTCGCTGATTCGAACGCCTTGCGCCATCCTCCTCTTGTTGCTGGTTCTGAGCAGGCGCGCTGGAGATGGGTCGGGGAATATTCTCGGGGGACTCATAGACGTAGAGCTTCTTCTCGATGGTCTGCGGGATAGGTTGGATTTCCGTGCCGAGTTCCTGCTCGATCTTGTATAGGTTGAACCGGTCATCCCAATTGATCAGGTTGATAGCCAAACCCAAATGCCCAAAACGGCCTGAACGGCCAATGCGATGCAAGTACGTCTCTGCGTTCTTGGGAAAATCGAAGTTGATGACGACGTTGACAGCTTGGATATCGATACCACGAGTAAGGAGGTCAGAGCATACAAGGTTGCGACAAGCGCCATTCCGGAAGTCGTGGAAGACGCGGTTTCGGGCGTGTTGCAACATGCGAGCGTGCGAGTAGAAGCAAGAATATCCGAGTTCTGTAATCTTCTTCGCAAGCAGCTCCACGCGGTTGGTGGAGTTACAGAAGATGATTGACTGATTGATCTGAAGCTTGTTGAAGAGCGTGTTGAGGCAGTGTACCTTCTGCTTCTCTTCAACAAAAGCATAATACTGAGTGATACCACGTAGAGTGAGCTCGTCCATGAGATTGATCTCGTAGGGCGAGTTCATGTGCTTGTCCTGATCAAGGTTAGTAATCATGCTTTTTGATAAAGGACGTGTGAGAAACACTGACCTTGAAGCTCTTCACCACGATAGGGAAGGTGGCACTGAAAAGCATAACCTGGCGATCCTTGGGATGGAATGCCAAGAGTTGCTCGATGACGGGAGTAAATTCCGGTGACAGCAGCTTATCTGCCTCGTCCATGATGAAGGTCTGACAAGCCGATAGATCCGCGACGCCCTTGCTCGCAAGATCGAGAATTCTGCCCGGTGTTCCAACGATGATGTGGACTGTCTCGCCAAGACGGATGATGTCGTCTTTCAGACCGGTGCCACCTGTTGTGACCATGACGTTGATTCCGAGATGCTTCCCCAGCGTCTTACACACTTGCGACGTTTGTAGCGCCAGTTCTCGGGTAGGTACGAGAATGAGCGCCTGAGTCTTGGTGCTCTTTGGGTTGATCCGTTCCAAAGTAGGGATAACAAACGCGGCGGTCTTGCCGGTCCCATTCTTCGCTCGCGCAAGGATATCTCGTCCGGTAAGCGCCACTGGGATAGTCTCTTCCTGAATCGGTGAAGGCTTCTCAAAGCCAGCCTCAAATATCCCCATCATCAGCTCTCGTTTGATATAGAAGTCTTCGAACTCGAGGCCTTTGGTTGCTGTGACGTCCTGTGAGCGATATCAGTGAGAGCGGTCGTTTCATCGTCTTCTGACACTTACTTCAGTCTGCACCCGGCTGTCTTTCGATGGTATTTTGAGGCCATCTTTCCAGTTTGCATCTGAAGGTTGTGGATCGCTGCGACCCCGTCAGTACAATAAATAGAACATCGTTTCCTTCGCCTACTTGAGAGTCGTAATTGCTAGTTGGTTCGTGATATCGGATGCCATCTCGTGTGAAGCCGTCAGTTGGCAGCAGTAGCGAATCTCTGGATCGGTCGTTGCGTGCGTCAAGGGCTTGGAGCCTGTGTGGTTTTGTGTGTGCGTGGTGCGGTTTCGGTTGCTAGCCCGATAGTTGGAGACGTGTTGTTTTGATTCAGGCGTGTGAAGCGGACTCGAGGCCGGAAGTTAGCACACAGCCAAGACAAACAGCCTTGTTGCTGGTGAGCTAGGCGGGAGGCGTAAGGAGATGGCGTAGAAGCTTATGGGAGCTGCCTGAATGTACGAGAACTCCTAGAGATGATGCTTTTATGGATATAGGTGCTCCTTGATGTGCGGATGGGTGGAGAGATGCGTGAAGGCAGAGTTGGGTGTCCAGGCGTGTTATAACGTTTCAGGCGCGTGTAGAGGGTAGATGGAGCACTCCGCTTCCAGGTTCTATTTTGTGCAGTTGGTGAGGTAGTGGCAATCGGTGAGTGTGAGAAAGTCCTCCCAGAACGACAGAGGGATGTTGCGAGGAAGTCGGGATGCAGTGCGCAGCGCGAACGGAGGATGAGCCGGGGAATAGCCGGGACGTAGCCTCAAATTAACACTTGGATGACATGCACGCTACCGAGCCTCACAGTCTGCCTTGGTGTCTGTATTTATATATTATTGGCTAGATAGTAGCACCAACTCGCATACCACAATCATTCTCGCGTTCTACCACTGTTTTGACCGGAAGTCGTGATTCAGTATATATTTTCCTTGCATAGTCATTCGTCTTTATGTGGCGATAGCTACCTCCCATATCAATGCTCTAATCTCCCTGTTCTTTACCTCTCATATCCACCTCAGAGCTCAACACTACCCACCATGAATGGCCTACTTCGACCTGTCATCCTCAGCTCCCGCCCCCGCGGTCACATCTCACCACACCTCCCCCACCACCTCATCCGCCCTCGGCCACCACCATCCCGCCTCCCCGCCGCTCGCCGCACCTACTACGGCTACCACGAGCCCTCTTCCAGCGCCGTCTCCGTCCTCTGGGGCATCATCGGCGCGAACACCCTCGTCTTCCTCGCCTGGCAATATGCGCTCCCCCAGCGACACGGCCTGGGTCCCTTCGCCAGCACATCCGACCGGCGCCTTGCGCAGCGTCTCTCCCAGTCCTTCATCCTGCACGCCAACGACCTGAAGCAGGGCCGTTATTACACGACCCTTACCTCTGCGTTCTCACAGATTGATCCCTACCACTACCTCGGCAACATGTTCAGTCTGTATGCTTTTGGGTCAGTGCTGGCTGCCTGCCCCGGCGTCGGCGCCGCGCATATCACGACGCTGGCGCTGGGGTCGGCGATCGCGGGCTCGGTGGGGTGGCTCACGCATACGGCGACCCGGGCCGCAGCCCGGGGGCCCTGGGGGCAGCGCCAGCAGATGGGCGCGCTGGGTGCGTCGGGCATGGTGATGGGGATTGGGGCGGCGGCGGCGCTGATGAGGCCAAGTGCCACGATGTTGTTGATGGGCATCGTGCCGGTGCCGCTGTGGGCGTTAATAGGGGGGTATTTTGTGTTTGACTCGTTTTATTTGGATCGTGGGGGGAATGTGGCGCATGCGGGACATCTTGGGGGACTGGCGTTTGGGGTCGCGTTTTATTTGTTGCGGTTGAGGAGGTTTGGGGGGTTGCTTGGGCCGAAAGGGGGGATTGGGGGGAGGGGTGCGGGTGGTTGGTGGAATCGATTAGGGAGACGTTAAGTCGAGGAGGATTGAGGGCGCAGTATATGGATACAGGGTGTGTGGCGTTTTGGGTAGGAAAGCATGGGAATGAGCGGATGATTTGCGGGTCCGCATTTGTGCGGACTTCGGGCTCTGTCATGATCATAAAGTCTTCCAAAACAATTCGGGTCATGTATCTGAGTGGGATTTGTGAACGGTACGGTGTCTCAACCATATGGTAGTGGGTACATTGATGGTGTTGCATCTCGCTTTCAAGTCGCTGGGGTAAGAATGCTGAAGATTTAGAAGGTACCTCAGGAGTCTCATGCTTTTAATGCCTATCAGCTTAGATGTGCTGAAGTGGTATTGGTGCTAAAATCATCGCGCGGTACCAGCCATCATTCATGAATTCGTAACACATCAACGCATGCTTCTTATTCATTCCCCTGTTCCCAAACGCCATGTTTTTTAGATATGTAGAGATCCATGTCACAGTAGCAGCACTGCAACCGCTGCACCGGCGCGTTGAATAGATCTCCGTCCCCTCAGTTCCCTCGCCTGAGCTCTTCACCATGTTCCTAGAGCCTCTCTCATCCCACTTTCTTCTTCTTGACACGCTTGACAACGTGACCATCCTCCACTTCGCCGTCCGCCGCCTTCCCACCTTCTCCTTCCAAGGCCTTCAGAGCCTCCTTCGTCTTCCTTTTCCTCGGCTCGGCATGTGCGACCTTGACGTGGCGGCTATGCTTGAGCCTCGACGCGAATTTCTCACCACAGTGCCAAGTGCAGGGCCACTCCCGGACCATGACACCGCTTTTTAGCAGCTTCGCAGTGGGAAAGCGGTGCGCGGCATTATAGTGCGCGGTCACGAGAGCCTCGGTTGCGAAGGGGAGGCGGCAGGCGGGGTTCCAGCAGCGCCAGATCTCGTCTGAAGCTGGCGGCTGGAGAGTCTGGTGATGATGATGATGATTGGGGCTGGTGATGATGATGGACGATGAGTCCGGCGGTGAGACCTCGTGGATATCGGATCTCGGCGGCGTCGGTACATGTGTGGGAGACGTGTACACCTCGCGTGGGTTGTGATCTTGTGTAGACATGTTGCTTTGATTGTGGTACTGTTATCGGATGGAAATGACTTTGCTGCGTGAGTCAGACGTAGATAGTTCGAGCAACAGGGCGAGGGCCCCCATTTATAGGGGCGAAGGCGCCGCGATGGGAGCGGTGAACGTCGTCATGTGAGCAAGATAACGACAGTGAAGGGCTGCACACCGCTAAGCCGAGCCAAAGCAGGTTTCGTCGATGGTAGTGAATAGGGAGGGAGCATTGCGTGCGTAACTGCAACGATATATGAGATCAGTCAAACAAAGAAGGCACGTCCACGAGGCCAGCGAGTGAAGGGAAAAGCGTGGAAGCTTGTGATTACGGAAAGGTTCTAGAGATGGCATGATGGACAGCTGAAATCTTTCAAGACGACCGTCCCATATGAGAAAGCGCATCGCTGACCGCGAACTCGTCAGCAGCGTGTGCCGGCCGAGCGGCCGCTAGGTGCAGACCAATATAGAAACTAGACGATATCCTTAGTGCCTTCTGTTGTTTAGGACGAAGGTCGGTCGGTTCATTCATCCTATTCTGTATCATAGCGTAACGGAGAGATGCATCGTTATGGAATGCCAGCCCTTGCAGGTATGATGCGACAGTTTCAGTGACAGGAAATTTAGAAGGAAATGGAAGCCCAGTAAGATTATCGCAACGACAAGGAAACGTGATGCTCGGACGAGGTGACAGAGAGAGGCCCGAAACAGCCATAGAGATGGGAGCCAGTGTCTTATCGCTGCTGTATAGCTTAGCCAGAGTGAGTTCGATACCGGCAGCATCATCGTCTTGATCGGACGATCTCTGTTTTCCGCTTGACTCGATCTACACCATCATCAGTCCATTGTGCTGAAGTTCTACCGCGATAGAATTCTGCAGGATTTACAGAGAATAGAATCGTGGTTGGCTACCAGAAGGTGTTGTCAGGATAGAGTCGTGCCACTACTCCATAAAGAGAGTAGCGTCTCTTGGTGCACAACTGAGGTGGGCTTAGGAGGCCTTGCACTGCAATCCACATCACCACACCACTGTTTCTCCATAAAGCTAAGGAGAGTCGATAAGCTTGTGTATGCAAACTGCATACTCTGTACTTCCATGGAAGTAAGGCTGCGATTCACGCGCCGTGAGAACTCGATGCACGCTATGTAGCTAAACCCGTACCCATCTGCCAAACAATCACAGTACGGCTCTCCAAATTCTCCAAGTCCGCAAACATAGACTCTAGACAAATCAACTACCTCCGTCCCTTCTTCGTCACCCTTCCTCCATTCCCACCCTTCTTCGTGGTCGTGGTCTTCTTTGCGACCGGAGTCTTCTTGGCTGGTGCTTTCTTCGCAGGCGTCTTCTTCCCCTTCTTGGGCGGCAACTGCTTCTCAACAAGCGCGTCCAGCTCCCCATTCTCCTGCAGCATGCCCAACCACTCCTCGATGAACGGTCCATAATCATGCCTCCTCGTCGTCGCCTTCTGCTTATCGCTCTCCGCAGACTCAAGCTCGTCTCTGATACTAGCTCTCAACGGCGTCTGCGCACTAGCGAGCTGTCCTCTGAGGTCGAGCAAGTCCTGCAGAGTGAGACCTTCCTCTTCCAGGGTGTCGTGCTTCGTCAGTCTCTCAGCAACTGAAGGCGGGAGACCAGCATCATCGATGTCTTGAACCGAGATGCCCAGCCCCACGGACATTGTCGTCAAAACCTTCCCTTCTTCGTCAGCGGGCAAGAAGCCCTTCCACTCCCCTTCAACATTGTCAAGTGCTCCCTCAACAGTGTTGATACCCTTGACGTTCTCTGACAACTCCTTCCTCAACGCAATGAGCGGATCCTTAACCAGCGCCATCAGGTTGAAGGAAATGTCGTTGGCTTCGTACTGCGCCATGCGGCTGGCCAAGACATCAGCGACGGTAGTGAGCCAATCTCCCTCGAGCTCGATGTCACCGAACTGCGTTGGTTGGCGGTCCAGGCCATCGAGCTTCCAGACGGTGGAGCCTATAGGCATGTAGGCTGAGAAGTGGTAAGCGGCTTCTTCGTCGTCGACTTGTTCTTGTTCCTCATCGTCCGACTCGCGAGCGGCGCGGGCCTTACGCTTGGCAGCCTTCGATTTAGCAGCGCTGGCTTTGAAATTGTTTGCTTTGGCGGCTCTAGCCTTGGCAGCAGCCTCTGCTTTCTTCTGCTTCTCAGCGGCTTGAACCTTCTCGGCCATCTCGAGGTCGATCTTAAGCATGTCGATCCGGCGGGCGAAGGAGTTGTGGATATGCCTCACAAGCTCGAAGGAGTTGATCTCGCGGCCACGGAGGTGCGGCGGGAAGTTCTGGGTGAAGTCCTTGAAGGAGCGGAGATGCTCGCCAATGTCGACGTCGGGGATGTTGTTGATGATGTTGAGCATGGCGACGGTGGCACAGGAGTGCGGGTCGATTTGGTTCGCGAACCAAATATGCAAGGGGCAGCTGGCCTCCTGGGTGTCGGCATCTAGCTCTCGATAGCGGAAGAGGAAGATGAGGCCGTAGACAGGTTTACTGGTTGATGTTAGAGGTGTGGCTGCGGGAGCTTCAGAGAGAGACTTACGGTAGCATTGCAAGCATGTCTGGGTCCAGCCCATACACCTCTTGCACTTTGACACCTTGAACGCCGAACTCCTTCAGCATCACATTGAAATATGCCTATATATAATCAACATCGAGCTCACTTGGCCGCTACTATGCATATATGAGCGATGGCAGGCAGAAACTTACAGGCTCAGATTCAATCTCGCAGAAGCCTTGCCAAGCCCGTTTTCCCGCGTCCATCGCCTCGGTGAAATCAGCGAATTCCTCCTCCTCGTCGTCTTCAGCCTCAGCACCCGGCTGGTCATCACTTCCGTTCTCGGCACCTCGCTTGCCAGTGGGTTGCAACTTTGCACCCTTCTCTTTGGCATCCGGCTCTTCAGCATCTGGCTGCTTAGTGCATTGCTCCTCAGCATCGTGCGCCTCAGCATCCTGCTCCTTCACAACTTGCTCCTTAGCATCTGGCGCTTTGGCACCTTGCTTCTCGGCACCTTGTACCTTAGCGACTTGTTCTTTAGCATCTTGCGCCTCAACATCGTGCGCCTTGACATCTTGCGCCGTGACATCATGTTCCTCGGCATCTTGCTTTGCAGCAAGCTCCTCGGACTCCTGTTTAGCCTCTTTCGTGCCGTTGAGTTTCCTTCTCTTCGGTGACTCAGACGGCGCCTTAGGAGACATCACCTTCTGCGAAAGCTCCTCAGTGCCGCTCCTCGTGCCATTAACGCTCTCAGCTTCTGCGCTCTTCCTCTTCGACGCGCGAGTTTGAACCATGGTGAATTCAGTAACGAGATTATAGTGATTACGAAGACTCAAGTGCCAGCCTCGAGTAATGAAAAGCTGTGATGTCGCAGTATGCAAATTAGGAAAGCAGGAAATCGAAACGGATTCGTGAGTAGAGAGTTGTGAGGGTAAGAAGACATGGCGAGGAGATGAGCAGCACGAACTACTTATAGCAGCAAACGAATGCCGCTGAGTAGCTCAATGGATCGTATTGTGAAGTTTTTCTGCTATTGTCCGTTGTTAGTGAAGTGCTTGTTAGTGAAGTGCAGACATCAACGTACCTGACCGGCGGGTGGCTGGTGGCTCAGCCCTACGGCTTCGCGCGTCACAGAAAGTTGACCCGCGCGCCTCACGTCTCGAAGATAAAGACTCCACAGAAACCCATATCAAAAACCATAACACGCCTGCTTCTACCGCTCCGATTCCCTACAACGTGCGCTTCTCGTGCTACTCAACACGGGCGATCGGGTGATAGGAGCCAGACCCACCGGCTCTCCCTTGAAGACCACAGTTTCGTTTACAACTGTTTACACGCGCACTGGGGGACCTTGTCGATGAAGCGCATAGGTAAGTGTTTACCTTATACTACTGCTATGGGCGTCGCAAGATGTTAACCACAGCAACCAGGCCCCGACCGCATATAACCACAGGATGCAATGAACGGCACTCCTCGACTTCGTTCCGCATTTCCCTCCACTCCGCAAAACTACAAACTCAGACAGGATGGCACACCACACAGAAGCCCGGGCTCTGGATCGCAACTCGGTGCATCGCTCAGCTCGCCGCTCCCAGAGATGCCCTCGATGACATCTCCTAACTCCTCCGAACCGTTGATACCATTCGAAACTCTCGATGCGCCTTCGCAGCGCTTCTATGTCGCGGCCTTCTATTTTGCGCTTATGGGATGGCGGCTATATGACTGGTGGACGCTGAATCAGGAGGACACAGAGTCGTTGTGGTTATTCATGAAGTGGATCTTGATAGACGGTGTATTTCTCTTCGGACTGCCATCACTGCGGATACCATGGCTGGAGTGGTCCTCCTTCGTCATCGTAACGCTTTTTCTGTGTCATGCCATAATCGATGGCATGCTCATGTTCAGGCTGTTCCCGCATTACTCCGTCTGGTTCGCGGGCCTTTTCAAGCTGTTCTCCAGCTCCGAAAAGGCGATCAACGAGCGTAGCGTCAACCCCGCGAAAATCTACAACAATGCTTCCCTGATACTCGGAAGACAGATCATCAACATACTGCCAGAAGGCTCAGCCATGCTGAATCCAGAACGGCGGCACTTCTGCCTGGACGATGCGTCGCGACATCAGGTGCAAATCCCAATTCAGATTAATCAGACGACCCCGATTCTTATTGAACTTTTGCGCGTGGATCTGGACAAGGCCGAGAATGAGACTATTTCCATTTCATCCTCCAAGATCAGGTCCATGGTCAAGGAGGCAAGGAAAATGCACAAGTCCAGCGATCCAGCCAGTCCCCTTCTGCTCCGTTACACGGCCAAGAAGCCAGGTCTGTATGTCTTGCAGAAGGTCGTAGACGAATCAAAGCTGGAGGTTGCGACACGGCCCTCCGACGCGATGATAGTTTCGTGCCCCTCGGCTTCCGTTCGACCTTCAGGAACCGATAGGTGCAGAGGCGAGCTCTCAGATGTGGCTCTGCAAGTAAAAGGCACGCCGCCTCTCCGGATCAAGTACCGGAAGGTGGTCAATGGTGTCGAGCGCGAAGCGTCATTCCAGAGCATTCAGCCGGACGACTTTGTGTCGCCGTTGAAGCAGCAACCATCATTGGCCTTGGTCCGCAGCGGAAAGCTAGACGTGAAATGGGCGGCCTCGCAGGAAATAGTTGTTCCACTCAACGAAACGCTCACCACCAGCGGTACCTGGACGTACACGGTAGATGAAGTTCAAGACGCTTTGGGCAACGTTGTCAGCTATGCTGCCCGGGAGGATGAAGGCGGGCGCCACAAGCATAGGGGCGTGAATCTACACCAGGCACTGACCATTCACGAACGTCCATTGATATTTTTGAGGGGATGCGACACCCAGCATCCGCTTCGAGTTGCCAAAGGCCAGTCAACTGCACTCCCCATCAGCTACGGATCCACTGGCAAGCAGGGTAGCATCGCTCTGCCCCACACCATTGAGTACTTGTTTACACCGGACGAGGCTCTCTCGGCTACTGGAGAGCACGGTGCGAACCCGCACACGCACAGTCTTACCATCAAGAATACCAACCAGAGACCTGCCATACATGAGAGTGGGCTGTACACGCTCAAATCAGTCTCGACCGAGTTTTGCAAGGGAGAAGTGATGGAACCGGCCTCATGTCTGTTACAGAACCCTCCGGAGCCGGACATCTCCATCTTGAAAACAGAGATCTCCGATAAATGCGCTGGAAGGAAGATCGGGCTCCGAATGGAGCTTCATCTTACCGGCACTCCACCGTTTGAGATTCAGTTCATCGAACAGAAGGACGGTGAAGGCCACCAAATAGTCCATCGACACAAGGCCGCGGGCCTCAGGGATCAGTTCGAGCTTACCCCTGTGGAAGCCGGCAAATACACATACACATTCACGGAGATCAATGATGCAGTGTACAAAGGCCGTTCGCTGAAAGAGAAGGGCCTGGTCTATGAACAAGACGTCAAACCCTCTGCATCCGCTCACTTCGTGGATGTCAGGCCAAAGCGTGAGGCTTGCATAGAAGAGCCTGTCTCGTTCGATGTGAGGCTGCAAGGCGAAGGACCATGGATCTTGGAGTACGAAGTCGTGCACGCGGGGAAGCGTACCAAGCATCAGGTCAAAGATATCCAACATGAACGTTACACGATCACCACTGAAAAGCTCAAGAGCGGCGGCGAATACACAATAGCCTTAAGCAGCGTAACCGACAAGTCGAAATGCAAGGAGTTCCTGAAAGCAGAAGCCACAATCAACGTCCGCCACGAAAGACCGAAAGCGTACTTCAGCTCGATTGAGGGTAAGCGTATGGTCCGGACGCTTGAAGGTAAGAGGGTCCAGTTGCCTGTCAGGCTCACTGGCAAAGGGCCGTGGACGCTCAGTTATTGTGATGCGTCCAGTAAAAACCACATTATTAACATGCAACGCGCCAATGATATCCTGGAGGTTACTCAACAGGGCACATACGAGCTTCGCGGTGTACACGACGCTATATGTCCGGGTTCGATCGACAAGACTGCCAATAAATTCGTGGTCAGCTGGGTTCCTCGACCAGAAATCATCCTTCCCGAGAGTCCCACGGTGAAGAGGGCGGAGGCCGGTTCGAAAGCCCACTACGTCAAGCAGGATGTTTGTGAGGGTGATGAAGATACCTTTGACGTATCGTTTTCAGGTACGGCCGAGTTCATTCCGTAGCAAATGTCACACTCACTAACAGCTACAGGCACGCCACCGTTTGACGTCAAGTACGAGCAGCACATTCATCCCGATCACGGTCCCAAGTCCCTCAGCCGCAAAGAACTCAACGCCGCTCTCGGTGTCGCTTCTATCCGCATGGACACCGCTCAACCCGGCCTGTACGAGTACAAGTTCACCGAAATCTCCGACTATAACTATGACCACAACCCCAAGCCCCACCAGCCCCTCACGCTCAAACAACGCGTCAACCCGCGCCCAACCGCGCGCTTCAAAGACGAAGGCAAAACCTACAACTTCTGCTCCAGCGACCTGGACAGCGACCAAGAAATCCCGGTCATCCTAACCGGGCATCCGCCCTTCACCCTCGAAGTTACCATCAAGCAGCACGGCAGCCTCAAGCCGACCACCAAGACCTTCTCCAACATCCCCAGCACAACCTACTCCCTCCGCATCCCACGCTCCAAGCTCCTCCTCGGCCGCTCCCAACTCTCCATCCTCAGCATCCGCGATTCGCTCAACTGCCTGCGCAAAACCGACCCGGCGACGTCCTCAAAAGTGCAAGCCTCCGTCTTCGATCCGCCGTCCATCTCCGCCGTCGAGCCGCACAAATCAGACTACTGCGTCGGGGACCGGCTCGCCTTCAGCTTAGCCGGCCAGCCGCCCTTCAGCGTAACCTACACCTTCAACGGCGCCACAAAGCGCGCCTCCACGCCCAGCACCTCCTTCCGCCGGCTCGCCGAATCCGCCGGCACCTTCGCCATCACCGGCCTCAGCGACTCCGCCAGCCAATGCCGCTTCTCGCCCTCCGGCCCGGACGCCATCAACACACTAACAAAGCGCATCCACGCCCTCCCCTCCGTGCGCGTCTCCAAGGGCCGCGAGACCGTGACGGACATCCACGAGGGCGGCGAGGCAGAGCTGCTGTTTGAGTTTACGGGCGCCCCGCCGTTCGAGTTTGTGGTCCAGAGGAGCGAGAATGTCAGACGGGGCCACAAGGCCAAGGTGCTCGAGACGAAAAGTTTGGTGAGTGAGGAGTTTGAGATGAGGATTATGGCGAGTCAGGAGGGGGTGTATGAGGTCGTTAGTATTAGGGATCGGTGGTGTGCGTTTTCGAAGGTGGGCGGGCCGGGGGCGGCGCAAGGGCAGAAGTTGTTGCAGTAGGGGGCTGAGGGGTGGAATGTTGGGGTGGGGTGGGCTGTAGGGGAAGCATTGCATGGCGATTTTGCACATGTTTGCATTCGATTCGTCTCGTTTAAGATAACTTGGGAGATTTTGTGTAAGTGGGTATGAGTAGGCGAACATCATTGGGCATTGCAGTCCGTGAATCCGGCGGTCGAAGACCAAGCCGCCCTATCTATCCACTCTCAAAACACGCGCCGCCACTAGCCTAGAGTCTTCTCAGGCTGCCATCTGCGACCCAACGAAGTCACCAAAAGCCATACCGGAGGCTTTGGAGCGGGGCACTGACTTCATCGCAGTCCGTCTAAGTCTATGACGCCGCACCGCCCGTGCCCGGATTATTCCTCGTCACGTACTGCGACCGCATAAACTCCTCAACATCCTTATCCGGCAGCTTGTTCACCCTCGGATCCCTCGGCTTGCGCTCTTCGGGCTGCTGCTCCTCCTTCTTCTCCTCCTCCTCCTTCCCACCGCCTATTCCGGCCGCCGCAAGCGCCGTCCCCGCCAGCCCCGCCGCGCCCTCGTACGCCTGGTTCGCGTAAGATTTCGCCTGGTCAAGGTACGACGTCTGCGGCTGCTCGGGCTGTGGGATTGAGACATCCTTGGGCGCCTGGCCGACGGTGCCTGGTTCCATTGTCTGACTTGTGTCGCCGTAGCCGTGATCGTTGGTCGCGGGTGTGCCGTCGCGCATTTGGCCCGCGGCGTGCGTGCCGTGCTGAGCTGCGTAGCGCTCTGAGGATGTGCCGCTCCGAGTGCCGTCGGCGTATGTGGCTTGGCCGTTGTTTGCGTTTGAGGGAGTGTTGTCCATGGTGTGTGTGGAGACGGGGGTGGAGTTGCGGTAAGGAAGGGACTGGTGGATCGGGGTTGAATTGCCGGACTCAGAGCCTGCAGGCGACTGGTCGAAGTTGGGGTCTTCTCTGATGTTGGACTGGGTTGCGGTTCCGGAGGTTGTTTGCATGAGCGTCAAGCGTCGGCGCTCGTCGAAAGATTGGCGGCTGCCGTTGGTGATGCCGTTCGCGATGCGCGATGACGGTGCGGGGATGGATGCGACGACTTGGCGCCGAGGTTTCCCCTTTTGCGATCCCACCGCGACAGCGACTATATCGTTGTCGTTGTTGTTTCTTTCTAAGCGGATGGGGCCGCTCGGAAAGGTTGGGAGGCCGTTCTGCATGGCTGGATCTTCCCAGTTGAGTCTTTGGGAAATTGCAGGCTCGATCACGGGCAGCATGCCGAACTTGAAGTCTAGCTTCCCGCCGTACTTTTTGGGGATATTCGCCGGATCAATGTATTGTTCGAGTGTGGCTTTCATATTAGACGGTGTGAGTATGAAGATCTTCGAGACAGTCGTTGGATCGAACCAGCGCTTTATCCAACTCCAGACCGTCGGAAAGAATGACGGCGCTCCAATAATCTGCAGACCGTGTCAGTCTTGATCGAGTTTGAGGTAGAAGTATGAGCAATATGCGTACAAATATACGGTCAAGTGTCTCTGGATAGTGCGCAGTAGCCAGTTGGCTAGCATCCTGCATGTGTCCCTTGAGATTCCAAAACTGCTTCAGGCTCACCCCTGATATGTCGACGATGTTATTGCTCAGCGATACCGGCGTCTCAGGTTGGGGTCGGTCTGGTATAGCAGAGCACAGCGGCAAGACGAACCGCACTAGGTTCTCGTAGAGCGCAAACAGCCGCAGCATTCTAGGCGGCGCTCTCCGTGAATCTCTTGTCGGCGACGCCTGCTCGTGTGCAGTGAGCGTCTTCGGATTGAGGTGCGCGATCTCGTAAACGTATACGGGGATGCCTCGTTTGTCTCGTCGACCGGTCCACTGGGGGTACTGTGTATTGAGCGCTGGTCAGAAGCAGAATCACGCTTGCGCCGGTGTTCTTCTCACAAGCTTCCTCGTCTCCTCATATTCGCCGAGGTCTATGGTGTCGTACAGTTCTTCTAGTCTGTTCTCTCTACGCCAGTCTTCCGTCTCTTTGAATTGCCTAAATGCATCCCGGGGGTTGAACTTTCGAGCGCGAAGGTATCGCCTGCGCCCTGTCAGCCCTGCAATGTCTCCGTACAGACTGTGATGGCTGACAGTAGTGTTTCATCATCATGACTGGCTTCTATCGTGTCGTCTGTGAATGGCGGTTGGTAATAACCTTGCTTCTGGCATATCTGCTTGAACTTTTCCAGAGCCGATTGCTGAGTGCTGGTGAGATGACCGAGATGCCCTGCTGGGTACTGATACGATTCAACACGGACGAGGTCACTATCGGCCATTGCAAAGGGTTTCAGGGTGGGAAGTGGGAGGGCCGGGGAGGATGTAAGAGATTGCTGGGCGTGATAGCCATAAGGCTGGCCGGAGATCTTGCGCTCGTACGAATAACGCAGGATATTTACATGCGATGAACGAGGGACGATGACGATGGACTGAGGATCCAATCGACGCCCAGCTGCACCGGACCCTCGGCCTGTTCATTAGCCCGTGCTTCCGCCAGGATCCGCATTTGTAATGAGGCCAGAGGCAGCTGCAAGAGTCACGGCTTAGGTATGCTCGTGTGTGAGGGATGGAGGGATGAAGGTCAGCCGCCGGACTCGCCGTGCTTCACTCTCGGTCACCGTGGATAGGATGTACAGAGAAGTACCAGGAGATCAATGCCCCGCCAACGCCGTGCATGCTTTCTCAAGAGAATGACGGGTGTCGATATGCCTTCCATATCAAATCGGAGATAATCACTGTTGCTTGGATTAAGCTGTGTAGCCTTGTGGTCCGTCAAGGATATAGCAGCATCAACGCTTCGTAGCTGTTGTTGCGTCTCTTCCGATGCGGACCTCCAACAACAACCCAGATACCACACCTCCAAAAAAGGCTGCAGTAGCTCCCGAATCGTGCAGTCAGGCTAACAAAAGCGTCGGCAAGCCACCGAGCCTAAAATTAGACCTTGTCTCGAAACTCTCTCAGAGTCACAAAGTCAGTGCTAAGGGCTTTGTTTTCACCCTTTTCCAACACGCGCTACGATCCTTCCATCTGCCACTCTCGCACAGAGCATACCCTTCAACCGATCTACAAGATCAATCCTCGTGCCCGTAAGCATGATGTCCCTATTAACTTGTTTGTGCAGCTCAAGGTTATGCTTGAGCGCGCTCATCGAGAGTCCGGCCACCTGCCGAGGGTCCTGAACGTAGCCCGTTGGAATTGTAATACAGTAGCGCTTTCCCCTGTTGTTGAAGTAATCCAGACAAGATTGCGGTATGGTCATCAAGCGACATTGTGATGGGAGTGCGTACACCAGGAGGCGGAGACAGGGCATGGTGACCGCTGTGCCACGCAGGTACAGTGATTTTAGCCTTGTCAGTGCTGTTAGTGGGACTCGGCAGTCATCGTCTATCAGGGGATTTCCAGATAGATCCAAGACACTGAGAGTCTCGGCATGAGTCGCCAGATGGAGTAGATGAGTAGTTGTTGCCTGGGTATTCGAGACGTTGAGCAGCATCAGCTGAGGAAGAAGGCGTAAAAGGGAGATGTCGTATAAAGAGAGGGGAATTCCCTTCAAGGTCAACCGCGAGAGCCGAGTAAACGTCCCTTGTTGGAAGAAGTGCGTAAGCAGCGGCCCTGGGCCGATCGATGGAGATATAATCGAATTTGACAGGGAGATCTCTTCAATCGCAGTATCTGCGAATAGCTCAAGGAGAATGGGATTCCACCAGCCTCGGTCAGAAATGAGTTCCGCTATTTCTTGGTGCGACTCTGCGGTTTCGACGATGGCCACATCCACACGGGAAAGCGTCACATCTTGAGTCTCGAGCGCTTCAAGAACGAAATTCTTCCAGTTGATGAAAGATCTCTGAGGTTCATCCTCTCCCTTTTCTACTCTCAACGTCAGAAGAGCCTCGCAAAGAGTTCAATCCAACCAGGTCAGTGAAATATGCTAGTCGATTGATCTTACTAATGCCACAAGGACGCACCATTTTGGGAGTGGCGCTCATCTTCAGCTACCGTTTTTGGGTGCACCGGCGGCTTTGAGCGAGGAATGTCTGGTATCAAGGGTGCATTGCCACTCCTTTCCGCCAGGGGTTGGCGAACATGACTACTTGGACCGACATGCAGGCGCTTTGCTGGCCGTTTACCAGCGAAAGGTCCAGAGGAGTTGAAATCGGAGGACGACTCCCATGCTTTGCTTCGCTTGCCGGTCACCGGCGCAGGGGTAGAGACGCCTTTTGATCTCGTGCTTGGTGGCATGAAGTTGATAGCAGCCGTAGCTCGCCAGCTTGCTCTTCGTTGTAGAAAGCCGTAGAGTATCGGAATTGGCTGCCATAAACCTCGAACGTGCGCATGTGTGGGATTGAAGATGGCAGGTGTAGCAGCTTTCAGCCTTATGCCGCGGCATCGTCATGTGACATGCGAATGTCAACTCCGTCATCGTATTCCTGTGCTCATTTGCCTCCGCTATTATTGACAGCCTTTATATAGCTATATCGCTTCCACGACACCACAAGCGTCTTCAATTACCGCCCTTGAGCATCTTGTCAACTGACAAGCGCACAATGGAGCGAGAGCAAGCATCTCTGATTAACCTTCCGGACGAACTACTCCTTCAAATCCTCTACTACCTCCCACCCAAGAGCACAATCGCCATCCGCCTGACCTCACCTAAGTTCAAGTCCGTGACCGAAACCACACTCCTATGGCGCCACTACTGCCGAACAGAGTACCAATTCTGGGACCCCAAGCAAGAAATCTCGAAAAAGTTCCTCGCACCCACAGCAGAGGTGCGGTGGGAGAGCATCTTCGCGCAGCGGCGCGAGCTCGATATTCTGATCGCCGAGACGCTCGACAGTCTGCTATCCTGCCAGCAACGCCGTTATGACAAGATGCAGGAGATTGTGGACGCCGGGTACGACGCGAAAGACGAGTTGTTGCGGCAGTGCAAATGCCCGGGCGACGCGGAGGATGTGCTGGCACGGCGGTACTGGAGCCAGGCGACGCTAAACACGATACACCGGACCATGGCGATCGAGGAGTGGGAGAAGCTGCAGAAGGGGGAAGACGTGCCGCTTGAGAGGGCGCTAGGCGCATTCGACATGTTTGTCCTTGACACGAGGGAGGGCGACTTCGACAACATCTCGCGGCATATCGACGACCTTGCGGAGCGGGTACGGGCAGAGAACCCGGACCTGGACAGCCGAACGACTCGGCAGAAGGCCCTCGACGTCGCCCGATTCCTGCGAGCACACGACCTCACCGGCGTAGCCTCCGACGAAGCCTACACGGCCCTCCGCAACAGCTTCATCGGCATCGGCCTCAACGACCCCTCGCACCAAGCCCTCCCCCTCATCTCCACCGCGCTCTACTGCTGCGTCGCGCGCCGCCTCGGCCTCTCCGCCGCCTCCTGCGGCTTCCCCTTCCACGTCTACGGCATCGTCTACGCCGCCCCAGGAGCCGACCTCGACGGCCGCGCCATCCGTCCCTCCTCCGGCGACGACGACCAACAGACCCTCATGTACGTCGACCCCTTCCGCTCCGACCAAGAGGTGCCGTTGCGCGACCTCACGACCCAACTTTCCCAAATGCGCGTCTCGCCCTCCAAACACCCCGAGCTGCTGCGCGCAGCCAGCACGCGCGAAATGGTCCTCCGCACCGGCCGCAATATCATGAACTCCGTGCAGCAGATCCACCAGCGGGCGGCGATCCAGCCCGCTGACACCGCTGCCCGCAGTCTGGCGTGGGTGTCCACGTTCCCGGACATGGACAACGCGTTCTACAGCACGCTGTGGGCGATGCTGTTACTCGGGCTGCAGCCCGGCGAGGACCAGAGCGCCGCCGCGGCCATGGTGACGAGACGGCGGACGTATCTGCCGTACATATTCGAGCATTTTCAGAACCACTTCCCGTGGGACGCGAGGTTGATCGCCGAACATATCGTGCCGACGTTCCGGGGGCTGCCAGAGCTGGAGCGGATTGAGAACATTCTCGCTGTGCATAGCGAGGCGAATCGGAATCCAAAACTCGTGCTGGAGCGGAGCCCGGTGCTGGATATCAAGGTCAAGTATAAAATTGGCCAGATGTTTAGGCATAGACGGTATAGGTATGAGGGCATTGTTTGTGGCTGGGACGCGCGGTGTGAAGCCGGGGATCTGTGGATCCAGCAGATGGGCGTGGATAGTCTGCAGGATGGACGGGATCAGAGCTTTTATCATGTTATGTGAGTTCGAGACTGCACTACCAGGCTGGTGGAGTTGGAGACTTGCTTGCTGACGCGCTGCAGGGTCGACGACAGGAGCATGCGCTATGTCGCGCAGGAGAACATCGCACCTATCGACACGGAGCCGTCGGAGGCGCTGTTGAGGCTTGCGGGGAAGCACTTTAAGCGATGGGACGCGGAGAAGAGACGGTTTGTGAGTAATATCAAGGACGAGTATCCTGATGATTAAGCGGTAAGCTGTGGTTTGCGGATCGCCTCCGTAACGGGTTGGTGATGTCTGAGTATGCTAGGATGGTGTGTTTCCAGGCTGTATAGTACATGATTTACCTGACGCGAGGAGCTATGTCGGGTACTGCGGGGCCCATGGCGGATGCCATGTTGAGCTTTCTGCGTGGGTGAGGAAGGCATTGTTACACTGATGGCGAACAAATCATCCATCACTTGCGTTGTTGATGTCAAGACGTTCCGTTTGATCCGCTAATGTGCTCTATTTTGCGCGTGCACACATAATGTGAGCCAAAATTCGTGGACAGTTATTGAGAGCATGCATGAACGGGTTGCAAGCCTTTGAGTATCTAATGTGCTTCTTCTAGTCTTACCGTCTGGGTGGTTCGGGAATACGTCGCCTTCACCCAGGCATCTCAGTAACCGTGTCTGAGCTCCCAACAGACCATGGTCCCAGAACCGAACGCCGCGCCTCTGAAAGCGCCAGCGCCAGCGCCAGCGCCAGCAACGCTGTGGATGAAGATGAAGATAAAGCGCGCCGCCATACCGGCCCGCACGAACACCATTCTTCTAGCGCATGAAGCGCCGGACGCCGGCCGATGCCGCTAGATGCGCAATCAGTCCTTAGAAATGCGTAGAAGCGCCGCAGCAAACCACATGCAGCACAGGTTCACGCATCATCAATACCCAGCGCCGACAGTTCCTTCCTAATCGATACCTCCGTCCCAATCTTCTTGACCTGCGTATCCTCCAGCTTCTCACCTCCCGCTTGCCGCATCTTGAGGTCCTCGATCGCCCGGATCTTCTTCAGCAGCGAGCGCTTCTTCTTCTCCTGCGGGGAAGGCGCGCCGGGCGATGTAACTGTAAGATCTGGCGTCTCGAGTTCCGCTGCTGATGGTGGCGGCGGGATCTCTATCCGTCCTGGCTGCTGCGGGGCCTGTGGCGAGTGGTTGCTGTTCTGATTGTGATTGTGATTTTCGTCCCTGGGTGCGGCCGATCCGCCCTTCAGTTCCAACTTCCCAGTTCCCTTCGACCTGCTCCGCTCATGCCCTCCCCTAGCCCTCCGTTCCGGACTTCTCGCAAGATTCGGCGGCGCCGCGTCGCCGTCAACAGCCAAGCCCGCCGCCTTGTCCGCCGCTTCCTTCGCCTTCTTCGCCTCTCGCTTCTTCTTGTTCTTCAGCGCTGCTTTCGAGAGCTCTCCGTCGCCTGCGTCGTAGCCCGCGAGACTGACGCCCCCGCCTGGAGCCGCGCCGGGCGGCAGGGGAGGCTCGGCGGGATCGGCGCCAGGAACTTCGCGTCTACGCGGCTTGCCGAAGCCGTTGATGCCGCCGCTGGTGGAGGAGATGCCGTCGTTAACGAACGCGGCGCCGCCTTCGTCTTCGCGCTTGAAGTGCAACGGTGTGGATGTACCGCGTGCGCCAGGCGGCCGGTACGCGCCCGCAGGCTTCGAGGGCGCTTTGCGCTTTGCGAGGTATTCGAGAGCGGATGGGTGCGGAATTGGGACAGGGTGCAACGGGTCCTCGGGCGGGTGGAGAAGAGGGGGCTCAGGGCGCCAACAGACGTGATAAAGCTCGTTCATGTCCTCGTTATACACGAGGCCTCCGCCAACGTGCCAGATTCTGATGCCGTTGTCTACCCGCAGCCGGGGGCTAGTCGTAGCAGTAAGGATATATTTCCCGTCAGGGCTCCATTCGCAGACGCTGGCGTTGCTCGCCTCGATGGTGGTCACCTTTTCATAGTTCTTCTCGAGATCGTAAATGTCCATCTGGCCAGCCAGATTGCCGAAACCGGCAACAAGGACGAAGCGACCGTGCGGAGAGAAGAGAATAGTGTTGCGGGGACCCAAATTGAAGCTGTGCGTTGCGACGGCCCGAGCGTTGAAGATAGTGGTCTTTGCGGGCATATAGCCGTACACAACTCCGAATTCCTTCGAGTTGGGCGACCACGATACGTCATGGACAGGGCCTTCTTTGTCTGCAGTTTTTGTTAGGAAAGCTGAACACATCTGGTGCATAGTATACTCACCCAAAGATAGCCTCGCATCAACACTACCACTGGTGCTAAGGATGTACATGTTGGTTTCGCCATAATAGGACTTGTTTGACTTGTCGACTTCCGTCTGGGCTAGGACTATCAATGTCGTGCCAATATCGTTCCATTTGAACTGCACTTTGTCTCCTTTGAAGAACGTCTTCTGCGAGACGGGCGAGGCGAACTGCGGAACGCTGAAAACTTTGACTGCGGCTGGTTGGCCCTGTAACACAGAATATTAGCATGGGGTTGCACGTCTGTCCAAGTCTCGTTCTCTCACCTTTCGCTCCGGAACAAAAACAGCAACCGAATGGCTCCTGCCTGGAGCGACCGCAAAGTCTGTAACGCCCTCCACGCGAAGCTTGTTCCAGACCGTACCCAAATCTGCGCTTTGGTAGAACTGCACCTCGTTCGTAACGACCCGAGCACAAAGACTCTCATCAGAGGTATACTGCAGATTCCAGCCGGTCTGGGATTTCTGCACAAATTGCCCAACAACGCTCCTCTCCCCTTCGGCTCCGGCATTGTCATCGATGGTTCTCCAGACCTTTAGATTCTTTGTTGTGTTGCCTTCCGCATCTTTCGTAGGACGCTGCCATGTAATTATGAATGTGCCCAGTGGTGAAAAGCCCAGTTCGTAGACATTCTCGGTGGGCAGCGTGGTAACGACGTGTCCGATGGAGGCGTCAATGACTGAAACCCTTGTTCGACTCGGTCAGCAGTGATTTTGGCTGTACATGCATGTGACACCTACTGCTCAGGTGACGCCCATGCAAAGAATCGGCCATCTGGCGAGTAAGTGCAGCATCGAAAGTTGCCCTCGGGCCTAGTCGAAGTGTTAGCTTCCAGCCCTAGAGAATAAGTAAGGGCAGTGACAAGATCGTGCGACTGACCTCTCAAAACCTGGTAGAGACTCATAGACTGGTGCCGCATTCAGAACACTGATGCCCTTCAAGGTGCGGTCTGGTTCAAAGGAATACTTATTAGCGATGGGAAGCGAAGGCTAGCATACGGCCGAGTATCTTACACGCCAATTGAGTCGGAGCAGCCATGACTAGTAAAAGTCACAGGGCGAGGAGCACTGAAGAAGGGGACAGCTTGCGCTTAGAGCTCTTTGTTCGAATGCAAGAGCTGGCGGGCGGCCGCAGCAAATTCTGAGTATGGGCTAGAAACACGAAGCGGCTGATTGAGGGAGACGATGTTACAGCAGCACGAGTCTGGCTCGGAAGGATATACTGTCCCGAGAGGCGACACGGATTGAAGGTTGAGCGTGCGTGTACAGAGCAGAAAGGCGGCGGTCAAAGCGAGATTCAAGTTGACGAAACCCACGCACTGCGCCAAGATTTGACACGCCTCGAGCGGATGTTGCCGCCGCCAGGCTGACGAAAGTCGTCAGACTCGAAAACCACCACTTTCGAATTCTTTGTCAAGTTGACCTCCTTCTTTACTGCCACGTCAGGCGGGGACATGGCCTCACCGCGAAGGCGATTCGGCGCTCTCTCGCCGTCAACTTCACAGAGTAATCTACGATTAGCAGCTGTAACAACTCCTAAAAGTGAACGATTACATAGCAAGCCTTAAGTAAGCTATTCAGACCGTCTTGTGGAGCATTACGGTGATACTAAAGGGAGCATTGTTGTTGGTGCAGCCTGTAGTTCTATGATTGCGGTGAGGCCATTTTCCCGCGCGACATCACTACCTAGGTATCAATCCTCAGCTATCAGCCCTACCTGCAATAAGTCGAAAACGTCTGATGTCTCTTTGAATCCGAGTCTCACACCTCACTGCTTTCTCGTATCTGGCAAGGCCTCAGATCGATGGTAAAAATCCTAGTGTCATCTTAAGATTTGGAGACTTTTATCATCTTGGTGCCGCTCCCGTCATATAGTCTCGAGTTTCCCCGCCTCCACATTCGCCATTGCTTCCTGCCGTATCTTCCTGCCTCAAGAATTGCTCATCAACAACACAACTCAAGGGCTTAGGCCACTAATGTACGATTGCGTGTGTTAGATGGATATGATCGTGAATATACACTGAATGTATTCTCACTGAACACAATCCTCGGTTGCCCCTCGGCGAGGTACGCATGTACTGGCCGCTATGTAGCCAGCCGATTATGTTTACCTTAAGACCGCATGGTACCACAGCAACGAAGGCCGGTGAATCAGGATTTTCTGCCAAATCCGTAGACTGATATAGAGCACAAGGCTATCGGACCTAGGCCTAAAAAGCTAAGGATAAACTAGTGTGGTTTATTCTTAGCTTGTACTCACGTTCGATAGTTGCGTGCTCTATAACCAGTTCACGGGTTTGGCGGAGAATTCGGTTCGCGGGCCTTTGTTGCTGCGGCACTGGGTTGGCAACCCTACTAGTCCTGATCGACAGATTCACCGCTGCTCTCGTGCCAACCTAGTCCCTCCGTGCTCCAGCACTTTAGAGAAGAAGAGGAGGAAGATCGAGTTTGAGGAGCTTGGAGCTCCGATGAGGACCCTGAGCGGCTCTCCAGTGCGGTAATCGGAAGCGGCCATCCAAGAATGAGTATTGCACCCTAAGCTGCAGTAACAGGCAGCGAGTTGAATTGATACAACACTTTCGAACGAGGCACTTGCCAATACCGCCTGCTGCCCCAAACACCGTTGGATATGACACTGCCGGGACACGGTGAGGTTTGCCAATGGGAGGACCACTCAAGACACGGAGCAAGACTTCGCGGTACGTCTCACTTACTACTAAGCGTGCCAGCTGCTTGACAAAGGGACCATAGTGCTAGCCCCGAGACAGTGAATAGGATGCTGCAGAGGATCTTGACTCCGCCAGAGTCTACACTGGTGACTGAATGCCAAGGCAAAGATATCGCTACAAAGGAGCAGCAGAGGGTAACATACACGGTGCTTTCTTCGAAACTCCGTTTGCAAAAAGCACTCCTGCTACAAAACTATGAGTTATCAATACCAAGATCGGGTGCCCTGTGCCCTTCCTGCGACACTACTGTTAAACACAGAGAACAGTCCAGTGTGTTCAGTGAAGATTGGATGTGACCAATAAAACGCGCGCAGTTTGGCGCGCCTCGGCTTGTCAGTCGACCTCGGCATCCCGCATTTTCCACGCTGCAGATGCACCCCGGATTTGGCGCAGTGCAAGGGTTTTGAAGTCCCTTTGAGCCTCTCTTCAGTGTTGAAAGCCATTGCTACCATTCCTCGCACGCCTGTCGGCTTTTCAACCCCACCCAGAACCCGTAACCCTCGTCGAATCCGTATCTCCTCTCCTTATCCCGCCGCTCCCCGCCTCCGAACTCACAATGCCCCACGAAACCCTGACCCGCGACGCCGTAGCGCAACACAACACCGCTGACGACCTCTGGTGCATCGTGGACCACAAAGTCTACGACCTGACCGACTTCGTGGATGCGCACCCCGGCGGCTCCGTCGTGCTGACCCAAGTCGCGGGCCAAGATGCCACGACCGCCTTCTACAACCTGCACCGGCAGGAGGTGCTGCAGAAATACTCCTCGCTCTGCGTCGGCACCCTAGAAGGGGAAAAGGCCGAAGTGCTGGAGCAGAAGCCCGGAGATCTCAGCGCCGTGCCTTACGCGGAGCCCCTGTGGCTGCGGCCGCAGTTCAGGAGCCCGTATTACAAGGAGAGCCATCGGCGGCTGCAGAAGGTGATGCGCGAGTTCAATGACAAGTATATTTACCCTGAGGCGCAGGAGAAGGAGAAGGATGGCACGTTTATCTCGCAGGAGCTGATTGACCGCATGGCGGAGACGAACATACTGGCGATGCGGTTGGGGCCGGGGGAACATTTGTATGGGCGAGAGATTCTGGGGGGCGTGGTGGATGGCAAGGAGTTCGACTATTTCCATGACTTGGTGGTGGCTCAGGAGCTGGTTAGGGCGAACGCGAGGGGGTTTCAGGATGGGAATATGGCGGGTATGACGATTAGTTTGACGGCGGTGAGGCAGTGGCTGAATGATAGGGAGCTGAAGGAGAGGATCACGCAGGAATGCCTGAGCGGGAAGAAGAAGATATGTTTGGCGATTACGGAGGCTTTTGCGGGTAGTGATGTCGCGGGCATACGGACAACGGCGGAAAAGACGCCGGACGGGAAACACTACATCGTCAATGGAACGAAGAAGTGGATAACGAACGGAGTGTGGTGCGACTACTTCGTGACAGGATGCAAGACGGAGAAGGGGTTCTCAGTCATTCTCATCGAGAGGAGTGATGCAGTCGAGACGAAGCTGATAAAGACGAGCTATTCGACCGCGGCTGGCACGACGTACATCCAGTTCGAGAACGCCAAGGTGCCTGTGAGCCACCTTATGGGAGAGGAGGACAAGGGTTTCCAGGTCATCATGAGCAACTTCAACCATGAGCGGTGGATGATGGCCTGCGCGGTAAGTCACTTGCCAATACAACGAAGTCTCTGGCGGCTAAAACTGCGCTCCAGGTAATCCGGCAGTCGCGGTCAGTAGTCGAAGAGTGCCTCAAGTGGTCAAACCAGCGCATCGTCTTCAAGCAAAAGCTGATTGCTCAACCTACCATCCGGCAAAAGCTCGCGAAGATGATATCCCACGTTGAAGCCAACCAGGCCTGGTTGGAACAGATCACGTACCAGATGTGCTCGATGAGCTACGCGCAGCAAGCCAAGCTGCTCAGCGGACCGATCGGCTTGCTGAAGTCGTTCGCAACGCGCTCCGCACATGAGATTGCGGACGAGGCTGTCAATATCTTCGGTGGAAGGGGTTTGACTCAGGGTGGCATGGGCAAGGTGGTGGAAATGTTCCATCGGACATGTAAGAGCTTCTTCATCCCTTTGATTATATTGAAAAGCTGACCTTCCGTTGATAAATTCGACGCTATACTTGGAGGGACCGAAGAAATATTAGCGGACCTGGGAGTGCGACAAGCGCTGAAGGACATGCCGAAAAGTATGCTGTAGGAGGGCATGCGGGTGACAGGGATCGCCAGACTCCGAAATCATCAAGCCTCGAATTCACCATGTCCACAATAACCAATATCATGAGTTTCCAGCCATCATTCCCACCTTCGAATAACTCACACCGCTCCTGACGTCTCGCTTTGAGCATCTCACTTCATCTACGTCCTGCAACCGAATAGTTTCCTGTATCTCATGGACCGTTAAATCAAGGGTGAGCGCGGAGTCGTAGTTTGAGCATGGCGACATCTGTCATTTGGTGGAATGATAATGCCACAAGCTGCCTGACTTGGCACAGGCGCTATTGCAATCTAACATAGTTGACATAGACTTGCAATAGAGCTGGTTGTGTAGTGTGACAGCTGCAATAACACAGCACTGTACTCAGGCGTTAGATAACTTGAAACCTTTTAGCAGCTGACCGCTCTAGTGCATCAATCTTGGAAGGTATCCTGGATACAGAAAGTACTGTTTAGCAACCCATCGCTAGGTTTGATTCCCCAAATCATGGGGTAATAGTACCAGCGCTGTCGTATCCGTGTGCTTGCAGCTCTAGCTGAGTCGCAGCTCTGTGGTGACCAATTCGCCTGCGTTGTGTGGACCATGATTCACTCGGTATGGACACTACTCATGCTGAAGACGGCGTAGAACCCTCCATAGAAGGCATAGAACCATGGTACGGCAGCTTGACAAAGCGACTCGCAAAACCTTACCCACACCCACGCTGATTCAAGTTTGGTCCGGTGACTTCTGCCTCAGCACACTGGAAATTCAACATCCACGAACACAGCGCCTAGATGCAGCTCTGCGCCAGACGAGCAAGTCCACGTGGTTCCTCCTACAGGTACAGATGTGGCTCTCAGCTGCGGTGAACTGGCCACCTAGGGCTCGGTGTACAGGTGGACTCGTACGTGTCCGCCACGCAACGACGACTCGCTCATGGCCGACAAGAGTCTCAGCATTGATCGCTGCGCGAATCATCGAAATGGCATTTCAGGAACAGCATCCGCTGACGGCCGCGGCTCCTGAAGGCGGCGCATAAAGAACACGGAAACCACGGCAAGCACTCCGACAGGACCACGGGCTTTATTTCCGACTCTAGTTTCCGCGTAAGTTACACGCTTTAAGTTTGGCCCATCACCTCGCCCAGCCACGCGCTTCGACGGCGCCTGAGGGATAAGTAAGCTCAGTGAATGCTCTCGTGCCTTCGTCAACTGCCTCCTGGTCCTCCTGTCTTCACTCTGAACTCGTCGTAACACCGTCGACCCGCTCTACCGCTCTCCAGCAACGTTCAACCCCCGATTACTCACCTCGTCGCCTCAGGATCTACATAAGCCGCCACTTCCTACTTCCTCAACCGCCTCCAAGCCGTCTACGTACCACCGCCGAGCCACTACTCCGTATCTTGCGGTCCCTCCACCCGTCCACCGCATCAGCCTTCTCCGCCCAACGACTACACTCGCCACTACACTCGCTACTACACTCACCACCACCTCCGTCATGCGATCCAACAGCTTCTCCTCAATCTCATCGCGGTCATCCAGCGTAGAACCTGAAGCAGTCATGCAGATCTTTGTCAAGAACCTCACCGGCGACAGTAAGCTCAGCCCTTCACATTTCCGGGAAGCCGTTTTCTGACTCCTCCCCAGCAATACCACTGTCCATACCATCAAACACATCGATCGCCACTCTCAAGTCCCTACTAGCTCTCCGAACGAACCTGCCATCCTCGGATCTCCGCCTCGTCTTCGCTGGCAAGCACCTGAGCGACTCAGACTCCACCCTATCCGACTACGCGATCGCGCGCGAATCCACACTGCACCTTGCACTACCGCTCCGCGGCGGCGCACCCAAGAAGATACGCTGCAGCTACAAGGAATGCAAAGACGCGGCCCAGCGCATCGTTGGTGACTGCGGCTTCTGCAACGGCCACTTCTGCGGCAAGCATCGGCTGCTTGAGGACCACAAGTGCGAAGGACTAGAGGACTGCAAGAAAGAGAGCCACGAGCGCAACGCCAACAAGCTCAACTCGGAGCGGACTATGGCAATTAGAGGCGTGTAAGGGACAGTGCTAGATTCTTTAGCGAGTGGTCATATGTAGCGGGCCTATGGGCGTTATCTGCTTTCTTTCTTGGTAGTAATTTAGCGTTGATTTGGGCTTGCTGGGCTGGCTGGGGGTTGGTGGCGCCGTATCTCCGGGCGTGGGATGCCATCGGTTTTTCAAGCCGTAGTAAAGGATGAGCATATACCAGTCAGATATACTAATACAATACAAAGCTCAACAGCACCCACTGGTTCATGACTTTACTTGGAACACCGACCCTGAGTCTTCATTCGTCTACTTATTGGGAATTGGGGGCTTGGCGTTTTCGTGATAAAGGCCATCCGGCGAACGCTCCGGATTGTCGCGTGAGCTCCAGGGCTCTCAACCTCCCGACACCACCATCCTAGTACAAGGGATCATTGTGCATCCCCATATCTTGATTTGCCGCTAAGGCAACGGTAGGTGAAGTGAAGATGCTTGAAGGAGACATTGCAATTGGGCAAGATATCCAACGTCATCGAGACATCATTGCATGCAGAGACGGGTTGGAAGCAGGCTGACGGCACGGGGAGCCCTTGAAAGCCTCAGAAGGTCTTGCAATTGATTCCCAGCGTCCAAGTCATTCCAGAGTTGCCATCTGTCGAGTTCGTTTCCTGTCTACTTTCTAGCTGTTGTTCCTGCAATATGGCTCTCATTGTCCAAGCCTACACGTTCCTGCAGCAATATGCCGTCTCTTGGATGGAAGCTGTTCCCAAGAAGAACTCAGGAGCTATCAGATTAGGTGTCCTTTCGACAGCACAGATCAATCCAGCGGCCGCCTTCCACCCCGCCGAGACTCACCCAGATGTCATCCTCTACGCCATTGCGTCCCGTGATGCCGCATCCGCGCAGAAGACAGCCAAGCAATACAAGTTTCAGAAGTCCTACGGCTCCTACCAAGCCCTGCTCGACGACCCAGAGGTTGACGCCGTCTACGTCTCCACGCCGAACGGCATGCACTACGAGTGGGCCCACAAGGCGCTGAAAGCGGGGAAGCACGTCCTGCTGGAGAAGCCTTTCACCTCAAATGGCGAGGAAGCTCGAAAGCTCGTCGAAACCGCCCAGCAGACCGGGAAGGTCCTGGAAGAGGCCTTCCACTGGCAGTTCCACCCTGCAGCCCACGCCTGGCGCGAGATCATCGACTCCGGCAAATACGGGCCCATCATCGCCACCGACTCGCGCATGACGGCCAGCCCGGGCGTGCCCCATGGGGATATCCGCTGGCAGTACGACCTCGCGGGCGGCAGCTTCATGGACTGCACGTACGCGCTGTCGTTCACGCGGTACGCTCTGCATGCCGAGACGCCCGTGAAGGTCCTCTCGGCGGTTGCGCGGCCGTATGAGAAGGACGAGCGCGTGGATGCTGGGATGCATACGACGTTGCTGTTCAAGGACAAGCGCGGCGATATCGTGCAGAGCCGGGTGTACACGGACTTGGCTCGCTCGTGGGTCTCGGGCTTCATTCCCAGGGCCTGGGAGTTTCCGGCTATCGAGGTGGAGACGGATAAGGCGGTCATCTACTTCTATAATGCGATGATGCCGCATCTGTACCACTATATCTCGGTTACGGAGAAAGCAACTGGCAAGACCACGGTCAAGAAACAGTACAAGGGAGGCCCGAAATGGGGTGATGTGGAGACGTCTGGAGGTAAAGGGGGACGGCCATCATGGAGTACGTACCGCTACCAGATGGAGGCTTTCGTCGATCGTATCAAGGGGAAAGAGCCGGCATGTTGGGTGCCGAACGAGGACAGCATCGCGCAAATGGAAAGCATAGATGCTGTGTATGAACACTCCGGCCTTGGAAAACGACCATCGCGTTCTCTGGAAGAGTGAAGGGGTTCTGGAACAGCTTTCCTGCGGACGATTGTATGGGATGGAAACAAAGGAGTAATTGGAAGTTCCTTGTATGAATGGTAGTTTACGAAACGACGCGTATATATGGGCTCGCTCGGGGAGTGGATAATTCAAGCGGTCTTACATTCTACTCTGCCGATCCTGATCCTGATCCCTATCGACTTGTTTTGCGTAGACGAACCCGCTGCGAGTACATTGTTTACCTACAGTGGAGTTTTGTCAGTCGAGAGATTCCACCAAATCGCCCCCGTCTCCTGGAGAGTTCGGGATGAATGACCTACAGCTTGATGTTCCTCCATACAAGAAGGCCGCAGAACACCAACGTAGAATGGCTGATTTCCAAATTCTTGTTCAGCGCTCATGGGGGGTAATTGTATCTCCCTCTCGAGAGCCATCCTCCCTAAGTGCAATTGTAAATTTTCGATATCAGTAAACTCATAGGCCAGATCTCCCAATCAGCGGACGTACAATCCGGCAGCATGCCGTCGCAGTCCACTCCCCTTCGTCTGCACGTGACATAGTGGTTGACGGTGTTAGGATTGTTCATTGTGCTGAAGGGCCTTCAAGTTGGACACTTCTACCTGATCTGCATGCCGAACTTTGCCTCATCTCCGGAGCCTCTCCCGAACAGGCGGAGATCTCGGTGACCGTTTTGGTTTGGAAAACGCCGTTGGGTCGGACTTAATCTTGACTGCGCCGGGAAGAGGCAGTGGATCGTGCTGATCACGCTTGGCGCATGCCTTAAGTTCAACCACCTCACCTCACACGAAACCCGGGTCTTTGTCCGTTGTTTGAACGGCGCTGCACAACAATTGCGTGTCTGCCTGGCACAGCAATTGCGACGCTGTGATATTTGGATACCTTCCTGGTTTCAGTTTCGGCGAATAGGAGCAAGAGCGTTTAATATGACGTCGTCTCCACTCCCTACACCGAATGCCACCGTGAGCAATGAGGCTTACGGCGAACAGCATTATCATGCTCACACTAGCGATTAGATGTCCTCGAACGGACCATAATGACTGCTGGCACTTTGGGGCCTGGTAGCCTAAGAGGCTGTGCTGATTGCACTACGTAGACTCACAAATGAGCTGTTTTGTGATAGACTATTGAACAAGGACATCCATGGAGAAAATTCACTATGAGCTTGCTCAATTGGGGGCGGTGTACACCGTCTGTACAACTATGTACGTTCCCCCCAGACTTGCGTGGTGGATGCGTACGGGTAACACCTTATCTCAGATTTTGCTGAACAGTAGCGGTGGGTATCTCGCAGGTGAAACAGCGCAGCGGAGAGCCAAGACGCCATAGATACCCTCCCGGAATGTACTGCGTCAGCGGCCGGCATTTCCCATGACGAAAGGGAGGGAGAGATACGTACTCCAGGTATCACGGTCGGCTTGGCATAGGAGAGGTGAGCAAAGACCGCACTTTGGTCTCAATATCGGCCTCCGGACGGTGTACTGCCCAGCCACTACGATGGTGGCGTCGCGGAACGACTGAGGGATCGGGCGCCGGGCCGCACACGCAAGCAGACAAAGAGCTGCTTGGCGGGTGCTTCCGCTCCACTTCTTCCAACGTCGTCAGTCGGGACCTCCCTTACATCTGAGCATGTTCTCAACCACACAGAGGCACGCAAGTATATACGTCAGAAACGACCACAAACCCACCCTTATCGGCGCACGAGCCGATTAGCCGCATGGCAGCAGGCGCTGAATGGCAGCAGGGGAGGACCTTTCCTCGCGCCAAGATATATGTTCGATGAGCTGATCGAACATTTGGTACAAGTTCGCTACGAAACGACAAGCGGCGACGCGGCAGTCCCACAAAGCTTATCGGCTGAACCCTCCTTCGTTCCTTTGCCTCATCGAACCCTCCACCTCAACCATGGGACCGGCATGGCGTCTTGGCAAGCGCTGCCCAAGGTTGAGTAATCCGTTCCTGGAGCATTTGTGCCTCCACGTTCTGCCTCAGGGTATGCTGTATGGGCTATTTGACAATTTTTACTCGCCGATAACGAGCCCTTGGCGGGTATCCACTTTGGCCGGTCCTGGATAGCAGCTATATCTGAGCCACTTGCCTGAGACGATGGCACAGTTGTATAACACCAGTGGCGGCCATTCAGGGTGATACTGGGGATAGCATCCACGTCAAAGGCTATACGGCAATTTCATCTCTTTCCCCGCATAGATCCACCTCAACTCCAGCCATATAATCTGGACCCTTTCCTCCACCTCGTTCTGTCTTGTTAAGCCCCCGGCTTAAAGTTTATCAATACAGAAACAAACTTCCCAATCACCTATCATGAGCCCAAGGCGTTCATCCGATTCAGGTGTGAGAGAAAAACCTCCTGCCTCAGGAAGACCGAGTCAAGAATCCACTCTTTCGATAGCCGACAGGAGCATCAGCCCGCGAAGTCTCGAGGAGGCCTCTCTTCCTGGATTCGATCGTCACTACAGCCTTGACGACGAGCCAATATGGCCAAAGTCATGGAAAGCGTATACTGCCCTCTTCGGCTGCTTCCTCCTCATGTTCAACAGCTGGGGACTGGTCAACGCTTACGGAACGTTCGCGTCGTACTATAAGCAGCACCTGCTAGCCGGAACGGGCGTGCTCCTCCTCAACCTTGTCGGCTCAACGCAGTGTTTTGTTGTGCTATCGCTTTCCTTCGTTGTGGGCCGGCTACTGGACGCCGGCTATAGCCGCTGGCTTACTGGAATTGGTGGCATTTTTGTCACGCTGGGCATGTTCATGCTTAGTCTGTGCAGCGGGAATGGAGGACAGGGCGATGGCAGCTATGGACTCGTTTGGCTCACCCAGGGCCTTATCACTGGCCTTGGGATGGCTTGCTTCTTTGTCTCAAGTTCTCAAGGCATGCCCACCTTGCACAATCTCAAGTCTCTCAGGCTGACGATTAGCGACAGTTGCAGCAACGTGGTTTAAGCGGAGGAAGAGCTTCGCAATCGGCATTGTGGCGTCTGGCGCCAGCATCTGTAAGTGCATCCTTGCCCCAGTCCTATGCGTCCCGTGTCGAGGCCAGTTCGAATGTCCTCCCACGTACCACTCCGTTCGCTAACGTGTTGTGTACAGCGGGTCTCATCTACCCAGTGATGACCAAGTACCTCATCGCAGAGATCGGGTTCAACAATGCCGTTCGTTGTGTTGCTGGTGTCGTTGGCTTTACATCGCTCCTTTCATTCCTTCTCGCAGTACCGGATCCCGCTCAAATCTGGCGGAAGCCCGAAGCATGGCTTTCCAAGCGAGTCTGGGTGGATACGTCTGCGTTCCAGCACACCAGCTTCTGCTGGTTTGCTGCGTCCATCTCATTCCTGTTTCTGGGCTTTTACGCAGTTTTCTTCAGCCTTGAAGAGGTAAGTAACATCTGCGGATAATCTTCTGCAGATCCATCGCGCTGACAGTCGATGGTTGCAGTGGGCAGCCGATTTCGGTTTCGGCATCAGAGACCAGGTCCCTGGTGCTTTCGTCGATGTCACTCTAGGCGAACAGGAAGTCCAGAAGGACGCCATCCGTACCTTCTGGCTCCTCAGCATCATGAACGTCTCCAGCACAGTCGGCCGCGTCGGCTCTGCCTGGCTCAGCGACCAGTAAGTATTTCCTATCCTTGCCGGCTTTACCAAAAAAACCCCCCACTGATCATCCGCAGCTTTGGCGCCGTCAACGTCCACGCAGTCGTCACAACCGTCGCCTCCCTCTTAATCCTCATCCTCTGGACTCTGGCTACTAAGCTCAACGCCGCGATCGCCTTCGTTGTCCTCTTCGGCATCTTCTCCGGCTCCGTCATCGGCTTGCCTCCCGCATCCGTAGCCTGGATCCTAGGCCCGCACCCCACACAACAAGCCCGCCTGGGCCAATGGACCGGCATGATGTACACCCTCGCTGCCATCCCGGCGCTGATCGGGCCCGTCATCGCGGGCTTCCTGATTCAGAAGTTCGGGAACTACTACACGGTGCAGGGATGGAGCGGCGCATGCCTGTTTGTCAGTGCGCTCTGCATGATACTGTCGAGGGTGTATACGCATAAGGAGAGGACTGCGTTTCCTGCGATTGGGAAGAGGCTCAGCTCCGCGGCGAGCACGTTATTTAGGAGGAGCTTGAGCGTGGAGAAAGGGGAGAATACGGAGGCGCCGATGAAGGGAGTACCGCCCATCCCAGATACCTCTGCGACTCAAGCGCCTTCCCACCAGCCGACATCTGATCTGTCAGTATCTCTGCTGCGTAGGGAAGCTCGCCGTGCAGGCGTTCGGAGTTTAGGAGAGCAAGGCTCGGCGCTCAGAAGAGGAGACACACATCAGCTATCCGAGGTTTCAGGGTCTATCGTGCTCAGCACTACCGGTTCAATGTTTTGGGGCATCGCGCAGGCACGGCCCCGCTTCGTCTTTACGGCGTTACGAAGGTACATGCATTAGAGGCGGCCGCGCTTCTCAGGGTCATCCAACCGCTTTGATACCCAGGCGCATATAGAGGCCATATTTATGAGGCATAGAGCGGCGCGATATAGATACGGGGCTTATACTGGATGTTATGCTGAGCATGTTTAATCATAATGATTCATCGTACACCTCGAGATGTGCTTGATCAATGTTTCGTGCACATTGCCTCCGTGTGCTTGCATCCCTTTTATATTTCGCGTTTACCCTCACGCCTTCAAACACCAGTGGATAACTACAATGGTACTCCTAATCACGGCTCTTCCACCTAGAGGTTTGTATAAGAGACGGCCGCGCTTCTGTGCCCATCACGTACGAGGATGTCCATATTCCGGAGAGACGCACGCGGGCAATGATCGGTCAGTGTGTACGCGAGCAACCAGCATCATCTCGGTTGCAAAGGCACCACAGCAGCGGCCAAGGAACATACGACGTTCAGTAGACTACCAGTCACAATCTAGGCAGGTGAGGCTATAAGTAGCTAGCATTCGAAGAATTTGTTTTTCATCAACTGTGTCATCTCTAATCGTCTAGACTATATCGTATACTCATACTTCGGACTTCTATCGCCCAGCTCCGCTATCTCATCGTCGCTCATGCCAGCGATCTTGTCATCGTAGTCGCCTCTCGCACGCTTCTTGTTCTCACGTGCTAGATACCACCACATGAAGCCGTACACGACAACCGCCCAAGCGACCATCGCCAGCGTAACAGCGTGGCCCCGGAGATAGCGTGGCCCTTCTCTTGAAGGATAGAGCTGTGTAAAAAAAAAGAGTCAGTGAGCTGTACTGTGTGATCACTTGGGCTCCTCGCCTGAAGGTGACTTACAAAACTCGACATAATCCCGCTACAGTTACCGATAGTGAGCTGCAGCCCGGTCGCCGTCGTCCGCTTCCCATACCGCGGATTATTGTTCGGCAGCCACGCCAGCGGCAAGCCGACGCACACGTATAGGCCCAGAGCCACAAGGAAGCACCCGAGATAGTGCACCCCGCTCGGCGTGTCCGACATCAGCAGCGCGTAGCCAATGATCGATACGCACCCGAAAAGAACGGTGTACAAGCCGCGCCGCTGCTGCCTGTCTGAGAAGCGGGCGAAGATGAGATATGTGATGGCGCCAACCGCATAGCACGGGATGGTCAGCACCTGCACGATGGCATTCGAGTAGGTTCTATTGATGCCGCGGATGATGGTCGGCAGGAAGGTGCTGAAGCCGTACAGCATGGTGTCCGATCCGAACTGCGCGAAGCAGAACGCCCACACTTTCCAGTCCTTCAAGGCCGCCCGGACATCGTTCCAGTGGAACTCCTGTGCGGAGGTCGTCTGCCCCGCCTCGCGACTCCGGCGCAAGATCATCAGCTCCTTTTCGGCGGGCGTCAGGTACCACGCTGTCTCCGGATTGTCGGCCAGCAGCCACCATGTCGCAATCCCCAGCACAAAGGTCGGTAGGCCCTCGATAATCATGATCCAGCGCCAGCCACGCTGGCCCGCAACACCGTCCATGTGGCCGATCGCGTAAGCTAGGAGGCCTCCACATGCGCCTGCTAGAGCGGCGCTCACGAAGAGGTAGCCAATGCGCAGCGCGAGCTCACGCTTCGTGTAGAAAAATGTCAGATAGACGGCCATGCCGGGGAAGAGGCCGCCTTCGACGGCGCCGAGGAGAAGTCGGCACGCGATGAGGCCGCCATAGCTCTGGACCACGCCGGTCAGGGTCGCGACGATGCCCCATGCGGTTGTGATGAAGGCGATCCAGCGCGAGGGGCGGAGCTTCTTGAGAACGAGGTTCGAGGGGAGCTCGGAGAGGATGTAGGTTACGAAGAGGATGGAGACGGCGATTTGGAATTGGTTGCTGGTTAGATTAAGGTCTTCTTCTAGGCCGTATAATCTGGAATCGTTCAGTGGGTGCTAGGCATTGAGATTAGGGGTAGAGGGGACAAACCGTGCGTTGCCTATGTTGACTCTGCGCTTCTGTCAGTGTTTGTGCAACAGTCAAATAGACCAATTGATCCCAAGGCTGAAGATTCAAGAGTGCGCGGATTTCTGGGAGTGTATAGCTTACCGATCAAGGAAGCTGAGCAGATACAATAGCATCACAACTGGAATTATGTATAGGTCAAGCTTCCGCACAAGCTTCTTCTCCGCGATGTAGTCTATCTCGATCTTGCCAGCGGGATAAGGCTCCGTCGGCGGCCTTGGTTCAGAAAAGCTCTTTTCAACGTCGGCCATGGTGGTGACTGAGAAAGCAAGCAACCGGAGTCAGGCTGAAGAAGGAAGATATACGGGCTGATAGAAAGAAGTATTGAAGCTTAATCTACAGCAGTGACTGCAGAAATTGCTTTTACAAGGCCAACAGTCCAGCTGACAGCCGGGTGCTGGTATTGTTATTCTGTGCAAACCACCGCCTTTCTCATCGGATAGTTATATACGGCGGCGGCGAGCGGCCTTTTTTCTGCATGGAAGCTTCGATCGACCCTTGAATATGGGTTGGATGAGGTCATCGGCTATCAGGCCGAGCGGGCGTCATGATAACGGGTGAACGGCTAGGGCTGAAATAACCCAATGGCGCGCAGTAGCCGGTCTTTTGGTGCAGCAATCGTCTACTCGTATGAAGTGGTCGTTGAGTCTGTTGTTGCGAGTTTGCACGGCTCCGTCCGATATGGAGCGTTACCTACAAGTGATCATTACGGAATGGAATTACTCGGCAAGATTGGCATGGAGCGGACCGACATCCGCTCGCACTAATCGAAAGCTTGGCCATGCGGCTCTTCAGGGCTCTTCAAGATCTTTAAGCCTCGATCAGCTTGAATGAAGTGCAGCAGCACAGAAGGCGAAGCTTAGGAGCTTCAGCTACTTTAAGCTTCTGAGCGTCTATGCTCTAGATATACAACGGTGAAATTGCAACTCTCGCAATCCGGAAATACCACATGCCAAGCAGCTTCGCAGATTTGACGGCGCCGTCTAGAAATTCTCCTTTCCCCAAACGAAATTGAAACCAGGTTCCGAGTACATATTGCACTTGATGTGCAGCACGCTTCCCAGGGGCTTCGGTCCGCAGAAGAACACGCCAGCTTCTGCTGGAGCATGAATTTTGCGGATGGATTTGAAAACCATGTCCCAGTTCGGACGCCCGAAGCTCGTGGGCGCACGAAGTCCGGTGATAGCGTCCTGCTCAGCATCCGCGTCGTTGATCATAATGTTCGTTGCATCGTCTATCTTGATCTTGGCCGTAAGATACTTGGAAATTGTCAGCTAGGTCCTCGTTCACCAATGGATCATGTGCTTACCGTGTGTATCTCAATATGATTCTGAAGATCTTGCGCCTCGATGGCCAAAAGCAAAGAGCGGAACCACTCAAAAGACCCAAAGTCTCGGCATATCCAGAAGAAGTAGACTTTGCGGAGTCTTGTCCTCCCTTGCGGATAGTTCATGCGGTACCAGATGCTCTTGAGGATGGATGCAAAGGGCGTAACACCGATGCCAGCACCCACCAGCACCGCGATTTCGAACTTGAAGACGTCCTCTGAGGCGCTGCCGAAGGGCCCGTCGATGTAGACTCTTGGCAGGATCCGGCGGAAATGCGAATCCCTCCCGGGCGCGTCGTCGGCAACGCCTATAACCATTGACTTGCCTCTTTCCTTCTTCGATTTCGGTTTCTCGAAGTCGCATCCAAGGGCTATGGCTAGCGCTTTTGTGAAGTCTCCTACGGCACGAACATGGACCGAGATGTAGTCCTCTTCAGGAGCACTGGTGAGGGTGAATGGATGATATTGCCAGATTGAAACCTCCGGACAACACAGGAATATATACTAATTCTCTAGTTAGTGTCATGTGTTTGGGTTTTCAAGTTCAAGGTACACTCTACCTGTCCAGCTCTGGTCTTGGTGTTCTCCTTCTTGATCTGTATCTCCACAACGTTACTGGGGTGTTGAATGACCTTCGACACGAAAGTCTTGTGCTTTCCTCTCACTTCGCGAGCGATACGCTCTCCCAAATATGCGAACCCACCTAGCAACCAGTACTGCCAGAACACGCCGGTACCCGCACAGTATGGCTCGAAATCGGGCTTGATCATGCAGAATGCGCCATGCATGGACCAGAATATGAAGAAAAGAGTAAACAAATGATGAGTATACCAGAAACGCTCGAAGTTAGCGCGTCGAGGTTTCTCAATCGCTGTGGCGACAATAGCCATCAGAATTATGAGCATGATGTAGCCAGACCATCCAGGTCCGGTGGCAAAGTTTACGAGTGCAAACCCCTTAAACCCGAGCTTTTGCTTCGCTGCAAATTGGGCAAAGTTATTCCAGTGGGCTATGGTATGCAGCCACGAAAAGAAGACAATGGACCAAGCCGTCATCTTGTGGAAAGCGATGTTCTTGTCTATGTTCAGTTGTTAGCCATATTAGAACAGACATGTATAGATTAAACCTACCAAACTGGATGATCCCGTTCAACGGCGTCCGGCGCAGCAGAGATATTAAGTTGCGGCAGACAGGAAACATGATCAACGCGACATCGACGTGAAGCACCAAGCCTGCCGAACGAGCGATAGCATAAGTAGGTCCAAAGGTGGCCCTGGCGCCGGTGAGATTGTCCTTGAGAGTGTAGTTGAGGAGGCCGAAGGCGAAAACCATTCCATGCAGTAGAATGAAGACACCGACAAAAAGCCTTCTGTATCCTTCGTTGACCATCCATCTGTCAATCCTCTCTCGCAGGAACAACTCCCTCGGAGGCTCGTCGCTCATCTCGCCCGCCATAAGCATTTTTGTGAGGGGCGTCCATCGTGACCTCAAGTCGCCTTGGGTTGACATCGGAAGCAGTCTCTTACTCCAGTCGTGCTAGTACGTAGTGATTGAGAGTTTGGTCTTGAGCTCGATAGGTTTTACAGAATTGGGTATCACTTGATTACGGAGAGCGATTGGCCTCAGAAACCTGCTGAAGTGGCCAGACGGTCCAGCGGTAGGCTCGAGGAGAGAATGTATCTACGGAGAGCCATTGTCAGTCCAGGTATAGCGGTCGATAGTATACCGCATAGACTTACAGTGGTAGTGCCAGCACAGGATCAAATTTCTTCATATCAATGAGAGGACGGGCGTTCATCCAGCCCAGGCTGGAGAGGTAAAGCGCCAGCGGCAAGACGAAGGACTCGGATGGGATTCAAGAAATGTACGCAGGAATTGTGGTGGGACAAGAGGTTGACTGGACCACACTGCGCGTCAGGCGTCGGCGCTTAACTTACAGCAAGGCGCCTTTGAAACAGCAGCACCGCCAATTGCCGCAGCAGCAGGAGCTCAAGGGATTTTCCATTGCTTTTGAAAGTTTATAAACAGGATTAAATGGACACGCGACACCGCGCGTTCGATATGCGACGGGAGTCATTCCTGAAGACTCATGGTCACCGTCGGCAGGCCTACCGTGAGACCTCATAAATGTGGGTCGAATGCCTAGAGTAACGATATATCAGGCGTGGTAGCAGACCCCAGCTGATGTCTGATCCTTCTGTTCCGTTTGACCTCATCCGCCAGGGGAGGATGTAGCAGGAACAGATATCTGCGACGCCGTAGAGTTTCATCGTTTCGCGAGTCTGCAGCAACTAGAGAGGTTGCTCACGTGACTGCAAATGCTCATGATCTGTAACGGCTTCATCCAGGTCTATCTGAGTTCGGATATGGCGCTGAAGACTCGGACAGGCCAACTTAACATCCTGCCTGAACGGATCTTGACGCTCGAGTTCCACGATAGTCTATCGGACAGCATGGGAGGATTGTGAGCGGCAACAGCGATGAAGTCCAAGTTGCTGGATTTGCGGAGAGTTCTCGGACCAAACCGACCTCCTCAAGCGAGAAATCTTTCCCATTGGGACGCCACGGACATGCAGCACCACGTTTCAGGACCCTGAAATCATTTCCCTCGTCGACAAACCACTTATTATAAACTTCCTGTCCGAACAGCTGGAGAGCTCCTCGAACGTGTCACAGCGCCGCTGATTTCATCGTACGAGGTCCACAGGAAATGGCGCCTACAGCAGCATCCCCCGATGGCGGGGAAAAACTTACAGAAGCGTCAAATGAGGCCACAAACGGCCTGAGACACTCATTGTCTCAAGGCAGGGAGAAGAAAAGAATCAGTCAGTCTGCATTGCGCTTCAGCCTGTGTTCTTTTCTGTCCGCTTCAGACGTTGCGCGTCTGCGTCTTAGGACGTTATGACTGACTTCCTGCCTCTTACGCTGCCTCCAGGGACCCAATCGCTACCTCCACCATCGCTACCGAAGCTTGTCGCAGAGCAGCATGTTCCCATTCCTGAGAACGACAAGGACACTCAGCGACTCATCGTTGTGTTGTCAAATGCTAGCCTTGAGACCTACAAAGCCTCTCACGGCCCTGCCCGCGGAGGTGCTGGTAAGGACGACAAGTACTCCCTGCTGAACAGCGACGAACACATCGGTGTTATGAGGAAGATGGGTCGGGATATTAGCGACGCGCGACCGGACATAACACATCAGGTGCGAGAAAGGCTGCTCCATATCGCAAATTCTTCGCTCACCGTCGATGCATGTAGTGCCTTCTTACGCTTCTGGACTCTCCGATCAACAAGGCCGGAAAACTTCAGATATACATTCACACCGCAAAAGGCGTTCTTATCGAAGTCTCTCCAACAGTCCGCATACCACGAACCTTCAAGCGCTTTGCAGGGTTGATGGTGCAGCTACTCCACCGCCTTTCGATCAGATCGACCACCTCGCAAGAAAAGCTGCTGAAAGTGATCAAAAACCCAATCACGGACCACCTCCCTCCGAACTGCCGAAAGGTCACGCTCAGCTTCGATGCAGAAGTGGTACGAGTACGGGATTATATCGAACACCTTGGCCCGAAGGAGAGTATATGCGTCTTCATTGGCGCCATGGCGAAAGGTAAAGATGACTTTGCGGACGAATACAAGGATGACGCGATCAGTATCAGCAACTACAGCCTCAGCGCCAGCGTGGCATGCAGCAAATTCTGCCACGCCGCAGAGGACGTATGGGACATCATCTAGCACCATCGGGACAATATGAACCAACGACCGGCCGAGTCGCCAGCTGCTCAGCGTGCGCCACGCGAGCAAAAGAAAGTAAGCATAGGTCTTGCAGTTTAGAGTTGGGACACGGGAATCGCGTCAGAGCTGCGATCCCAACATCAGAGGCTTTGGCGTGACTTCTCGCTGCTTTGAGGTTCTGTGGAGCGGTCTCTGTTTTTGCAACCAAAACAACAGGCTTTCAACAGACTCAAAGCGTTAACGCTCGCGGAAGCACTTCAACTTGCTTCCTGCATTCTATGTTTCTCTTGTGTTTCTGGGTCTGGCTTTAGGCCGGGCTAGCTACGACGTTGAGGGTTCGATACTGGGTGTAACGGTCCCAGAAGTGGGGTTGTGGGGAAGCTGTATAGTCATGTTCACTGCTCTTCGGGCAATCTTGTACAGCGCTGTATGCGCATGCGGGGGTGCACTGCGGTATCACCTGCCAGTAGATGCAGGTACTATGTTGTGCAATTCATTTCATCAACGATCGACTGCGTAACTGTGTAACATTGGGCCTCTGGCTTGTATGTCAAAACTCAATCTCAAGACAAGCATGAGTTCTCACCTGTGTGGAGCTATGAGGCGTGCCACCGCGAAATTCGGCACGCCCAGGACAGCTCACTCCACTCGGGGCGTGATCCTTTGTCTGCTCCCTCCGCTCAAATCGGAAGCTGTATTGCGAATGTTACCATATTGAGGCGAGCAATTGTTCCCCACAACGAAGCGAGAATTTCCCCAAACCCACCCACATCCTCTGAAGATTTGGTGAGGCGACGAGATGTTCCCCCATTCAACACAAGCGGCTGGCTGGATTTCGCGCCGTCCCGTAGCCAACCACGTTTTGTCTGTGTTTAGCTGCAGACGCCGGACGTGGCATCGTCCTTGTGGGCGCGGACACGGGACTCCCTGATGGCCAGACACGATGGACGGGGCGAGATGGAAGATTGCCGTCAATGGTGGGATTCCGGAGCCGCTTCACGCCATGTGGGCTGTCCTGTCTCGGTCCTGCAAAGGGGGAGAGGTACTGTTGAGGAAAGCGTATCTTTAAAGTCTCGGTCTTTATTGTTCGGTTTCCGCTTCCCATCTCATCTCACCGCGCTGTAATACTGTGCTACTCCGTCCTCATCTATCACACCGCTGTGTGCTTCCCCGTGTTAATCATCCGTCCCATCACAACTACATATTTATTTCCACATCATCCGCAAGATGCCAGTTTCTCACATCGGTCTGACTGTCTCTCATCTCCCAACATCCTGCTCGTTCTTCCTGTCCGCTCTACAGCCCTTGGGATACCGTTTCATTGGTCAACAAGGCAACCAGATCGGTCTGGGAATCGACGATGCCGACTTCTTCCTCTGCCAAGAAACACCCAAGTGAGTTTACCATCACCTGAAGATAGAAGATGCATATTGTTTACTGACGACATCCGTCCAGCATCAAAGCGGGGGCTGCACACATAGCGTTCTCAGCGCCCGGCCGGGTCGCCGTCCGCGACTTCTATACAGCAGCTCTGAATGCAGGTGGCCGTCCTCACGGCGCACCCGGAGTTCGCGACCAAGAGAATGGTCACTTCAACGCCGCAGTCCTGGACTTCGATGGCAACAGCATAGAAGTCGTATACCGAGAGGACTCGACACCTGAAGAAGCAGGCTCTGTGGTTGGGCACAGCCGGGTCCTTACCTGGCGAAAGTCGGTTACTGAGAGCTTGGGAGACGCACGCAGTGTTGTCAGCAGCAGTACGGTGAGAACAGCTAGGAAGGGCTCCGTTATCGCCGGTCCTGCGGCGTCTAGAAGCATAGCTCCGTCCGCAGTGACCAGAAGCGAGGCGCTGAGCTTGACAAGGAGTGTCTCAGCGCCTGTAGTACAGCAAAGCAACATCTCGGTGGGAGGAGATGACGCTTGCAAGAAGATTATCGGAACACTGCTCGGCGCAGCAGCCGGCGCAGCGGTGGCGTACGCAATGTGCAAGGCCGAAGAAGACAGCGCCAGGGCAGAAGCATTAGCATATGCCGCATCTCAAGCCTCCTCGCACAAATTTATCGAAGCACCTCTGCAAGAGGCCCAGCCTCAACCAACGTACGAGTCCCCCGACGCAAAACGCCTTCACCGCAACTTCAGCGACACCGAATCCTTCTACAGCACTCCGGACCGATACCAACGCGCAATCGCCGCCGCACCAGCTCGCAGCTACCACAGCCCGACCTACATCTCCGTCCCTCCAACCCAGGCGCCCCAACAAACCATCGAGTACATCCCCGCCGCCTCCGTCGTCAGCGCCCGAAGCCACCGCTCCGCCAAACGCTCCGTTTCCTCGCCTATCCCGACCGTCGCACACAGCACAGTCAGCAAAACGCGCAGCACGCTGATCTCCACCTTCGTCCCCGACGAGTTCCCACGTACGCTTCCGGCCCCCAGCGAGCACTCCGCCCACTCCAGCAGATCGAAAGCCAGGTCCTCGTACACAGCAGCCAGCAAACATAGCAGCAGGCGGAGTTCTGCGTCTCAGGTGCCGCTGCCGGAGTCTAAAGCACCGTCCATCATCGGCAGCATCATCGGTCGCGGCGACGAGGAGTATGCCATCTCGCCCGACGACAACGACAGTGTTGCACCCAGCGATAGTATCTCGAATGCTGGGTCGAGACGATCGTCGCATAGCAGGAGTTCGAAGCACTCGAGGCATTCTAAATCTTCAAAGCATAGCGAAGGTCGTTCCCACCGCTCATCGTCCGGGAAGAGCAGTGCAAGCAGGAGAGAGGAGTTGGAGGTGGTGAGGCCTGATGTAGTTGAGGAGGCGGAGAGCGAGGTTACTGTTAAGCCGTATAAGAGTGAGAAGAGTGTAGATAAAGCCAGTGTGGCTAGTTTGCCGGTTAGGGGTATCACGCCGAGTATGATTGAGGGGAGGGGCGGGAAGAGAAGTGTGGTGAGTTTTGCTATGGGGCAGTAGCGGCGGGCCAATTTGAAGCATGCTAGCAATCCTCAGGTGGAAGCACATGACTGAGAGATTTTACGCTTCACGAACATAGACTTGCATCGGTTAGAAGAGCTGAGATTCTTTAGATGCTGGTGTTCTTGTGTGCATTCCTACGAGGGGGGCATTTATCTATCAGTTTTTCGCAAAGTACAGTGGTTACCACAGCCCCGTTACCTAGCAGCAACCGCGGTCACTCCTCTAAGCTCACCCCACGGATTGGTCATTCGTTGTATCATAAACTTCTTTCTCAAGTCTCTCCACGGGACGCAAGATCCGGTCCGCCTCTTAAGTGCTATGCAAAACTGGCAGTGATCAAGTGGTCTGAAGCATTCTCACCGAGTTCCCGTACCGAATACTGTTCATATCGACATCTCCCCAGCGGACGGTCCTTCCTCTGCCGCCCTCTCCCTCTCCCGCCCCTCCCACTCCTCCCTCAACACCGCATAAACCTCCAAATCCAACAGCCTCCCCTCCTTCCAAACATGCCGCCTCAAGCATCCCTCAAGCCTGAACCCCGCCTTCCTCAACACCCGTCCACTCGCGACATTCCCCCCATACACACCCGCATGTACCCTAATCACCCTCTCCCACTCCCGCTCCCCCAAAACCCACCCCACAAACCCCACCAGCGCCTCGGTCGCAACACCCCTTCCCCACAACTCCTCACCGAGCCAGTACCCGACCTCGACGCTGCGCTCGTGCACGTCCGTGCCGGGCTTGAGCCCGATGCCACCGATCGCGAGGGAGGTGGTGGGGTCCGCGATGACGAAGTTCAGCGGCGGTGAGAGGGAGAGGTTGTAGTTGACCCACTTGATGCCGTCGGAGAGCGTGTAGGGGGATGGGAAGATGTTGTCCATCCAGCGGCTGATTAGGGGGTTGTTCGCGTGGTGGGCGATGGGGGCGGCGTCGGTGGGGTGGTAGGGCCGGATGTGGCATTTGGAGAGGCGGAGGATGGGGGTGGGTGGGAAG